GTTTTGTTATCTTTTATTTATTTATTATTTATTTATCTTTTATTATTTATCCTACCTACCTTTGTACCATTGCAAGCTTTGGACTTGCACGACTTGAGTTGCAATAAATAACTGGAAAAATTTGGGTGTTCTAAAACTTTTGACCAGTAGTGTATAAACAAGGAGGTTCATGATAAGAATAAAAAGTGACATTACTGTAAATTTATTGCATAAAAAACATGCAGGGCGCTTGTTCATGGGCATGTAAGGACGAGAGACAGAGAGGCAGGCGGCGGTTAGAGGGCAGTGGGTGGTCCAGTGAGATGGAGAGTGGAACAGACAGGGGCCAAGTGGTTGGTCACACGGCCAGCGTCCTGTTAATTAAATCCACTGTTTGTGTAGGACGAATGGTCAGCTCCGAGGCCTGTCCTGGCACAGCACTAGCTGTCTACTTAACTGGACCAAAACAACACTATCACTTTGTATCAAGTTGTATTTCTTAGCTTTTTATATGCATTTCAATCTATGTGTTTTAGCTTTGGAAAAACTGGGAAAATTGGAAATCTATAATAGCTCAGTTATTTAATACCAATACCATTTTAAATTATTTATAGTCAAAGATTCCTACTTGACTTCTCAAAACATAATTTATTAGCTCTTAACCCTTTTTTTCCCCGAGTCAAATGTAAACACATGAGAAACTCACTCACAGAAAACTGTAAAATAGAAGCTACATTGGTCCACATAGAAAAATGTGTCAACAGTTAGAGCTTTCAAACTGTCAGACATTGTACCCATTGGTTTTTACAGCCATGTTTTCCATGTGCACAATTTTTGCAATCTTATCCTGCCAGATCTTATGGCTTGAGATCTTGTCCTATGTTTGAATGCTTAGCATTTGAAATGTAATGCCTTGGTGGAGGTCAAAGGGCCCATATTACTTTATTTTCTGCTCTATGTTATAATGTTGTTTCCTCATCACAAACGTACCTGTAAATGTTTTTTGATTCATTCACACGTTAACGCACAAATCCTACAGAAGTAGGCGTTCTTCTCTCAAACAGAAAACACTCTGTGCCACCATGTGATGTCATGTGGTAATACGGGAAGGGCTCCACTATGTTTTTAAACTCCATACACCTTCATTAAAATCATCTGGATAATTTAAGCACTGGAATTTCCAATCTCTACTGAACTAAAGGTAGAAGCAGCTAGGGCTGTAACAGTAACTGAAATATTGTGATATCGTATCATCAAAACTCTCACAATAATATCGTGGGCTGTCACAGTATATCGAATCACAGGTTCCTTTGCTTAAATGCATGGTTTTACAGTAGCAATAGCTTCTAAACATCGGGAACTACATATATCATGATTCATTTCAGTGCAAACAACATTAAGAAATATGATTTTTACTTGAATTCTTGGGATTATGGCAGAAATAATTCACACCAACATCTTGTCAAGGTATTTTAAAGGCAGAAACGTGTCGTATCTACAATTATATCAGCCTTTCCAAAATATCGCAATAAATATTATATCGTGATAATATTGTACCAAGAGATTTGGATATCTTTACATCCCTCGAAGCAGCTGTTAACTTGAAAATGACCACTACATAACATCACAAGGTCGAACAGAGCATTTTGGTGTTTGGAGATCAGTCAGACTAATAATAAACGGTTAATCAGACATGTGCGAATGAAACAAAGCACAAATCCAGGTATGTTTTTAGAGGGTAACAGAGTTATAACATGGGTTAAAGCTCACAAGAGTCAATTCTGCGTAACCTGGGCCCTTTAAATTCCATACTGTCAAAATAAAATGTCTGACAACTATATTGCAAGTGAAAAAGCATTATATATTTTTCATAACAGTTGTGCTCTTGTCAGACTCAGCTTGACTTCACTGCATTTGCTCACCTGCACTCACATAGGCTCTCACATGCTAGGCCACATCAGTGACACGCTAACAACAAATGGTCTCCCTCACACACGCCTGCACTCGTCTCTACTCCAGACCAAACCCGGATTATGTAAAAGTAGCAAATGTACTGACACTAAGTACATACAACTCCAGGGTGAATTGCTACTACATTCAACAGTGACAGTAATCCACAGACCTGGTTATTAACTCAAGGAGAGAGACGAAGAAGATGAAGAAACAGAGGGGATTGTGGGTAGGCTCATGTGCCCCTGTCCCGGGAGAGGCCAGGAATAGCTCCAGGGATGCTCCCAGGCACGACTCTTGTTTCGAGCCCACAGTAAATAAAGTAAGATCAGGTCAGAACACGGATCATCACATAAAGTTTTCATAAGAGATTACAATTGCTTTGTACAACTTTGGGTTAAATTTGTAGGGATTTTTTTTATACACTGCCAAATAAGGGGAAACGAATAGGCTACGTCAAGCTGAAAAATATCCAACAAGAACAAAAACAGTGATTCTAATATTATGGTCAGGGGTGTCAGACTAGTGGGGTAAAAGGTACTGTTTACCCCTGGCCCAGTGCAAGGACAAAGCCCGTAATGTGCATTTTACATAGAGAACATGTAGTGCAGGCCCACCAAGATGATTTGTACAGTATTTTTATGTTTTCAAAGTTGGTGAGTTTATGAGTTGGGATTTCAAATTGTAGGTACTTTCATTCAGGGCAATTATTAAAATGTAATTATAATTTAATGTTTGACTCAATTCAGTTACAAAAATGTTGTAAATGAAAATACAATGAATTATCTTTTGTTCTTCCACTCAATAGAGCAAAACCACTTTCTCATTACATTGTATTAAAACGGAATAGGCTTTCACTAAACATCAACCATGAGTCAAATAATCGCAACTATAATTTTCGCCATACGTAAACCGCTCTACTTTTATTTAATAATATTCCCCCCCATACCCGCAAATTATTATTTATAAGTTAGTGACCAGTATTAGAGAGCAGCCTTTTATCCACCCACACCAAATCTTGTAATTACCCACCCACAAATTCAAAACGAAATGCTTTTGTTTTGAATGTTTTGTGATTCACCCAGCAACTAATTCATAATGTCACATCACTTAATCCTCCAGTAATTACAAAAGCATTGCAACATTTTCATTCACAAAACTCGCTCCGGCTCCTGTGAAATTTCTAATGACACATCCCCACCTGCACTACTGAAAAATGCTGTCTCCATTCCACTGTCTCATTCGTACTGTATAAGCACTAAATAAGTGATAGTTTCAACATAACGAATCAGGCCCTATCACGCAGTGGGCAGAAATTACTGTTTGGATTTTGCCCTGATGTAATAGTTACCCAGTGTGAGAAAAGCATGCACCCAACAATTTGACTGGGTGTTGTTTGAGGCCTCGCCCAGACCCGCACCAAAAGCACCCGATGAGGCTTAAGCACCTAATCTCGGGCTAGTCAGGCTGGTCCTGTCTGCACTTCACTATAGGGTGTGCAATAAAGCCATACTTGTTTGAAATAGGCTTTTAGGTGGTTATGTAAGAGGAAATAAAAGGTGAAAATGCCCATAGGCTTAGAAAAATGGGAAAGTTTGTTCATGTTGAAATGTGAGAACTAAAGAAAGAAAAATGTCACTCCTGGGTGATTCAATTATTGGGTACAGCAAGCTATGCCGGTATGAGCTGTTATATTCAAGCTGTGAGGAGAATGGATTCATTTTAATCTTTGCTACATCAGATCGCACTAAATGAATTAAGTACTGCTATTATAAATACAAGTAAGGACGAAAAAACTATGACAATATATTTAACAACTTTTGAAGGAAATATATTGTTTTTGTCAAGTAGGATCTTCTGTCAACTCTGCATTTTTGTTTGCTTATCCAGTGTGTATGTTTGTACTCCCTATTGACTCTCTACTGTGCAAAATTTAGAAGGATCTGGAAAGACATGTTTCAGACATGCTCCAGGTGAGTGAATTTCTTAGCGCAAAATGTAGGTGTTGTACTTTTACTCAGTCGCACTTTAATATCTTAAAAGTTCAAACATTTTAGACTTAAGGCTGCTCAGTTATGAAATAAAAATCACTATTATTTTTGTGATAATTAAATCATGACTATTTGCAGTTATGATTTAAGTACAGTCAAAAAAGTTAAGACCCATTTTTTTTCTCATAAACGAGCAAAATATCCCCCCTCCCCTCCAAAAGTGCACTGTAAAAACAGAACTGTGACCAAAATCAAACAGTTCATCTAACTGGAAAACATTTTATTTATTGCAAACCTCGGCCATGAGCCATGTGAGTCACTTTATGGCACTTTCAGATGAGAGTTCATTGCCTGGCCAACCGGTTTCACTTTTCTGTCTGAAAAAGCTGTTCTAACTGTGCACTTGTGGCCAAATATTTCTTGCCTGTGAATACTGATGTGCAAAATGTTTGTGAAAGCTATAGGTACAAGTTAGACCATCCTTTTTTTTCATGGTTTGAAAACAGGCACTCTATCTTTATTTAACACACAGAGAAAATACAGACTTATGATCAGTCATAATTTGATTAATTGATTTTCAAAGCCTCTGATTGGGTGAGTGACTTTGAGAGGGAGAAAAAGTGTCAATTTCTTTCAGTTATATTCTATTTGTGATTATGATAATGCTATTAAAATTATTTGCACTCCAGTTCACTTCCAGACAGAACATTTTAAACACAAGCAACCAGTATGTCATATATAACATAGCAACAATCAAATTTAACTTGACAATCAAAATGCTAGAACATTGTTTTCACCTCCAACTGTTCAGAAACACATCTAAAAGAACATTCTGTTGAAAAATCCCTGCTTGAACACAGTTTAAATTTAGCATTTAAATGTATTTAAATGAACTGAAAACACACACAGTCCAAGCAGCTCATTCACACTATTGCTACTTGCTAATGTTTTTGGCCCAAAGCCTGGACATTATTGTGTTCAGTGTGGGAGCCAGCTAATTTGAATCTGTTAAAACTTTTCAACCTCTGGCATGATAATCCTAACCACATCAAAACAAACACCAAATATTCCTCCTCTTACCTGAAGTGTCCCACATGTTCAGCTCAATCCTCTGCTTGTCAATCTCAAAACTGGCTGTGTAGTTTTCAAACACAGTGGGTACATAATTCTGCAAGAAAGATGAAAAATATAATTTCAAAATGTCTTAAAGGTCCTGGTCAGTGCAAAGGGTCAATACAATACCACAGGGAAGAGAAAGGAGTGTAAGGCCAAAGTAGATGAGACGATTTCAGAGCTTTGACCCATTTCCAAATTCCAATATTTAGGTCAAGCTAAGATTTCAGCATTTTTGAACTGTTCAAGAAATTCTAAGTCTGTTCCTCTAGTTTTACAGAATATCGTTCTTGTGCAGTATTTTGTTGAACTAGCACGATGCGGTCTACTCAGTTTCTATGTTGATCTTTATAAGCCACTTACAATAAACTAAAATATATAGTCAAGTTGTGTGTCTGTCTTCCGAAGTTGGGTCAATGGGCTCGTTATGTGTTCTTCTAAAAGTTACTGATGGTCGTTGATGGACAGCTATAACCTCCAGTGCTCCAGTGAACAAATGCACACCGGTGTAACCTCCCGTGGCATGTACCAAGCGCAAATAACGCGCATTATTTGCGCGTCTTGTGGCACATCTGGATTTTGCGCACGAAACAGATGGACATCAAGTGACCCCAAAGAACATTGACAAACACTGAGTGGGTAATTTGGACAGATACAAAAAGCTATGCATTCAGAGTTTTGTGAGTAAAAGAACAGGTTTAAGTTTCTGTAGAAGTGACAATTACACTCTGAGTCATGTTCATTTTTGCTCAATCACACTCTCAGCTGTGGGAAATAAGACTTTGTTTAGTTAACATTTATTGATGAACACTGATAAATAACTGCCTTACCTCCGGGTACGAGTCTTTGGCAAAAACGTGAAGCAGAGCCGTCTTGCCACACTGCGTGTCCCCGACCACCACGATCTTACAGCGGAGTAGTCCCTTGCTCTCCATCGTGGTCCTCGTATCACTGGATGCTCCTGTGTCTCTGTCTTCTTGTCATTTAGCAACAAAACTGTTTCAAAGTCAAAAGCTGCTCAGATGAACCTTCCTAAAAATAATAATAACAATAAACTCTTCTGACCAAAACTTTAGCAGCTCTCATGAGATGTGGTTTCGCCTTCATGCTCTGCGTAATGCTGCGCTCCTCTGCTCCACCGGTTCAGTGAGACGCGCTGACGCCTGTCAAGGCAGCGACTCTGTAAATACCCGGATTTGTAGGATTACACAATAAAAGCGCGTAAAAATTATCAGACTAATCTAAAAGATTGTTTACATTTACACTATGAGGTTATTTTAGGGAGAAAATATGTGTAAGTCGTGGTTTTACGCATGAATGTGTCTACTTTTTACTTTTTTTTTCTTAAAGGTAATTTGACAGAACGATTTGATTTGTGGTGGAAATTATTGACCTAGACATTGTTATACATTCGCTCCCACCATCAGCACATAAAATCGCCAGAAATTATTTTAGTTGTGTCACTATTACTTTGAAACTGAAATCATTGCGCATCCGGTATATTCCCAACTGTACGTTTCCCATATTTTAGATTCATTCAGTTCGGTTCATATAAAAACATGTTGAGCTATGATAATTATACACCAAAATGTATTAATTGTGAGTTACAATCAAGAAATAGAGTTGTAGCTCATGCAATAAATGTAAACTGAAAATCTCGTGTTTTGACAGATTACAAATTACGTATAATTGCTGTAAGGCCTGTGCTACAATATGCAGTATGAACAAAGCGTTATTACTTGGCACTAAAGGCTTCTGTCTGTCTAATAACTGATTGTTAATCAATTTGTAGGCTATAGGTAGGATAATTCTTTACTAAAGTAGTGTTTTTGCGCCACCTTCTGGTGAAAGTGACGATCCACTGGATTGTGCCGTTAATTTGCCAATTTAATTAATGAATTAAGTATCATCACATTTTCTTTATCGTTCATGGTATTAAAGATATAATTTATTATTTAAGTTCTTATGACGAGTCACACTCTACTGAAGTCGTATTTAATGTGTCTAACTCAGGCCTGTAATATCGTGGCCTAAGCATGGGTTAGGGTGAACTATAACCACTAAAAACAACGCGACCTTTCATGTAGTTTCCATCAACAAAGCATTTCCTGTCTCTTTTAAATAACATCTTTATCTCGCTGACACGGCCTCACATCCTGTCAGAGTCAGTCAGTTCCCACAAAAGAGGCACTTTCAGAATGACAGGCGGGGACGTAAATGATGCGTACTGGAAGTGATAGGGCTTAATATATATACATATTTTAATAGCGTTTCATTAACACATTTAACATATTCATGTGAAATAATCCTCGCCACAATAACTCCAATGTCCGGGCTTTGCAGCTGTCTTCCTCACATCTGCCAACCAAACGCAGTGGTCATGGTCAGCGTTTTGTAGTTCTGTCAAGTTTCTACATGCATCATGAGGAGTACCGGAAACTAGACGGATTTCCACACAAAGTAAAATATATTATGCCTCTTATCAACACTAGATGGCAGCAGCCTGTATGACTCCTCATGAATCAGGCATTCTTGAAATTGCAAGGTGAAGAGGTGTTTACAGTTGGTGAACAATCACAGTGCTCTGATAACCAGTTTTGAGGGCATCTAGGGACAAGTTCCCAAAAATTGTCCTTATAATTCCACGTCTTGGTTGAATTTGGCTTATTTCTATTATATTTTATATCTCAGTGGTTTAAAATAAGTAGTTTATCTATAATCTTTTGCTTTCTCGAATTTCGTACAAACTTTACCTAACTTTTGTTTTATTATTGTTGCTTGGCGGACTATAAACAGATTATAACATTTAAAAAAAAATCAATATCACTATTCCGCAAACCTTACTGTAATTTTGCAATTTATTGTAGCGTTATTGCTATGCTTTATTTTGAAAATCCAAACCGGAATCAGTGTGTAACTTTACACTGAACTTTGCAGCAGCCACTTGTTGAACAGAGCGCACACAGGAAACCCCTGTGAAAATAATCTCATTTTAGAAAAGGGAGGCTTGTCTTCAGGTGGGAACAACTTTTGTCACCGGATTGCTTTGAAACATTAGAATTTCAGAGGCCAAAAGTAGCTTTATTTTATTGTTTAATTAGTAGTAGAAATCATGTCTGGAAAGGATGCGCCCACTGAACAGCCACAGCCCGAGCAAGAGGCGAAGACACCCGAGGAGCCCCCTACTTCACCGGGAAACACCCCAATTAACGAGGAAAAGACCACCATCTCGTGTCGTGCGCTGGTTCTGACGGGCTACGGCGGATATGACAAGATCAAGCTGCAGGTGAAGACTATGCCCAAGCCTGAGCTCAAATCTGGAGAGGTGCTGGTGCGCGTGAAGGCGTGTGGACTCAACTTCGCCGAGCTGATGGGCCGACAGGGGCTGTACGACCCTCTGCCCTCGCCCCCGGTCACTATGGGCATGGAGGGAGCCGGGGTGGTGGAGGCGGTAGGGCCGGAGGTGGAAGACAAAAAAGTGAGTAAGCTTTAGAGAAGTAAAAGTTTTTATTTTTCATTCACAGACTGATGGTGTTCTCTTTGCTTTGATTTAATTAACCTATATTAAAGGGACAGCGTGCACATTTTCAGCGCCCCCTTAAGGATTCCAACCACAAATGCATGCGCATCATTCATAAGATTATACAGTAGAATGTCTTGTTGCTTGTATTGGGGCTTTATTAGCAGTATCTTGCTCTGTATGGTACCTACAATGGCTTGGGAGAGATATCCTACCATGCTTAACAGAGTGGCACGGTGTAGGCCTACTTTTTTCATTTAGCAAAACTCCCAATTAGGGTTGGGCAATATAGCAACAAAATTAAAAATAAATAAATAATCTATTTATTCCCTCAAATTATTGATTGATCTCAATATTTGACTATCTATTATTTTGAAATTTTAAAAGAATTTAAATAAAAAAATTAAAAAGGGTTTTATTATTATTGTCATTCATCAAAATAAACTATACAGACATTGACTCCATTAACACTAAAAATAGAAATTACATCTTCAAATTTTGAACTCCACTCCGAATCACATGCTTTTACTGATAAAAGGATTGACTGTAGACCTTGTGATTAAAAAGAACCAAGCATGTCACTGACAATTAGAGATGACTGAATCTCGATCTTAATTAGAATTCAATTCATTGCTTATCCATAGTCCCAATGCCTTAAGAATAATACAGGACAATAAGCTCAAATGCACAATTAACTAATGCTTATGAGGTGTTTGGGCGTGTCATCCATAGATGAAGGCATTATTTTAACCACAGACCACGTTTCATCACCTGAACCACACAACCTTTTATTTCAGATTTGGGCCTTTGTTGATGTCTGGAGGTTTGTGCTAAAGGTTATCGTCCATGCATCTTCCCTTTTTTGCCGTTTGGTATTTACTGTGCTTTGTCCTGTGTCTACCCCTCCCTCTCATCTCTTTCCTATTCTCTCACTCCCTAATAGCTCATGAACTTTCGGCAAGGGAGATCCAAATATTTATGATGCTTGCAGTTCCGCAAAGATATGACCAACCAATGACTTCTTATATTGGATTATGGAGTGAAATGGTTAAGCCTAGGTAAATTATTTCTCTGGTGTTGTCACAATGAGATCACCAGAGACACAGAGGAGCTGAGCAGTGCAGAGAGAGCAAGAGGGAGTCTGGGGTAGATCCTGTTTTAATTAATGTGGGTCCTCTTGAAATGGGGAGAAAGGGCGTGGCTCTTGTATAAGATGCTGTAAAAGGAGACCAGATGTGTTGTGCAAGAGTCTAATAAATACAAATGTCCCACATCCCACTTTCATCTCAATGTGGACATTTCTTTGTAAACACGTTAGCTGCAAGCCATATGGTTTCTAGCTGTAAATGATGATGATGAGGTTAAAGGTAGCATTTTTGCACCATTACAGCTCCCATTGAAGTAGCTTGAGGAGATTTAGTCATAGATAGTTAATTTTGCTGTTAAAGGTTCTGGACAACAACACATGTATGGAATATTTTACTAGTGTATACAATGTGCGAAATACAGGCTTTGAAAGTAAAATAAGACAATATTTTTGATAACACATCTGAATACTATATGGTTAATTTGTTTAGCACTTGATTTTTTTCCAACTCAGCCTTTATAATCTACTGAAATATTTGTTCCAGAATAACTTTATTTAAGACCCATGAGCACAGATGTAACTCGATAGGGCACTGTGAAAATCCTTGGTCAAATTAATGCAATATAATGTAATAATATAAATGCTAAGAAGAATATGATATTGTCTCCATGGGGATATGTGTCCTCTTATCATCTCTTCTTTGCTGTTGGGGTAAATGCATTCAGGGATTTCAATCTGGGACCTTCTGGCAGTGAGGTGAGGACGCTACCTACTCATGATTCATACAATCTGTGACACCTGAAACTTCTGCATAGTGATTTAAAGGTACACTTTGTTACTTTTCTGGCGGGGTTTTGCCATATGCTTGTCTCCATGGGGATATCATAGCTTTGCTTAGAATGAGCCATCCTATCACACTAAACATCTTCTTGCATTTATTCAAAGACAGATGTTTTATTGCTAACATGAGTTTATAGCCGTACTGTAGAACAATCAAGGCAAGCAATAACAGCAATAGAGACCAGCATGTGGCACATCAAATACTCCACTAGAAAAGTTATATAGTACATATTTAAAACATGTTTTCTGATTCTGATCTGATTCAACCCTGAATATTTGTTACTATATTGACTTAGCATTTAATACATGATAGCTGGAACAATACATTATCTTGGGGCTCAATATTTATCATATAGAAGGGGAGCCATGTGAAGCTTCTTGACCCGGGTCCCCAAATTTCTGTCAACAGGACTGATCGTGTGTATAATTTCTTATAAAAGCAGAGAGGTTTGGGGTATTTTTGTTGTATACAATATGATTTGAGCTGTACAGGTTTGAATATCTAACTTCTATTTGAAGTTGTTGCAGCTCAGGTCTTTTTATGATACTGTCTATATAAAAATGGTTTACTAGGATTATCTTGGATCACTGTTATTGTGGCATAAAGGTTGTTATTGTGACAGGCCTGCATTCACACTACATCTTACCCTAATTTAGTGTTATAATACAAACTGTCACTTAGCACTTTGTATTTGTTGGCACAGTGCATCCTCATCATTTTAGACTTCACAGTTCAGGTACTGCTTAGCTTCAAACATTAACTCAGTGACCTCAGTCATGTTTTCCACTAACAGACTTCAGCTTTCGTACAGTGGGGTTATTTAAGGTAAGCCATAAAGCCTGTCTGACACTGTAACATGCCTTAAGTGGTGGGTTTAGTGCTAGATTAGTGGTAAATATTTGAGTTTGTGTGTCATCTGCGTATTGTCATGGCCTGGTGTGTAGCCGGAAGTGTGTGCAGTGCTCATAGTTCTTAAACAGGAAATGTGTAGTGTTCACAGCCAGATCAGATGCTTTCCTGTGCCCTTTTTGTTATTAAAAATTCACAACTTCACTGACACCTGTAGAGACATTTTTTTTATAAACTAAGCAACATTTGTTACTCAGTTTATAGTTCCAAAATAGAGAACAACATGAAGTTTTATTGCATCACCATATGGCCCATTATACTTAAACCACAAATTTCAGAGAAATTCAAATTTAAAGTCCTGTATTACACAACATTGACTCTTGTGACCTTTAAGCCTTGTTATGATGTTGCTACCTCATCAAAGACATAGAGCTGTGTTTTTGCTTCATCCACACATATTTGAGTAATTTATTCTTTATCTCCAAAGCTCAAAATGCTCTGTTCCACCTTTTGATTTCATGTAGTGGTCATTTTCAAGTTAACAGCGACCTTTTACGTTTTGTTTAGTGGAGATGGGCAATTCCAGGGCTTATCCAAATGATTCTAGTGAAAGCGGAGTGGAGTGAAGCACTTCATCAGAAAGTGGAACAGAGTGTTTTCTGTTTTTGGGAGAAAACATTCAACTCAACTCAAACCTAAATATGCAGGGTTTGTGTGTTAAATATGTGTGAATGAAACAAAACACGACTCCAAGTGCTGTATGTTTTTGATGAGGAAACAGCATTAGACCATAGACTGTATATACTCTTTTGGCTTCTTCTGACCTTGGCTCCCATTGACTTACATTGAAATATTGTCACCCCTCTGTAACTACTAGCATCACAAGCTTCATTTGAGTGGAGTTGAACGCCATGGGTGACTTCAGAGTCACTTGGTCCACTTCTTCATACAGTCTATGATTATTATAGATCAGAAAATAGCATAATATGGGCCCTTTAATCATTCAGTCTATAGATGTCACAATATCTGTAATATATATTTTAGTGTTAGGGTCATTATGATAAGATTTTACAACTTTTCACATTTATCCACACCATAACCAAATAATAGTGAACCCCCTAAATAAAACCCATGTATAGTGTCTGTGTCTTTTATGTATTGCAATAGGAAAATATCACATTTAAATGGTCAAATGGTCTGTAAATAAATATACAGAGCTTTATTACCAAATGCCAATTCCTGCCCTTAATTCCAGTATTAAGAGTTTCTTTTTTTCATGAGGCATCAATACTAGTTACTTAAGTTGCTCAAGATGTGTTGTTAAGGAATGTTGGGAATCTAATAAATCTGCTTAATTTTCAGGTCTGCTTTGCGTTAAGTGCACAAATCGTAACATTTATTTTATGAAATATGCTCAAAGTGTTCAGCCTGGATTAGAAGGATGTATGAGTGTTTACATGGAGCTGTACTGAGGACTGATATGTGGCTTTTAGTTCATAAACACTACATTTTCAGTGCTTTTATGCATGACTGCCCTCAAGATGAAAGTGACATTCAGCTAAACATATATTTTTAATATACTGTCTACAAAATATTGCCTGGGATCCAGAATACAAATTTTTTCAATATTTTACGAAGATGTGAATCTGGTCACCTGTGAATTTCTGCAAGCTCAGATGGGTGTGATTAACAGGTGGACTGACCAATCAGGGCAGTCTGTATCAAAACATATGACTGCTTACAAGGGAAAAAGAGAGACTGAAAAACACGGGAGATTCCTGCAGTATTAGTGATCAAAGACCTAACCTCTGAGGTTCACATGTGTTGTGGAAAAAATTATACAAGTTACATACATGTAATACAAGTTACGTTTGAGGACAGGTAAAACAGCAGACTGTGGGATGGGGACAGTTATGTCTGCTGTGCCTTTACACATGTTAATGACTGCTCTGGTCTCCGGTAGAAATCACATTCCTTTACACAAAGAGAGATTGAGAGAAAGCTTTCCATCATAACATGCGTCACTGAAAAAAATCTAATCTGCATGATCGTGTTCACTGTCAACCCATACCTGTGACCGAAATAAACCAATCAAATGTTCGTAGACGTCAGAGGCTATGGAAGGCATGGGGACTGATATAAAAAACAGAGATATCATTCTGGATTGGTCAGGCAATACAAAATAAGGTTTTTAATTTTTAAGATTCATTCTCACTTTTATGATTAGGGCTGGGTATCATTAAAAAGTTGGCGATACGATACATATCTCGTACAGTGAGCTTACGATTCGATACAATATATTTCAAATTGAATTTGATACAGTTCAGTAATAAATAATGGAAAAATGATGCTTATGATACTAAAAGTCTTTGTTAAACCACTGTGCAAAGTTAATATTAAACACACCCATTTTTCTCATCAACATAGTGAATGTGTCAAACGTGTTGCATAAACCAGTTTCCTTCCTCTGAACAAACAACAAAACTAGCACTGTAACAAAATATTTTGGTAAAATATACCAAAAATTACTCTTGGCGATATATCGAAACAGCAGCCCACGTTGACGATACTGTATCGTCACATTAAAAGATACAATTATATCGATATTTCAATATTTTTGCACACCCCTGCTTATGATGGATTGCAAAAAAATATATAATCTGATTTTCAGTATGAAAAATATAGACGTCTTATGGCTGTATAACAATCAAGCTTTATCTTTATGATCGAAGAGTGTGAAAGCACTTGTTTTCTCTTTTGGGTGTGACAACATGTTTGTGGGTGGGAAATATTAGAAAATGTGTTCCTCAAAGTTTATATGTGGACAAAAGCAAAAGCATATGAGCAGACTTGTGATGGCTTGACAGCTGGTGCGATGGAGCTTCCCAAACACTAGACTCACTGCTTTTCTTGGTCTGCAGTTGTCAGTATCTATTAAGGGGACCAAGGAAGGAACAGTTGTGATGCAAATGGAAAGAGGGTGCTAATATGATCTTACTTTAAGACTAGTATTATTTTAGTAGTTTACTTTATTATCTTATTGTTGTTATTTTTTATGTATTTGTGCAGCACTTTGGAAACAGTTTGTTTGTGAAATGTGCTATATAAATAAAGTGGATTGGATTGGATTGGATGATCTAGGACAGGGTGATATGGGGAAAATGAATCATGATTTGTTTTTTTCCTCTCATATTGATTAGTCACTTTACTTAACTGGATGTTATTCTTCCTTATTAAAACAAATAAATAGGACTTTAAAGGTAACTGTGTAACTTTTCTAGTAGGTCGTCGTCACAAACTTGTTTCCATAAAAATACTATTGCTTTGCCTGAAAGGATTCACAGTATGGCATTAAACTAATATGTGCTGCTTGAATTCACTTTCAAGTGTTTTAGTGCTCATAAATACTATGAAAAAACGTGTGCTCCTACAGTGAACGAGCTCTCCTCTCCACAGATCTGACCTGTAACTTGACCTGGAGGTTTTGTGAGCTTGACTCCATGGAAATAAGTTTAATGCCATACTGTGGGACATGTAGAGAAAGCAGTAACATTTCCACGAAGACAAGCAGGTGGTGGGCCCTCCACCAGAAAGTTACACAGTGCATCTTTAATTCTCGACTGCACGAACATAAACAAAACCTTGCGATTTAACACAAAAATAGTAAAATTTCTTCCTTCAAAGTCTGAACTATGCTCCAAACCTCCTGCTTTTAAACACAGAGGATTGGATGTAGACCTCTCAATTTAAAAAGACACTATCTGATCATTGAATCTCAAATCATTGACAACAACTGATTCAATGATAATTCAATGCACTGTGCAACCCCAGTAAGGCCATCTAACAGTTCCTGCAGCTCAAATGTCCAAAAAGTAAAAGCTTGATCTGATATTAAAATGTCTGCAGACATGCGTTTCAATTTGCCTCACACTGAGATGCTTATTGCCTATGATATTATGTATGATTGGTTTGCTCTGCCCCATTTAGTAATTTTATCATTATTTTGCTGTTCTCATCCTTTCAGGTGGGAGACAGAGTAATAGTCCTTGGCCGCAGCGGTATATGGCAGGAAGTGGTTGTGGTGCCGTCCAACCGTGCGTTCATCATGCCCGATCAGATGAGCTTTGAGGAGGGAGCTGCCCTGCCCATTAACTACCTCACAGCTTATTTGATGCTGTTTGAGATGGCTAATATAAAGCCGGGCAAGAGTGTCCTCATCCACATGGCAGCAGGTAATGGTAGTGTATATACTAAGTTTAGCATTATGTTTAGACTACAATCACTAGGGATGGGACAAGACAGTTTCCATGAGATGAGACGTGAGATATGGTCCACAAGAATGAGATAAGATGAGAAGTTTGACATATTAATACATACTTTTTGTCATTCAATTCACAATTTAGGCCTCACCATTTCTGATTTATGTTATTTAATTTTTTTGTAGCATTTACTTCAGGATCAGAAAAGTTTTTTGTCCAATCCATATTTAAAAACATATTTTTTCTCTTGTGGCAGTTTTGTCTCACAAAATCTTGTGGTATGAGATCTTATCCCACCCTATTACCATTATTGGCATGGTGAACATAATGAAATATAGGAAATAACATGTGTCCATTCTTGTCATTCTTGTCTTTGTCATTCTAACATCTTTGTCCTTTCTTCCAAATACTAAATGAATATTGAATAATATTTTTTTATTTGGACTAACAGACTGACCCTTGCCATGTACTGGAAAAGGCACTTTTATTACAAAGACAGCAAGGTTCAGGTACCCTTTATTGTTCCCATAAGGAAATTTGTCATCTGCATTTGACCCATCCTTCAATGCCACTGGGGCAGCGGGCTCCATAGTACTGCGCTTGGGGACCCATCTTCAGATCCTGAGCTAGTCTTGGTCAGGACTACCTTAGCTGGAGGATTTGACCTATTGTTTATTTGTAAACCTGGACTAACAAAAGGATTTCAAGCGCATTTCATCTTTACTTCAACTTGGTTGAAATCTATATAAAAGCCAAATCCAATAAAATGATCACCAAGTAGCTAATTAGTTGAGTATTAAAATAATCATTGACCCCAGCATTTATGAAATCATGTATTAACATTGTTTAATAGATTACCATACTTATTATCTGTTACCATGCTACCATCTTCATGATGTCTTAACTCTTTTAATGAGCATAATAGGTGATTTACATATTTATTATCATTAGCTTAACAAGTCTCTATTACATTAAAATCAGACATGGTTGCTTCAAAATATCATGTAATTATCACCCCAAATGCTTAAGTCAATTGCACTTTTCCTGGCTATGAATAAAACACATCAAATCTATATAACAGACTCAACATGGGCTCTGGTCTCTTGGGAGCATGATCACTGTCACTCTGCTATGAGAGTATCTAATGAGTGTTTTGAATGCAGACACAAAACTACAGGGGTCATAGGTGAATACTGGGTGAATCACTGACATATTGATGAAATGGCAAATTGGATCAGCAGCAGTTGCTTTGGAAACTGGTTCCACCACAGTGACAGACACATGTGAATTCTGAACAAAGTAATAACAAAACACTTGAGACTACCACATCCTGTAATGGGGGGGCTTTACTAGACCAGAAAATACCAGGCTGAAGTATGATGCAAATTGTTTATTTAAAAAAAAAAGTTAAATTGGACAATGTGACAAAATGAATAGAATCATGATCAGACTCTAGAGATGATGAGATGGAGATAATAACAGTGATTCAATGTTTGATGCCCCCAGCTCAAATGCAGTCAAAGTAGACTTGAATAAACATGAACAAAGGCAAAGTAGATACGTTTAATGCCATACTGTGCAAAGGTAAAACAATAATATCTCCTTGGAAACAAGCAGGTAGCAAACCCCCTCAAGGCAATATAAAGCAATTAGGTGGGCAAGATTTGTGGGGAAAAAAAGAAAAGGGAAAAAAATTAAATAAAATTCAATATTGTAAATATTGTACAATATTGTAAAATATTTGTGATGTAATTTTCATTTGCATTAATCACAAATAAATTATATGAAAAAGCCATTAATCTTATCCTAGAATAATTACTTGATAACCAAATAGAGTAGTCTATATTTCATCATAATATAATGTAGTACTATCTGTATACACTTGCAATTACACAATTACAATTTTCCATCAGCCAAAGTGCTCATTGTGTTCATGTGGTGTGTGGGAGGTAGTCAGCTGACCTTTATGTGAGTCATGTGACCTGTTTGAATCAGGTTGAAGATCGAAGCATGACAAACGACTGCTGCCGCTGATCACTTGGGCGGCCATATTGGTTACAGCTGAGTGCAGATTTTACAAAGCAATAAAGAGCCTGAGGAACCAGTTGGTTAGGATGCCATGACCTTTTATACTTCATTCAGCGTGATTGAGGGAGATAGCAGTTCACTATTCAGCCAGATTTGACAGTGAGATGTATTTTATGACCTTAGCAAAAGTGGCTAATATGGGATCTTTGTATCTCACTGTATCTCACTGTATAATACCTATAATAAATATCTGAATTTGGTTTAGAAAGTGACTGGAATACACTGTATTAATCTACCAGGACAAGGTAGCTCAATAAATAATAGATAGATACATTATCTTCCAGCTAAATGGTTAAACAACCAATTCAATTTAATTTATTTGTGCAGACAGTTGAATTTAGCTTAAAGGTGCTATGTAACTTTTCCGGGGGAGGGTCCACTACCAGTTTGTCTCCAAGTAGATGTTATTTCTTTGCCTGTAATATTCTACAGGATGGCATTAAACAACTCAACTCTATTTCAATTAAACACACCAATGTGACAGGTCAGATCTGTGGAGAGGTCACAATAAAAATGTATGTATTTCTATGTAATTTTGAGCAATTAAAAACACTTGTAAGAAAATGAAAAATAGATATGTTTAATGCCATACTGTGGACCATTCCAGGAAAAGTATTAACATCTTCCACCATAATAGTTTTGCAGTGTACCTTTTATAAAGAACCTCTAACAATTACACCATGTGCTATAACACTGATGGAGGGATTTAAAAGCCTCTCCATAGCAGGCCTGTAGGAGCTTGTAAACAGGTTGTTGTTAACATGTTTTTCTGCTTTGTGCACATCTGCAGGGGGTGTGGGGATCGCTGCCACCCAGCTGTGCCAGTCCGTGCAGGACGTGACCATATTTGGAACAGCATCAGCCTCAAAACATGAGACCATCGTTCAGGGAGGAGTCACTCACCCCATTGACTATCGTACCAAAGACTATGTAGAGGAGGTCCGCAAAATCAGCCCCAAGGGTAAAACAAAAATTACATTAGCCTATATTTTTGATTGGTATAATAAATGTGCATTTTTGTGAATAATTCATGTCTTGGTGTTTGCAGGAGTTGATGTGGTTCTTGATCCACTTGGTGGCTCAGACACTCAGAAAGGATTTAATTTATTGAAGCCCATGGGTTCAATTGTAGTGTTCGGTAAGGTAACACTGACAATGTTACATTTACATTTGTCACTGGACCATTCATTTAATACTAAACATTTCCCCTCACAAATTGGTTTTACTTAGGATCAGGACACTTCACGAGTACATTGAGTAGTTAAAAGATTACAATGACATGGACACAGCCTATACAATACTCCACATATTGCCAAGTGCCAAGTCAAAAAGAATCCCATACAAAGATAATAGGCCAATTATATCTGAATATTTCAAAGTTAAACTGGTCGGTGTGCCGTTTCAGGTGCAGCCAATGGTGTAACAGGTCAAAAGAGGAATCTGATAGCCCTGGCTAAACTCTGGTACCACCAGCTCTCGCTCTCCGCACTCAAACTGATGCAGTCCAACAAGGCGGTGTGTGGCTTCCACCTGGGCTACCTCAAAGATGAGGAACTCATCAGTGAAACCATGGCCAAAATGCTGGAGCTCTACGGCCAGGGGAAAATCAAGCCAAAGATCGACTCGCGCTTCCACTTTGAAGAGGTCAGTTTATTCTCTGAAATACCATGAGAAAGCTGCCCACATAAAGCTTGCCTTTGCCTTTGAAATGCTTGCATTTTAAGCCTTTTTATTTTATTAAATAAATACCATGAAGGGAAGTGATGCACTCTAAGATGAACCAAAAATTACTGAGTGTCCTTTCGGTTTATACATTGAACTATAAACTTGTGCAGTGGACATTTGGGTCAGTATTGATTTGTTAACAAATTAAGCAAGAAAGATATACCTTAATGACTAAAATAAAACCTGTAGCTGAACCTGGACCTGTATTTACCTATAATTCTCTAGTCTCTATCAACTGTTATAGTTTCGATATCTTTTATTTTTTCAGTTTCTTTACTGAACCCTTGTGGCTATCTGTGTCTGTGGCCTCATTTTTCTGAATTACAGTATCATAAAGTAGCATTACGTCCGTCTATTGTAGCCTTGGGTTTGCCTTGGCCCCAGGTTGTAAACATCAGTGGTTTTCCCCATTATTATTGCAGTAGATGAGACCACCATCCTCTGATAGTACTTATTGGCTGTTGCTTGGTGACGATCTCAGTTGTTGCCATTGGCGAGGTTCACTGTTTCAAGTTCATCTGGTTTGCTTCAAGGATAGATGCAAGTGTGCAGAGACCAGAGAAACGGAAAGTCAAATGTAACGCTTCAACACAGAGGTATAATCCTACTATAATTTTTTTTTTTATCCGTGTGGAGTAAGAGAGAACAAAGCAATGTTCCATTAAATCAAAGTCCACTACTTATCACTGGCTGATCATAAATTAAACATTGAAAGTACATATCTAACACATACTCAGAACTTGACCTACTTCTTGACAAGTCAAAACAGCTATACCAGGCTAAAAGATTTATTGGAAATAAAATTCCACCAAATTTAATAAGCAATTGATTTGTTCCAGGTTTATTTCATATTTTCCAAACATTTGGCTTACATTATCATCAAAGTTTGTGTGTGCCATTTTAGTCCTGTAGCAATTTATGTGAATGCATGTGGCAATAATGAAACTTTGCTGACCCCTTATGATTGAAGGTCTCTCTTTGGCCCAATTTTTCTGAATTACTGCGTCACTGTCACCAGGGAAATACATTACAGAATTATGACCTGGTCTGTGGAGCTTCATATCAACAACCAGCTACCTGTACTGGAAACCAAATTTTGTGTCAAAGTTTTGTGGAATAAAGTCTATTTTCGTATTCTTGCAGGTTGCTGATGCCATGAGACGCATGCATGAGAGGCAGAATATTGGGAAAGTCATTCTTCTCCCTGAACCCAAAAAGGAGGAAGAGAAACCCAAAACTCCAACGGAAACTGTGGAAAAAGAAGAGACACCTGAAGCTGCTGCTAACGAGACAAAAGAGGAGGCGACGGAGGAAGCCAAGGAAGAATAGGACTGAGTATGAAGGGTTTAAGTACAAACTAAAGATGATACATTTGTCAGTATTGTTTAAGTATTTATGTAACGCTTAAAAGGGGAATAATTTGATGTACGTCCAATATTTTTTGTGCCAAACTAAGAGCATGGTGCTATACAATTCTTTATGATGAAACAAAAAAAGTATTTGGGTGATATGAAAACCAAACCACTATTCTAATGAAATTTCTTTGACATTTTGGTGACAATTGTTCTGTTTTGTATTGCACTGTTTATTGCACTGTTATGATGTGAAGTGGCTGTCCCATGAATAGTAATTATAGCAATTTTGTGCCAAAAGAATCAGTGTGCATATGTTTGTAAACACAAACTGAAAGATTTCAACCAGTTCTTTTAAGTAACAGTTGGTAAAACTCACAATCAGCATCTCATAAAATCTATTCCACATGCTTGAAAAATGTATTAGGTATTCAATATGTGTAAGTTCAACCAGTTGGTCAAGTTGTGTAATTATTTGTAAAAGCACTTTCATTCACTACTTTATTTTTATTAAGGAAAAGAAATATTTTATCACTATCAACAATTGTAGTTAAAGTAGTGTGTGACGGAGCTGCCTTTGCCTTGAAAAACTAAACCCAATTCTGCCTTGTGCCATTTTATGTTGATTTTCCTTTTGGTAACATTTTCCACAATAATCCTCTTTTCGTTTAATGTTTTTCTCCAACCTCAAACAGTAGAGTTGATTTGGTCTGGAGATAGTTTGTCCAGCTGTGGGTGTAATTCAATGCTATGATGTGGAAAAAACGCTACCAAAGCATTGAAGAATTTGCCTCTCGTCTGTTCACATTCCACTCACCTCCCTCTCACTCCTGCTTTATATCCAACTCGCATACGTCTAAACTGTATCAAAACTCTCCTCCCATTTGCCTCATAACATTTGTTTAACCCTCAGAATGATATGTTGTGTTATTTACATTTGTGGCATTCCTTCACTCTTGGACAAGTGTAAGTTTGGCCAGGACTTTCCAGTATCCCTAAAAACCTGAAGTGGATTATTCTAGACTCGGAGTTGGAGTCTCTATGTGCTTATGTGAAATTAGTATAGTAATGTAATGTTTGTGTCATTGTGTTGTGTTACTTTTTTTTTTTTTAACATTAAGTGATCAGTTAAGTGTGTGATCAATTTAAATGTAAATATAATAAAAATATGTTTGCAATTGTAAATTGTTAAATCAATTTAATTATGAACACTGCCATTGCATTTCAATCATATTGATTACTGTTATAACAATAATAGCATATAGTTATATTATAAATCACGTTACTGAAAAAAAATGCTACTTTAAAAAATATTTCTTTTTGGAGTACCAAGTGTAAGTGTAATGGTTACTTGAGTATGAATGAACCATGTAAATTAATTTGGAGCTACTCTCCAATAGCTAAACAGTGAAATCTGGCGGTTGAACTAAGTATTACATTTAATAATAAAAAAAAAAAAGAAAGAAAAAGAATTAAAACGATTAACATTGTTTATCCCTCAAAATGTTATTGTTGGTTTATTTACTTTTCATCTGTTGCAATCTCATGCTCAATGTGGAGAATGTATAGTAATCGAACTACAACATGGCATACACGGACTATAGCATATTTGTATCCTAATTATATTATGTTTATAAATCTATATATGTGAACCTGGATCAAATGTGTTGATCTTCACTTTTGTCTGAGCTTGAAAAAGCTGACCTCAATATGTACTGATTTGTAGTATTTGGTCCTACCACTAGGGGGCCTGGTGTGCTTGCGATGAAGGCTTGGATTAGTAGGCCCCATGCAATAACAAGAGGATAATCCCTGACACTGAGCAGTTGGTTTAGTAATCGTGATGTTTGATGGGGAAATTGGGAAAAGTGGAGTTTGGGGTTTTCAGAGTAATAGTGGGTATCATTAAAAATTCTAACATAACTATTACTACAATATACTAAAGCTCTGGTAAAAGTGAAGATACAAAGATGGGTTAAAGTTACATTGCCTTCAAAGTAAAGGCATGTATTTTTCCAGAATAAAACAATTGGTGGTGGTGTAAATGTGGGACCAAGAGACACTTTTCCCTCTTAATTGCATTGTACTTTGCCATGAAATATCTAAAAGGTAAATTCGCAAATGTTGAATTTGACCTATTGCGGACTAGACCCAAGAACTCGCTGTATTGCAAGAAAAATCTTAATTTAACAACATTAATTTTAGCTGCCCTATCAGTATTAAATATTACTGTCTTATAGAATGTTGTGATGTTATCTGAAACCCAGCGATTAGTTAAGTGATGATGTCATTTAATTGGGGGCACTCCAAAGGTAAAGCTGTGCTGTCCTCACATTTTGCCTAATGTGGGCAACTTTACAGTACAGAAAAAAATGGAGCAAAGTGCAAATTCCATGATGTACAAATCAAGGAGTGAGTCAGAAGTCAATTACTGAAGATTAAGTGAAGATATGACAGAAAAGAAAAGATTTAGTTTCCATATTAGGTATAAGGCAGATGATGTGCTGATGTGATTAAGCGTATCCCGTTCAATCAGACAGAATGTGACTGTGGTATTATTATCTTGCCCTTCGCACAGAGTAGACACTATAGACGACCTCTGTGTGAACTCCGCTGAGTACTGTAGTATCTGCTGCTTACTCAGGCCCTCACACATGCCAACACTTATTTTTAGATGTAGCCTATGCATTTAGAGATTAGTAGTAACTTGACCATTATACATTAAATAGGCTACATTGTTCATGTTTGTTCAACGTGATTATTCAACTGACAATAATAAAGATGAAATCTACATTTATGGAGTAAATTTAGGCCTATTTGTAGCAGTAGTAGCAGGTCTTATGTGCCCAGTGACAGGCCCTACTCATAGACTGTATAGGCCTATATAACGTATATGGATGTCCCAAAATTCTGTGAAGCATTTTTATTATAGCATCTGGATTGAAGTAACCTATATTTTGCATTTATCTGTGCTTATAATAAATGCTACATTTTTAACTATAAGTGTCTTTAATTTGAAAGGGCTTGGCGGAAGTGCCCTGTTAACTGTGTTTACATTGACAGAGCGGCTTTAAATGGGAATACCCTCTGTGCTGCTGGGGGAGTCTCCTTTAAATCCTGCCGCGTCACTGGGATGCGGTTGAAGCCGGCTCCGAGGCGCTGCACATCCCGCTCCTGTACCCACCAGCAGCGGTGAGTACAGGCCCGCTTTGTTCCCCCTGTCCCACCACTGCTCCCACCGAGTCGACCGCCCCTTATCTCTGCACTGGAGTGTGATCTGTTTGTGCCTTTAATCTTTGCATGCATGGTAGTACCGCAGACTGTAGTACAGAGCCGGAGCCGCGTTAATGTAATGACATTCAGTTGTAACCTCGTCTTCTGCAGAAATAGCGCGGCAAGTGTTAAATTTAGATGGCTTAGTACTGTAAATATATATACCGGGAACATTGTTAGCAGTGAGGGAAGGAATTAACCTGCTATTTTCTACAATGTTAATCAAACACTCCAAATTTCAGTTTATATTTTTTGCTTGGTTGACATTGAATTTAGACTATATCAGAACTGCATTAATTCTGAATGGACTTTACTATTATAATAGGCTAAAGATGCACACATTTTGGCGTAATGTACAGTTGACAGGCTCATGTATTTGTCAGCTTTTTATTAAATACACTACTCTTATAAACCAGATCAACTGACTGCCCATTTCTTACAATGAGACAATCACAATAATAGAGATCATTAGACTCTGCCCAGTCACAAAGTTCATTGAGTTCAGACGTTTTCAAACTTCAGGAACTGTCTGGACCACAGCCTGTGGGTTTTTTGACATTGACCTTTTCCAGTTATAGTGAAGTTATGCGGTGACATACCTACACTCAAGTTACAACATACCTTTAGGGAAGTTCATGTTAACAACTTTTACTTTTCTTTTAAAGGTACACTATGTAGCTTTTCTTGTGGATGTGGGGTCTGCTACCTGCTTGTCCATAAATGTTATTGACTTTCTTGGAGTATTCCACACAAGTTACATAATACAGAAATCAGTCTGAGCATAACACAAGGCAAATTATTACTATGTTTTGAGTACATTGTGTTTTAATTGAATGGTCCCACCCTTCCTCTCATCTTATAAACTTTTGTTTCCCTTGCTGCCTATGACCTAATTATTTTGGTTTTATACATACTGGCTAGATAATAATCACAGTTAACAGTTTAGTGTTACAATTTGTTGGAGATTGGGATCTTTAATTACAAACTAAACAAAAAGTAAAATGTTGAGATACATCACACTGGTGACCGTATTTGTAGATAAACTAATGAAATGAATGAATCAATAAATGTATGTTTTTGACATTTAAGTCCATCTATTGCATTTCTTATCTATTTGGACATAAGCACCAACAGCTGCAAGAAACAGATAACAAATTTAGATTCTGCAATACTGTATAAATCCCCTTTAAAATGGTATTATATTATATATTATAATGTAATATAATATTATATTATATAATATAATATTATATTATATTTTAAATGTATAGTGTTGAAAATAGTATAGTGTAGTAGTAGTATATAGTAAATAGTATTGAAAATATTTATAATCTTAATTTTTCTCTGTTTTTCCAACAGCACCATCTCTTTATCTTGAGACCAAAGATGACAACAAATTTAACCCAGGAAATGCCACAAGATCAGCGCTTCCTGGTTCTTTTCGATTTTGACGAAACCATCATCAACGAGAACAGTGACGACGCTGTGGTGCGGGCCCTCCCAGACCAGCAGCTCCCTGACTGGTTAATAAACAGCTATAGGGAGGGTCATTACAATGAACACATGCAGAAGGTATTGGCCTACATGGCAGAAAGAGGTGTGCCCAAGGACTCCATCCAATCAGCTGTGGAGACAATAATGCCCACTCCTGGTCTACTTGTGCTACTACAATTTCTCCAAAACCACCAACAGGACTTCGAGCTAGCCGTGGTATCAGATGCTAACACGTATTTCATCAGAACATGGTTAGAGAGAGCAGGGGTTTGCCATCTTTTTAGGAAAATTTTCACAAATCCAGCTAGTTTTGATGCATCAGGTCGACTTGTGCTACTACCTTTTCATTCGCACTCATGTAAGCGTTGTCCTGACAACATGTGCAAACAGGTGATTTTACGGGACTACCTGGCAGGAAGGCAGAAGGAGCGTGGGGGGACGGCCTTTCAGAGGGTCTTCTATATTGGAGATGGAGCCAATGATATTTGTCCCATGCAAGCTTTAGGTCCCCGGGATACAGCGTTTCCAAGGCGAGACTTCCCCATGCACAGGCTGCTCATGGAGATCCAGACGTCCCAGCCTGCTCAGTTCAAGGCCAATATGGTGCCCTGGGCCAGTGGAGAGGACATAGTGGACTGCCTGAAGAAAGTCCTGGAGGAAAGATGAAATACAAAAATGAGTTCAAATACAATCCTTTTAACTGATCATAGGCATTAATACTATAGTGTTAATGCCTATGACACTGTTTTAAGGTCCTATATTACACAACATTGTCTCTTGTGAGCTTTAAGCCATGTAATAATGCTGTCACCTCCTCAAAAACATACCTGGAGTTGTGTTTTTTCCATTTAAACATGTTTGAGTAAGTCTGTCTGCATCTCCAAAGCTCAAAATGCTCTGTTCCACCTTGTGATGTCATGAAGCAGTAGTTTCAATTTAACAGTTACCTTTTACCTTTTGTTCTGTAGAGATTGGCAATTCAAATCCAAATGATTCTAGTGAAGGTGTATGGAGTTTAAAAACACAGTGCAGCACTTCCTATATTACCATATGGCATCACAAGGTGGAACACAGTGTTTTCAGTTTGAGAAAAGAACTCAACCTAAATATGCAGGTATGTTTGTGATGAGGAAACATCATAACATAAATCAGCAAATAGCGTAATATGGGCCATTTAATAACCCTATAGAAATCACATGACAATTTTAATGTTTTAGAGATGAACTGACTTTAGAAGTATTACAGGCATGCAGTGTATTTTAAACCAAAATAATATTTTACTCACTATCAAATTGAAAATAACCAAATCCCCTAAATTTGTAATATTAACCAAAAACATGTTATATTACATGTTATAAACAATATTACCAGATGAAAAGAATTCTAATACACACTAACATTACTTACAAATTTACAAATGCCTCTACTAACCTTACTAACCTTAACTCAGTATTTAATTATTTATTAATTGCACATAGGCAAAGATTTAGTATGTTTTTTATATTGGATTCCCTCCCCAACAGTCACATATTTATACTACATTAAGCAATATAAATGAATAGATAATATATAGATAATAATCAATATGAGCAAAGTATTGTTTATGTAAGCACCAAGAGTTGTTGGTGTGTTTTTGCCTTTTTTGACTGAAACCTCTTTTGTGTGCCGTCTTGCACATGAGCATCTCCCTGTATCACATTTGACACTTGAGAAGTCCCTTTTGAACTGTCTCTACATGCATCATAGAAGTATTTTCAACAGTAACAGTGGGGGTCCCCTTGAACAGCGGCACACAGTGACTAGTGTTGCAGGGTGTCTCAGGACAATGTTGCACCTGTGTTTTATCAGTGTGGGACAGAAGCGCCTCAGACCAGAGATAAGGTGACAGGCTCAAACACAACTCATAAATAATCTAGAGCTTGATTATTCAAGTGAAATGGACACCAGCAACAAAGACTAACTTCAGTTCAGGATGGCCCCTGACTCTTCAATATAGGTCTGTCACAATAACAAATTTGTAAACACAAAAATGTAACCACGATAAATACTGACCCCAGAAAATGGTTCCATCTTTCATATACTGAACGATAAGTCAATACAGTAATTAAGGTGACAGGCCTATTGCAATACTAATGACACAACTTAGTGGGTTATAGATGCTAGTGAAAATATATTTTGGGAGTAAACCATGTATATAGCAATATAGTAAACCAAATAGTATTTTTATGTGACGTGCTTGGTATGTCTACTTACTACAATGATTTAAGGTATTTGTGCAGGCATACATCAAAGGTGAAATATTTTCAACTGTTGAAGCAATTTCTATTACTTCTATTACTACAAAATGCTATAAGCCTATCTGAAATTTAAGTACAACATTTTTGTAATCCATACAGTTTATTTCAGTTATTTTTCACTCAGAATCTTCAGTAATTCCCATCATATTCAAACTGAATAATGTCCCCCTATTTTACTGAAAGACAGATTTAAGTATACCTTAGTTAAACCGCATTAGTTATACATGTATAATTGATTTATGTAATTGTGTGTGTCAGACAGTAAGACTGTGCTAAATGGTTGAACTTTTGAAAAGAACAGAGGCATTATTGATAGATTTAAACTTCTCGGGTGGGGTGGTAAACAGATGAAACCATTACAGGTCTGTTTATTGTTAAGTAACAAGGAATACCACACCTGTCATACCGCAGACTCAGGCATCAAGAAACTCATTTAATTTAAACCAAGTGATATGAGTTTATTCAAGTAAAACTAAAATGAGACTGAACAACAGTGAAACTACTTCACTTTACTTCTGTGCAATAATGTAATGTAAACTTTGCAATGGAATAAAAGGGACTGATTCAGGGATGTAAAATCAAGATAATATGGCATTATATGTATTGTATTTATCATGTATTGTATTGTGTTTCAAACAATGTAATGTTCTATCACTGTAACAGGAATATAAAGCCATCATCTGATCAATGTGTTTGCCTTGTGAATTTTTGGTGCAAGTTATATTTGAAATCTTGAATCTATCACAGTTATTTAGCACATATTTACAGTTTTCTTACTGGTGTAACTATTGTGATTTGTATGAGGGATGGGCAGTGTTCAAAGAGACAACAGCAGACTTTTTTGTACTTTTTTCCTGCAATTTCCAACTGTAACACCAGAGGACACTAGAGTTACACTTACAGGACACTGGTCTTAATATTGTTGATAATCAACTTAAGCTCAGAAAGACTTACTTTGGTTACTGTTTTAGATATTTATTTCTATTTCACTGTAAGTAACTAATAAGTAAATTAATGAAAGTGTGTTTTCTGTAGTCTTATTTTACATTATTATAGAGAATTTTTGTTGCTTCAAAGGTGAATGTTGTGTCATCTTTGGGTTAGTCTTGTTTTATTTTAGTCAAATTAGACAAATAGCTAATTGTGAGTGTCTTTTTTTTCTGTTTCTTTTAGCTGTTTCCCTTGCTTGACTTTTTTTCCAAATTCAAACTCTCTTTGGTTGAGTCATCTACACATCTTTCACATATTTTTCGGAGTGCAGGGCAGGGGTGACCTAATAGCCCTTGGGATTTTGACCCTGTTTTTCCAGAAGATTAACTACTTAATTGTAAATAATAATAATAATTATTATTATTATTATTATTATTATTATTGAAATATATTTTGACTCTTGTTTAAATCTTCAATGTCCCTTAGTTTCCCTGTTAGTTCACACAAATATATTTTTCTGATGCTATCTCTTCAACACATCTATGGACTATGATCCACTCCCAGGGGAGGTGTTATGTCACTGTTGTCTTTTGTAATATCCACTGTCACTCCCCTACTCTTAATATTAAAACTCAGCCAATACAAAAGCTGACTACACACTTGTGGCCATCCCATCTCTTTCTCATTGACAAGAACTGTTTTACAATATGCCCTATCCTCTCAAACAGTACTACTAAAATTGATCTTTCAATTTAGTTTATATTGTTTGTTGGAAGCATGCTATATGTCTAATAAGCTAAATAGGTACAAGATAACCTGCTGCCCAAACCAATTTTCAGTGACCTCTAAAGGGAAGTGGATTGATAGGAAATCCAGTTAACATCAATCTATGCAGAATGATGACAAATCACATTGGGAAGATGTCGTGGTTAAAAGGAGTGCATTCCTCTGGCCTCCTGTTCATGCTGTCAATATCTGGAGATGAATAAACCCTAGTCAGTAACACAAGCCTGTGACTCCTCTGTTTGAGAAATCTGCGGTGGTTTTCTAATGACTGTTTCAGTGGAAAGTCCTCATTGATTTCTTAACCAATTTACAGTTATTATACAGGTTTTTGAGGTGAAATAATAACTTAGTAAAGAGGCTTCATCCTTGTAAGAGGTCACACTGACGAGGATATGCCAAAAAACTATCAGGGTGATTAGACATATCAGTATGAAGGTGCTCTACTGAGACTGCAATTTCACAGATATACCTGGTCATTTTTTAAATATATTATACTATGAAGCATTTACTAACATCTGGAATGTTCTTGTTTGACACATAATTACACTCTAGAAAAAGTTAGCTTCAGATGTTTTGTTATGAAGCCTTTTTGTTGTTTTGCCTTTAAAATTTTGCCTGCTTGCATCATTATTACTAAAGTGACATGTTTGTAGCCTATTACATATACATATACTATACATATAATTGTTTATACTTCAGTTATTATTTTTTGGTTTAGTACATGGATGGTCAATTACTGGTCAAGGTCACATACACTTATTTCGATTCTTCACATGGGTCCTATGAAAAATTTACAATAAACTTTTTTGAATTGAATTTTGCAATGAGAGTTCCTTCTTTCTTAGTTCTGTCCAGTTGTCAGTCAAAAGTCCTACTGATCAGAGAGCTGTCTTTGAGTACATCTGTCAATAGTTACACCATCCGTATCAGGAGAGGGAGGAGAGGATGGAAGGAAGGGTGGGTGAAGCTCATCTGTCCTTGAGATAAACGTCAGTGATAAACCCAAACCTCCTCGGCTCATTACTTACTAAAACAATACGTGAATTGTATCTGTAAGTCCTTGAGGATTCAGTGTAACACAAATTCAGCTGGCTGCGTCAATGGCTTTTGGAAATCTGAAAATGACACAAAAGAGACACAGGTGCACTTTTGGGCATTGTCAAATAATACAATGTACAATACCCAAGGATTTGTAGTGAGTTCAAATTCAAAGTCTTTGTAGACACAGATCCTGCCTTCCATTTGTGTGGCATCCTTGAGTAGGAAATCCCTCTCTAAAAATGGTCCAATTGTTGTAGAACTTCCTGTCATGTGTTTAACCTAATCACTGTCAGTATACATAGGTCAGATTGTGTCCATACGTGCAAAACAATCCCACAGCGTTTAGAAACATATGGGAAAGTGTGATTCACCTTATAGAGGGCAAATAGTTTAGAACCAAAAGAGTAGTTGGCATAATTAAAGTTGTAGTACTGGTAATTCATCTAAAAAAGATAAAGTTTGTGTCTAGATTTCATATCTTTGATTATTCATTGTGTCAATCCCAAGCTTGGTATTAGTTAAACACACAAATTTATGCCACTCATTCCTCATATTTTTTTAATTCCATGATATTTAAATGCCAATAAATCCTTGGTTTGGTAATACCACCTGCTTGACTCCTTTGCATTTGCTATGCTATTCATGGGTTTCAGATTCTTGTTATAGCCAATATTTGGAAGATTTTTCACCATATAGGGTAGGATATTTTGTTGTATTGTTAAATGCTATGGCAACTGTCCTAATTTTTCATATTTTTTCATAACCAAAAAAACTTGAATAGTTTCCCTTTAAATAATTTGGAATGGGATATGAGTCAAGTCTAGTCTGTATGACTACTATTAGGTGGTGGCCATGTTTGCCCATGCAGGAAAGCTGTGAGGAAAACCTATGAACCCTGCTATGCCCGATGACATATTTCCTTAACCCAACCCGACCACATACTTCCCTGCCCATAGCTTACCGCATGTCAACATAATGTAGACCTATCCGTGCATCTGTTTGCTTTGTATAATGCCACACTACTCATAATGGCACATTCTTCACCCCCTTAAACCAGTCTAACAACTGATTAAAATCAAAACAAAGAAACTTCGAGTAATTTGTGTAGGTCATGTCTTAACAGCTATTTTAGTGTAGCCTAATAATACAAGTTTAAGACAATTTGGTGTTTTTTCTCATCTGTCACTTTGACTGTAGCTGAAGTTGTGGTCCCCTCTTCATTAACAGGAAATGCATGATGCTTAAAGAAATCCCACAGCCCCCGAAAGGAAACATGACATTTGGCATTACTTCTAAAAATGTATGACTGTTTTTGTAAGCATCTCCCAAAAGCAAATAGGGATCAAGAGGACAACCCCTTTTCCTCTCTCTCACCCAACTCTCACAAATCGTAACACAAACTCCTCCTCGTCTGGTTGGTCTTTGGTCCCACAGTCTCTCGCGTCTCCAGAAATGCGCTCTATCTTGTCTCCTACTTCGCGAGATCTGATCTTAAGTTCATTATAAAACAGTTACATTCATTTGTTTTGTGTTTTTCGTTACTTCAGTTATTATCTAACTTGATTTAATTAGATTTATTGCGAAAAAACTACTTTTTTTCTGAAAATGTTGCGGTCTTCTCAAAAAGCCGCGTTTTGCCGGTGTGAAGTCCATGGAGAATCCCGCTAAAATGTTATAAGAGGTGAGTAATTTATGTTATTTACGCGAGTGGATTGACTTAACATTATTACAAGTTGTAATACGTGATAGAAATTGTGTGATGTTAAGTAATACATGCGCTTTTGTCTTTTTTCCCCCACCTTCAACAGTAAAAAGTTAGCTAAGCAGGTATTCTTAAAATGTTGGCATTAATTAAGCTAAACGGCTAAATTGAACTAGCAGCTAGTTTATCTTCGTTAGCTGTAATGAGATTATAGAGTAATTCTTTTTATATTAATTTTGTTAAGACAAAACTTATAAATAAATAAATGTATGCTATTGTAAATTCTGTAAAAAAAAAAAAAAAAATTTCGTTCGTTTTCCTCACAGTCTTTTGCCTGCCCCACATCAGAGCTCTGATCCTAACCTTATAAATAAATTGTGCCTTAAAACATATAATCTGTAGCCTGTAATTAATCTGTAGTGAAACTAACTTTTTTGTGGATAAAAACTGATGGACTAAACTTTGATGTATTTTTAAGATGATGCATGTAGCTTCAGTTTATTCATTGTTTTCCTATTTATTTTATAGGCACAGGAGATTTGTAATGTCGTCTCTGTATTGTCCAAGAGAAAAGGGACGGAAAGGATAACAGAAGAAAACAGGTAAAGGTAAAGGATAGCAAGGTTTAATTTTTCTGTGATACATATATACTCAAGACAAATAACAAAATGCAATAGCATTTCAATTATAACGTTTTCATTTGCATTTGCAAATTCAGCATCAAGAAAAAAATAACAGTTGATTTTGGGCTTTTAGTGGGGTTGACCTAATTTGCCTGCCGTGCTGGTGACTTGTTTGATTTAACAAAGGCTCAAGCATCTTCCATATTATGTCTCTAAAACCAAGATGTGGAACAACTGAGGTAGGGCATCTGGCATAAACATGAAATGAAACAAAACCCCTGAACCCCTTGATCCTACCATAATACATTTTGCACATAAAGAATATACAGCCAATGATTTTGCACTATGTAACTTTGCTGGTGGAAGGTTTATCTGCTTGTCTCCATGGAGAAGTTATTGCGTTCCAGGCCAAATTACAGGTCACATCTGTGGAGAGATCCCACTTACAGTAAGAATGCATGTTTTTCAAGGTATTTTTGAGCTAAATCAAATAAATGTAAAAAAGATCAGTTTAATGTCATGCTGTGGACCATTAGATTAAAAAGTATCTGTGGTGGCACATCCTTCATCAGAAAAGTTAGATACTGCCCCTCTAAAGAAAAAGAACTTGCACAATTTTAAGCACTATGTCACAGTTTGTACTTTTACCATAAACCAAAAATGTAAACCCTGCTGGTTTACAGGCTGTTAACTTTGGATTAATTTAGCAGCTATAGCATAGTGTTGTGTACATAAACACTCCCATAAACACGGTGTGATTGTATACTGGCTGAATTTCTGTCTCTAATTGGCTCCTGTTCTATGGGTCTGAGGTTGTGGGCAGTCCAGAAGTCTTACTTACAGTGAATGCCTTTTAAATAATACATGATTCTTATCAAAACTTCAATATTGGACAGTGCTCTAGTACAATTGTCGCTCTTAAGATCAACATTCAATTATTGTAGCTGGTTTAAATTGTGGTAGGACCTTTAGTATATCTCTCCCCCTTCTCTGGTTTAGATTTCTTTGACGCTGTGTGGGAATTGTGCATCTAACAAGGTAGAAAAACATACCTCACAGAAAAACTGGTGCGGTGTCAGCAAACTCGGCAACTACAAACTTTTTACAGCCTTCTTTAAAGTTAATGACGAGTGAGGGTTTCATAGGGAGAGCATAGGATCAGGGTGGAGCATTGGTTTAACTGTGCCGAAGGAAAACCTAAATCTTTTTATGTTCGCAGCTTGAAATCCTTTGAGATAGGCTTGAACAAGGCTGGGTGCTCTTTAAAAATACACTCTTTAAATAGTCCTTTTACTGGCGCTGTAGGAAACTGGAGGCTGCCGGTCTGAGGCGCAAAGACATCTGGGAGAAATGCATTGGACTGTACTGAATGTAGAGCTGTAGGGAGGCTGCAACAGGTCCATGCAGCTCATATAAACTGCAATATTGTGTCTAATTAGGTGCAGTGATATGTTTATGTTAAAGATATAACATTTATGAGGGAAAAAGATGCATTTGTGATTGGCTTTTTGGTTCTTTAGGCTTCCAGTGAAGAGCTGATTCTTATGACTCCAAAACGGCTCCCTATTTATGATCATTCAGAGCATTTTATTAACTCGAAAATTATTTTTTCTAATCTCTTCTACTGGTGTGTTCCAGACTCTTTCTCTCAAGACCCTGTCACTTTTTTAAAATGTTTTTAAAATGTACAAATTATAATTTGTACATGTATGCCGACAGTAGCCATCAAATTATATTTAAGCTCTGCAGCATGGATTTTAGCAAATTTGAGCAGGAGCAGCCTTTATCTTTATCAAGATTGCCAATACTGCAACCAATGAAAAGCATATTTAATTTCCATTACCATGAGCGCATCCCTAAATTGTTTAATGTATGTACTCTTGTGCATGTCCTGCTAACAAGTCTAGTTGCGCTTAGACAGATTATAGTCTCTCTCTTCAGAGGTCATCACACCAACTATTTTGTGTTTCATATATTTGAAATACCTGACATAGATTTTACACTTCCTTTTTGACGCAATCTTTCATCCTGACTTGGAAACAAAGATCTGTGGTTGGTCCATGGGAACTGGTCATGTCCCATTCTCCTTGTGAAATGTGCAGGGGTTGCATCACTGGTATGACTTCCTGACTGATCTAAAGGCGCAAGTGCTTACATTATATGGGTGAAAATTTACTAAACTAAAATATGCAGTTTGACCTCAAAGGCCTTTCCCAGCTCCTTGAGATTTGCGTTTGGGTGGTACATATTATTACACAAGAGGCCAGATGTGCAGTTTTTAACAGGCACTTAATGAGACAATGGGGCTTTTTCCCTTCACAGACCAGCACATTTATTTAGTAGCAGCTGGTCATAATTTGTAATGTGTTAGTGTTGAATTAATGTGTGCCAGTGCTTTGTAGTGTTGATAATAGTTTAGCTCCATAAAATATACTTAAACTAACAACATGTGATGTGTATGGATAACAAGTTTCTCGTTTTGTTTTTGGTTTGGAGTGTACATATGCATCGCTGAAATATTTTTTCACATTGGAGCCGTATAAGCCTATAATATGTAGTAATGATGTGGGAGGTAAGCAATAACGTTATGTTTCAGAACACCACCATCATCATTAGTCAGGCCTTGTGTATTAAAACCAAGGATATGTTTAGACAAGCTGTTGGAGACTGTTCTCCAAGGCATAGAGAACACACATGTTAGTGTACTTAATGTATTACTCATATATGAAATGTGATGACTGCTTTAGTTTGAAAACCTTAAATTACACAGCGAACAATATTGATGAGGACATGTGTTATGTGTGACAAAGAGCCTACAGCCCGTACCAGGGAAGCAGGCGTGACAGAGGCACGAGTCGGGCACCATATTTGCTTATTAAATAAACAATAGTCTTTTGTCTAGTACTTGAATGCATAGCTGTGGTTACTTTTTTTTTTTACTAAGCAGATATAGATATGCCTTCTAATAGTAGTTATATTTTACTGGATAGACCAATAAAAAACAGTACATGCATCCTTTTCTTGATTATCTACTGAGTGTCTTATTGAGTTTTTTGTGTTCCCAGGAGAGTGACCGGAGGTGTGTGGCCGGACTCTATCGCCTGCTGCCTTTATCATGAGTTGGAGCTTCCTGACACGTTTATTGGAGGAGATCCACAATCACTCCACATTTGTGGGAAAGATCTGGCTCACAGTGCTCATAGTGTTTCGAATAGTGCTGACAGCCGTCGGAGGGGAGTCCATCTACTATGATGAACAAAGCAAGTTTGTCTGTAACTCAGCCCAGCCCGGCTGTGAGAATGTGTGCTATGATGCCTTTGCACCTCTGTCTCATGTCCGATTCTGGGTTTTTCAAATCATTCTGGTGGCCACACCATCCCTCATGTACCTTGGCTATGCAGTTAACAAAATTGCCCGCTCTGAAGAGAAGGCAGGCAGTTCTCCTCGGAGAAAACTCAAGAAGCCCTATCTATCAGGCAGGCAGCAGCACCGAGCTCTGGAGGAGGCTGAGGGCGACCAGGAGGAGGACCCCATGATCTATGAAATGGCTGAAGTCGATCAGAACCCTGCACCTAAAGGCAGTCCTGATGGTCAGGAAAAATCCAAGGTCCGCCATGATGGGCGCCAACGCATCAAACGGGACGGCCTCATGCGCATATACGTGCTGCAGCTCCTGGCCCGCTCCGTGCTGGAGGTGGCCTTCCTCTGCGGACAGTATGCACTCTACGGGTTTGCGGTCCCTCCCACCTACGAGTGCACTGACTTCCCTTGTCCTCACCGCGTGGACTGCTTTGTGTCCCGCCCCACGGAGAAGACCATCTTCCTCCTGATCATGTACGCCGTCTCTCTGCTTTGTTTGAGCCTAAACATTTGGGAGCTGCTGCACCTGGGTGTTGGGACAGTGTGTGAAATAGTGCGCTCGCGGCAAATGCAGTTAGACGAAGAGGAACTGTGCCGCCTGACCAAGGGACTGGGGGCCTTTAATGAAACTGACCTGAACAGAGAGGAATACAACTCATACCCCTACTCATGGAATGCCCCCTCTGCTCCTCCAGGCTACAACATCGCTATCAAGCCTCTGCTGGTGTCCACGGGCCCTCGCGACCAGCTGCTGCCCATCACCGACCTCAACAACTCCAAGATGGCGTGTCGTCAGAACCACGTCAACATCGCACAGGAGGAACGCCAACACTGCTGCAACAATAATGAAAATCTGTGCCGTGCAGGACTGGGAGACAGCGCCAAGGGACTGCACAAGGAACTGGGCGAGCAAAAGAACAAGCTAGAGGCAGAGAAACAGGTCTACAACAAACAACAAAGCCACAATAACAACCAGAGCAAACAGCAGAGAGAGAGGAGGCACAGGCAGCCATCCAAGCACGTAAGCAAAGAGGACACTGACAGGGGCAGCAGTAGCACCAGCAGCAGCAAATATGGAGAAATTAAGGGCTCTGAATGGATCTAGAACCAATTTAATTCTCATCTTGCAGTAATAGGCAGTATTCACAAGTGCAGTGGCTTCCACGTGTTTCAGAACAAGTAGAATATATCTAGAAAGATTTAGGGATCTTTATATATACCCTCTATAATGGAATAAATGAGTCTTGACTTGTTTAAACCAAAAGGTTAACTGAGTAATTCAATATACAAGCCAGCAAGGGACAATATAGGGCTAAAACCAGAATAAGTTAAATTCCATGGTAAGTTCTTGTATTGCAGGTTGAGAACCACTGAAGAAGTGTCTTCTTGATTGTTTGATTGTTTACCTGCTATTGTTTGCCTAAAACAAAACAAAAATCCTAAAATAAACTACCTATTATCTATTTAAGCCTGTGTGGCAAAGAAAACAATATACAGTTTAAACATTTAAATAGTGAACCAGAAAATGTGTTAAATGAGGCTGTTTATTTACTGAAAACCGTTGATCTCAGATTTATTTGTCATTTCAGAGCCTTTTGTTGTGAGTGTCTTACTTAAGAGCCAAAGAACATGTATTGCTGTGGTTTGTACTTTTTATTTCATAATGTCCTTATGCAAACTAACCCCTCGGGGCTATTCAGGGTCCAGTTCCAAGCAGTATCTTAATTTTGTCCATGTGGTGATATTTGGATAAAATTTTGTGAACAAATGTTGTGTGCTATGTAGTTATATTGTGAAAGGATTTGCAGTTAATGTTTGGTTTGTTAAAGCAAGTTTATTTTTAAAGGTACTACAGTTTTTCTGACCTGGGAGATTGCATATCCTAACTATTTTTTTTACCATGTTTGTCTTTCAAATGTGGTCACTTTGTTTTTGGAAAAAGCCTTTTGTGTTAAAGAATGTGTTTGTTTTTTTGTTTTTTTTTTACTTTTTGTAACTTACAAATAAAGGTTCAGTAAAAGCTGTGTTTATATTTCATGTGTACATAGTGAATTACATGTCATTCTTTCACGTTTTCTTTGAAAATAGTATAGCTTAAATGTATATAAACTGTAGTCCCCTTTGACTTTGCATGGATATAAGCAGCCATGTTTTTTTAATACACATTGCCCTCTGCTGGAGTAAAAATACAACAAAAATTTAACCGATTACTTTAGAAGAGTGCAAATGTTATGAAATCAGTGAGCCGATTATGATTTCAAAGTAACCAAACTTTAACAAATTTAGATACAAAATTGCCTTATGGTTAAAAACTGAAGAAAAAGGGAAGAGTTCACATTATATATCCTCTTTTCGTTGACAAGTTATCAAAATGATAATAATTCATGGTAACATTTGGAGCACATATCAGGTTATACAAACACTTTCTTAAATAAATAAAAACTGAATGCCTTAACTTAAAATTGCGACATTTAGCTCCACCGGATGTGACTTGTGTTGAGTTCCTGTCTTCGCAGTGTTGTTTAAAAAAGCGGCGGTTTGAGGCTCAGCTTGTGTTAAAACATTGGAAGAACTTTTGCCCTCGTAAAGTTATAAGGAGTACGTAAACTTTATATCATTTTATAAGTCTTGTCTAGAGGCATTTTATTAGGGTTTTTAGTTATTACAATAACGTGCCGCTTACTCGATTTCTCGTTGTGTTAACGGAATTTGACTGCGAGCTAACCTCAGCTATTGGTGCTAACAGCTCATACAGGCTATCTTTTATATATTACATGAAAATGCTACACTATCATTCGGTTTTATGCACTTAAAGTGGATGTCATCTGGAGGCTATATATTGCACGTTTATTTTTGAAAGAAATACATTTACCACTTTGATGACTAGAGGAAGCATAACAAGAAAATGTGTTTATATAGAGCTAGTGTCAGTTTTGGACGCAAGCACTGGAAAATTCCTGTTTAGGGTTCAGACCATAGAGTTTATAGTTCAGTCAGTAATATTACATTGGAAAATGTATTTAATAGTTTTTATTTCTTTCTCTACAGTGTATTTAGCCATATCAGTTATCCATCATCCTAAATATTATTAAAAACTGCTTGACATATGTTCTGTGATGTATGATGTAGCTTAAGAATGTGTTTAAACTGGTAAAGAAAATGTTCATAGTTCATATGAAATTTTGGATATTAATTAAATAATGTTTGGCTGACACTTGCTCGGTTTTGTTTTTAAGACCCTGGCGTGTTTTTTGCTGTCATGGAGCAGCGGAAGTTCCCAGAGAAAGGTGGTCTTCTGGGTAAACTGGCTCCCGGAGAGAAGAAACTGGATGGAAGGACGTTCTATCTGGATAGAGTAAAGAAGCGCTGCACAGCCCTCCTTCTGGAAGCCATAACTTTATTTGGAGGGGTATGATTAAAAACAAAGTTGAATGCTGTTAGTTTTTATCAGACATGGGTACTGTACTGTATAATATGTTTGCTCTCTTTAGAAAGTCGAAAGTTTTCTGCACAAGGATGTCAGTTTTGTTGTGACCGGATGCTTTGAAGAACTAGAGCAGAGGGCATCAGACAGTAAAGCTAAACTAGGTGAAGCTACTCCCTCCAAACAGCGAGAGAGTGCACTGAAACAAGACAGACAAAAGCAAGGGACTCCCAGGCCTGCACTAAAAGCAAGTATTGTAATGGATTATATATTCTATAGTAAATATTTTATAGCCTTACATAAATTACATATTCATTTTGAACATTTACGTAGTTTGCATTTCACTCTTATTGATGTATTATGGTCATACAAACAGGTGTGTGGCAGTCGTGGGAAGGCTCTGCTAGAAAAGGCCATTCTTAATAATGTAAGTAAGCCATATCCTAAAAATGCAAATGTTCATAGTATTCATTTATTTATTCATTGTATAAAACTGGTCTATTTATATGGATTCAAATTGAACAGGAGCGGCTGCAGGGGAGCAGTGTTTTGACCAATGCCCGATCGTGGGGAGTAAAGATTCTATATGCAGATGGTATCCTTTGTCAATGTTTGTTTATAGGTTATTTCCATGTAAAAACTTTAAATGCTTCTCCCTTGTGTGTGATTGTGTGTAGTATGGCTCTACTTACAGAAGATGGCACTATGTGGATGTTACAAATGTCTGTGTTTGCCTAATCCTTAATGCCTTTACAGATGTCCTTCTGTACCTTAAGCAACTGTCTCGAGAGAGTTTCGACACTAAATCTAAGAAGCCAGAGGTATGTTTTTAGACAGATATTGACTTTTATTTAAATTTTTTGTGTAAATAAAATTTATGTTTATATTCTTTTTTACAGAAAGTTTACACCAAACAAAGCCCAAATGCTGTAAAAGGTAAGTCCAACTGTTGACTTATTTAGTATTTAGTGTAAACAACAGTGCAATCAACATCCTCTTTATTCCCGAATGGCGACTTTAATAAATTCTCCAGTTAGGTTAAATCCAGTTAAGACTGTAACTTGAGCTATGTGTTAACGTGATAATTAATAATGTCACATAGTGAATCCTTATTTTTCTCCTTTTGCAGCTGCACCGCTGAGGTCTCCATATCTCAAAGTTGAAGACTTGAGCAGGTGGGTTTTGACTCGCATACAAATTTAGTTTTTCTTTGTCAGAGGAAGGTGACAGGACTCCTGTACACATTGTACTGGGACACTAGGAGAATACTCACAATGTTCTAATTTATAAACACACATTTCACTTGAAACCGCATTTGACCTCTTACCCTGTTGACATTGTGGTAGAAGGTCAATGGTTTTGCCTTTGTGCTGGTCACAGTCTCACATTAACTTAAAAGTAGCATGCGTAAACACGGCTTTAATTGAAAATAAAGCAGATTTTAGCCTCTTTTTAGACTGTCTCGGTGTCAAGTGGTGTTGGAAAGGCATGGTTGTGACCTTACTTTTCCTCCTTCCTTTTTTGCATTTGGCATTGATGATTTGCTTAATTGAGCAGCATAAGGACTTCTGTAGTGTACTGTGACAGTGCCCCCAGTGGTGCTGCCCCCCGGAGGAGGAGCAGATACAGTTTCTGTTTGATGAGGTGCAGCAGCTCGGAGGCTGCGGGGGATCTCAGCGTGAACAGGTCTTTTCATTAGGATCCTCATTTCAATTAGCTCAAGTGGTCTCACTGGACAGGCTCATGCATGGGCTCTGCTTTGGGAAACTGAGCCCATGACATGTGAAACATTCCCATATAAACTCAGCTGGAGCTGCTCCCATTTGTTTCATCATTTTCTAAGAGCTTCAAAACTTAAATTGTTAACGCATACAATGCAGTAGGCTAAATTCATGGCTAGATTGAATAAGAGTGCTTTTTTTTTCTACAGAAAACACAAGCCTCTGCACATGCAGTCCATGAGCTTCCCGAGCGTGTACTACTCCGGACGTTACAGCCCTTTTGAGTGCCCTCCTCCTCCTCGCTTTGACAAGTGGACCGAAAAAGAAGAGAGGAAAGACATGTTCGTATTATATTTGCACAAAACAAAATATTGTCAGGTCATTGCCTTGTTCATGGTTTAAGTATAATTTTTATTCCAGTAAAAATGTCAAGGTCGCAGTCAGCACTGAGGACAAATGTCAGACTCCTCTCAGCTGTAACCCTTCTCCATGGAGGCCTCGAAAGAAGGATGCGGCTTATTGTGAATGCTGCCGGCAAACCTACCAAAACCGAGAGGAGGTGAGAGTGTTTCACACAAGTTTGTCTTATTCTTTCATATTTGTTTTTCTGATGGTAATCTCAAAATCTCCTCACTGTGTGTCACAGCATTTACAAACTGACCAACACCGTGCGTTTGTGCTGGAGTCTTCCAACTACAGTGTGGTTGATCAACTTGTAGCTGCTATGGCTCCTGGGTTTGACCCTGATCCTCCACCACAACCTGAAGAACTCAATTGGTCAGTCTCTTTAATTATCATTCAACTGCACCACAATTTTCTTTATCCAACAACACTGAAACTGATGCTATATTTTATTACATTTAACAGTTTTTGCAAAACTTCTCCAAATCACATTGTATGTGAACTTGAACCACTGACAGATCTGGAAACTGAAGATGCAGTGAAAGATCTGAAAGAGTCCAATGATATTGGCAATAACATTTCGATTCTTATCAGAGATACTGTTTCACCTTCTCCCGAAATCCAGCCCACCACAACCAATCAAAACATGGAAATCACTGCTTTTACTACTGATGCTGATGCTAAACCTTTGAGCCCTGCTATGCCTGTTTTAGAAATAATTCCACAAGATCCACTTTTTTCAGAACCACACCAAGATCTAAAGCCCCTGTCTCCTTTCCCTGTTAATCTATGTCTCAACCCTGACCCTTTCCCACCAATACTAAGTCCCCAACTACCTGATTTACACTCTCACAGCTCATATTTGGAGGCCCCCGTTTTAAGCCCGCAACGGTCAACTTTACAAGAGCCTAAAAATGAGCCTATTGTTCAAGTAGACAATGAAATACATGCTTCTCAGTCTGTTATTTTGAATGCACAGCACAGCACGTCTAGTGTTAGAACTGCTGTGAAATTGCCAGAGAAGAATCAAACGGAAATTAAAGTTTCTAACCACATCTGTGAGCGCAGGTCTCGTTCACTTCCTCGTCAAACATCAACTTTACTAAATACGAAAAAGCGCAGTAGGTCAGCTAGTCCTGAATGCAGTACAAGCAAAAGGAGAAGGATGAATGAATGTGGTCATTTCAAGGACTCAAAACATGGACAGAAATCTGAAATCACAAAAGATAAGTATTCGTTATTTTTTGAAAACGCATTTAGCAAAATAGTTCAGTCTTCTCCTAAGCCAGTTCAGACATTGCGGAGTTATTGGACAATGGAAAACTCTACACAGACATTTGGCGCTTTCTCTGTCCCTCAAATGAACATTGCAGTACAGTGGACGCCATCTTTAAAACTACCTCTTCCAAACACACCAATTGCCGTCCCTTGCGGTCAAAATGTTTTTTTAAGTCAAAATTCTGAACGCTCAAATTCCCACTCGACTTCAGTCTGCATCGAATCAGCTCTCATCCCAGATGTGGCGGCGCTCTCCTCTTCCTCTTCGGATTCGGACTGGGATTGTGAATTACTGTCCCGCCTGGTGCCCTCCGGAAACGCCCTGACCTCCAATGAACCCAGTGGGGAACTGAACAAGGAGCTGCTGCAACAGTCCTGCCCCTGGATGCACAACAGCAGCTACGAGTCCCGCCTCCACGACGTCTTGCAGCCGACAGCGCAGCCAATCACAGTGGACTCCTCTGCTTTCTCCAGGACTGTGGTACAGATTGTAGAGGTGCAGCACTGAAAGCATTTATGAAAGACTTTATAGATTTTTATTGCAATGAAACAACTGCAACACAAGCCAACAATATTCATTATTTTTGGTTGTCACAGTAATTTGTCTCATCCACTCATTTGGATTAATTTGTTCTCAGATGCCCTTCCTGTCACAACTTTTTCCATTTATAATTTGTTTTTGGTCTGCCTAAAGCAGAACTTTTTTATTATACAAACTTGGGACTGGCAGAAACTGGTTTATGAATTACAGGGCTTGATTTGCCATGTTATTGGCTGCACTTCATCTTATAGATATCCTATGAAGCGTGTGTGTGAAATTAATATTTATTACAATGTACAAAGTGTATCTTTTAGAGACAAACCTTTTTCTTTTTACTATTTGACTGTTACATGAAGCCACTATATCATTTGAAGAGTACATTTAAACATACTTGTGTACTGTGCATCTTATTGAATGAATTGTGTGTATGTCTTTGAGCAGCTATTTCCAGGAACACACAGCGGTATTGAGATTTTAATGAGGCTTTTTTGAAGGGGCATTACTCAATTACCGTAAGTGCCTGGATGTGATCCCACAAGCACTGTGTTGATGGTCAAACATGAGACAAAAAGTCATTCGTTTCAGAGGTTGGAGAGAACATGGGATGCTCTAGGTTTTTCAAAGGTACTCCAGAGGGGTTCACCTGTCAGAAAGACAAAAGCTATAGGGCGCCTGTCCCCCCAATGATGTGCCACTTAACACAATGTACTGAAAATAAAAGTGGAATGTAGGAATAGTGACTCAGGAAAACATCTGAGTGTGTGATGTTTTTGAATAAATGATTTTAACATGTATTGTTGGATTTTTGTTTTGTTGTAGCAAGTAGTCTGTTATTTTGCAATGAAAAAAGAAAGAAAGCTAAGCAAGAAGATTTGTGAACCACTTTGTCCATGCTTATCATTGCCTCTAACATACATGTACCATTAACCATATAGTCTACACCAAGGCTTTTTATGTTCTCATAAAGAGCCCATTGTAAAGAGGCTGTCAGCACAGAGCACTATGACCGCTGTATTGATTATCATGGAGATATATGTAAAACGTGTTAAGATTGGTTAGTCAAATATTGGCCTAGAAATTAAACCCCAGAAATATTTTATCTGTCTGATTTTTTAATTATTAAAACAGTTTTATTAGGAGATTGATGTCTTGTTCTGTACGACACGATGTCTGACAGATGTTCACTGATTTTTCACTTTGCATTATTTACGGGGATCCACAGGGGTCTCCTCCTAAAGTGTGGGTGGGTCCGTGAAGCCCCACGTGCTCCTTGTTTCCATGTCCACCGTTTCTCCGCGCGCAGACGCACTGTCATTGGACGCGACACTCGCATCCAGACCAAAGAGACGGCATCACCTCTTCGCGCGTAAAAAGCGGACCACACGGACACCACTCTGGATGCTGAACAGCGAGAGGGCACGGGCCTCTGGGTAGAAACATGTCATTGAAGCTGGTCTAGTTAATTGGTGAACGCGAGGTGAGAAATGCGGGCGGCGAGTTTGAACAGAGCCCGCCGCTGTGTTGATCCTCTCCGTCAACAACAGTCCAGCTTCCAGTTCGTATAAAGGCGCAGATCTGAGGAACCACCGGGACTATGTGAACACCATGCTCGCGGTGAGATGCCTGCTGCTCGCTGCAGTTTGTTCACCGACCTCTGTCACAGGTACGACCATGTTGCCTTTTCTCACTCAGTGCCACATTACTTTATATATTTTAATTAATGAATCAAGATGAAGTTGTTTTTCACCAGTTAAATTACGCAAAACTAACATATAGCATACATATAACAACTATAGCCTACATACTGTCATATCTAGAAGGATGACTATAATATCGAAATTATTGGGTTAGGTGCGTTTTGGTTTTCTAATTAACTTAACTGTCACTGTGGCTGAATATTAATGGACGTCCCTTGATTCACTTTCTCAAGGTTACTCATGCATGTTTGACAATTAAGGGCATTAGTGGAGTTGGCTATCGTTCTGGAATTAAATGTTGGAATAATTGTTTAAAACTGTCCTAATTCTGGAGCCACAATGGGTAATTTAAGGTGATTTTGAGTTATAATGTGAATGATACTATAATTGTGGTGACTATTCCCAATCCTTGCTATAAACTATTTTATTGTATGGAATTGCAGTGGGGTGGTAGTGTCTATTGAATTGTATTGAATCCTATCAGCTCCATACACATGTCTGCTCACTGTCCTCTCTGACATGATGTTCTATCCTTGTCCTTTCTCAGGTCTGAGAGAATGGATCAGCGCAGGGGACAGATTGGGCCCCTCAGAGGAGATAGTCCAACCCAAACGGCTTCTACAGCAAATCCACACAAACGAAGAGCTACTCCACAGCAAATTAGACACATGGGTCAAGAACTACACCTCCACAGAGCTGGTCAGTGAAATCTATTATTTATTTTCCTTTAGCAAACCATTTCTATTCTGGCCTCATTTTATTTAGTTTTTATTTAGTTTACTGGACATGAACAAATTAAAGATGGTGAACTAACTAACTACACCGACAGTATTCCAGCAATGGGACAAAAAATCATATTATATTATCATATTACACCACACACGCACACACACACACGCACGCACACACACACACACACACACACACACACTTTTTTCTTCCCTTTTTCTCCCCTTTCTACCCTCTGCACTTGGGGCCAATCTGTGTAGGATCGCCACTGCCCAGAACAGTACAGTGCAGGTACATTGCAGCATTGCTCTGTACCTCATCCTGCTTTGAATGGCATTAGCTTATATTTCACACCTCCACCTGTCCTCTCCTGTTACCTCCAGCTCTGCCCGCTGTCTGTCTGCGGCAGAGGTTCTGACACAGGGCTGACCCTCAGTGCCCTCTGTCCAATGACCTTTCGATGAAGAGGTCCCAGGACGATGTGTCTGCAAGTTTTGTTGTAGACACTTTTTTGCAGTGTGGCATAACAGAGAAATTCTTTGTTGCATGTTCTTAAACCTGAAATATACATTAACTTGGATTAACATAGAGATGCTGTTAAAATGTAGGTTACTTGGTCAGTCCAAATTGCCCTGATTGTTAATAACAGTAGAAATGTGTGTTTATAGGTGAGAAAGTGAAGAAATGGTTCACTCCCTTTTTGTCATATATTGAGCAAGAGGAAACATCAAATGTATTTTATTATATAATATAATTAATTTTATGCTTATATACAACAATTATAATTTCATCCATGACATAAAATAATTCCAGCAAACTTGGGATATTATACATAAATATTGTAGATACAGCTTAAATACATTTGCTTTTAAGTATTTCCATTGACATTGGAATCCCTGGAGACAGCCCTTGCCATATGTTAGAACCATATACTGAACACAAAGGTCATATGTGCCTATAGCATTTTTATTGATGTTTGTTGGGCTGGTTGTTATAGATGCAGAAGTAACAGAGCAGAGTGCCCTGTGGTACAAAAGGCAGCCCGCTCTGAGTCTTGCCATGTGTTGTAGATGGCACTGACCTTGGCTGAAGGTTATGTCTGAATCCTAACAGAGTTTTATCACTAAACCCACAGTGTCCAGCTCGCAGGGGGGAGGTCAGGCCAGTGGGACGACCCCTATTATCTGCTACTCTGTTCTGGTAGCGCCCTGAGAAATTAGTTTCCTCTGTTGATCATCTGTCAGTCCGCCGCCTACATGCTCTGCTTGTCATATTTTGTCACATTGTTCACAAGTCGTCTTCACAGTTTTTTCAAAGCATAAAGTGCTTGACAAATTAGTGAGTCATTTGTTTAATTAGACTGTCGGGAACATGCAGAGGAAAGAATAAAAGCATTGTCAGTTGTCACAAAACAATACACACACTGTTTAATGAATAACAAATAAGAGGACAAGCTGCAAAATATTGGAAAATATGTAGAAATGTTTTAGAGCACTCATCCTGATGATTACAGTAAAAAGATTCACATGGAAACACAATATGTTAGTGGATATTTGGTATATTTATATCCATGGCATACCTTACAAACTGAAGATCACAACATCATTGCTGTTATACTGTGAACTTCAATGAGGTGAAAAGGCAGCCCTATCTAAAGCAGTGTACTTATATTGGTCTTATTTTGCCGTTTTTTTAATGACTGCCTTCTGTGTCCTTAGCCTGTCCATCTGGCTCAGAGCAGCTTTCTCATCGAGGCGTTTGGCACATCGTTTATCCTTGACCTGGAGCTGAACCAGTAAGTTTTCAACATTCACACATGTTTGGGGTTATGTTTTTTTTATTTTATCATTTTAAACCAAATTTTAACTTGATCTAGGTAGTCTAATGAATTCATGGGAACTATTGTATGACCTGTATGCTATTGGTTTAAAACAGACATACAGTGAGGTGTGAGTTTAACATCTATTCACCACATTGACCATTTGGTTTTGGTGGTTGAAACAAAATAACTGTAGTGCCCAAACCAACATAACAATTTATATCCTTACTTTTGTTCCAGTAACCTCCTTTCTACAACATATGTGGAGCGTCACTTTGATGAGCATGGACAGCCCTCTGAAAACATGGTAGGATTAACATTTCATAAAACATCCAGGTGTGAAGTTTAGTGTTCTGGCATTGGTTTCTTGGGATGTCACCATCACCATACATTTATGAACTGAGCAGCACTAAAAATATTTCACGTAACACATAAAGGTTTATTTCATAAAATGTGCAAATCCTGTGCAAATAAATTAAACTTAATGTTATAGACTGAAATGGTGTTTGCAAACATGATTCCCAAACTTCCTGGGTCATGCTGTTTTTCTCCAACACATCAGCTGCATACACACATTAGCCACTCTCTCCAATGGACTGTGGCAAATTAAGACTGACATCTGTCTTTAGGACTTGACATTAAAGCAATTAGCCAAACTCACCAAATGGGCCATTATTGTATTACATTACACTGTTACAGTTGCTGTCTCTTTTGGAGTCACTAAGCGAATCCATCCTAGTCAGGTTCATTTTAATACATTTTGACAGTGCTTTTAAGGGAGCTATTTCAATGGTGTGTACGTGTTTTAAAGGGTTTATTTCCCTTGAGTGAAATTGGACCTGATCAATAATCAATAGAAGGTGACTGCCATGCAGTACAGTTTTTTTGTCATAGATTGTGTTATTAAATAACCCTAGAGCAATGACTTGACAAATTGAGCAGTTGTTAGGGATGGAATCCAGAGTGAAACAATTCCCTAAATATTCTAAATATTAATATTATGCAGTTTACTCTTCAATGACTGAGGGGCAGATGATTTCCTGTGGCAATGCTGGAAGAGTAAAGCCAAAAGGAAAAAATAGGAACAATGTCTGTATTACTGTCTCCCAACCAACTGTTGCATAGTGACAAGTGACAGATCTGTTATGGTGGCATTCAGCTATGTTTTCGTTGAATAATTGCCTTGTGGTTTTGATTTTCAAAAGCTTGACAAATACTATAAGATTTTGACACAGTGTACGAGACTATGTCTATGTCTCCCTGCTTTTTTGCCAATCTTCCATCTCTAGCATCTTCTTTAAACTCATGGTTTTTCTGCCACCCAACCAACCACTACCAAGTTGCTATGGCTACCAGGAGCCAACGGCATCAGCGTGGGTCTAGTCCGTCCTGTCGTGAGGGGAATTCAAATCATGTGTATTATAAAAATCAACTAAGCTAAACCGTCGTCTGGTGAGTGCAATTAAGTGAAGCAAGGATGGTTAAAAATAGTTATGTAAAAGCAACAATGAGAGTAAATTTTAAAGTGGTGTATTGATGTATTATATTTTTATGGTTAGGAAGTTAAGTTAGAGAATCTACAAAACTACAGCTGTAGAAGATAATTCATTTAACACAAACAATAGTGGCCTCAGCATTGATCCCTGGGGAATACCACCTGTTAAGTGTGCTTTGACAATGGACGCTGTTACACCAATGTTCCCCCAGGTTTATTGGCCAGTCTCATTTATTGAGTTGTTGGCCACTTTGTAAACCCTTAAAACCTTACTTAATAATTTCCTCAAAATTGCCAAATAATTTTATGTAATTATAAAAATGATTAGAGTAGACTACATTGAGTAATATCAATAGTACTAATTACTAATACCTACACATAGTTGATTTTTCAGTTTGTATGGCCCCTCCCCCGGCGCCACCATTTCCATCTTGATTTTATTTAGTTTCATTGACGTGCCAGTAAATTCCTGCTGCTTTGTGTGTCACTTCTTTATTGGTTCCTGTGGATTGATGCCCCATTGAGTTGCCCCGGATTAAATCTCAATGACTCACGACAAAAAGTGAAATTAAATTAGGGGTGAGGAAAGGATGAAATTGAAAGCAGCTTTCATACGTCTATATGTCATTGCACAGAATGAGACTATTTTATTTGACTGGTGCGGAAAATGAGCTCTGTATCAGAATGGACTGGGTTTTGCCAGACTGCGGTTGGATATTTTGACATGATAACATGACATTGTACATTGGATTGTATTTGACTAACTTTTCTTTTGGGGCTGGCTGTTTCCTGGAATGTTCCACTGTATGGCATTAAACCTATCTTTAAGTTTTTAAATTACAGGTCGCTCAAAAATATATTGAAAAGCCAGCATTACATCAATATTAGTTACCTTTGGGCTACCACAACCATTAAAAAATATTTAGAAATAGCTTGTGACCCAAATTGACTGGCGACCCAAATTGTGGTCTCTTCATTAATAATACAACCCTAAAGGCTCATAAATCAGTGTGCTTATATGCTTTTAAATGTTATTATAGTCAATGGACCCCCCACTTCCAATGTTAAATAACAACACAGTTCTATACTGTTTATCAATAAGCATTTTATATACGTTGTCAAATACTTACCTGCCATTACCCGCCATCATTTTAATATAACCTTTATTTCAGAGTCATCATTTCTAAAGGATATGTTCAGTTTATGTCTCTTCACAGTGCACTCACTAACCTCTTAGCCTGTCTGTGTCTGCTGTGTCAGGCAATTTGATTTCCTCCATTTAGCTCTGTAATACTACCTTTTATTTATTTATTATCGTACCGAGGCTAAGTGCTGGCCAAAGTCTTACTCTTGTTTGAATGTTCAAAGTCATTTAGTTCTTCCATTATATCTTCAGAATTGAAATTATGTAATTGTTCTAAAATGGAAAAAAAATGAAAAAAAACATTCCATATACTGATGATGATACATGGCTACTTACAATATGGTTGGGCGCATGACCATAGTACAGAGTTGGCATAGTACACTTTCTAGGTACTATTAATGGTGCTTTGCGTAACTTTTCTGGTGGAGGGTCTGCCATCTGCTTGACTCCATGAAGATGTTATTGTTTTTTCCTGGAATGTTCTACAGCATTGCATTTCATTTAACTATCTGCATGGAGACAAACCACATCACCAGACAAAGTTACAGGTCAGATCTCTAGAGAAGTGGGCCCAGTCACAGTAAGAATGAATGTTTAGTGATAATTTTTAGAAACAAAAACTCATCTAAATAAATAAATGCAAGATCTATTTCTTTTAATGCCATAGTGCACATCTAAGCTCCTATTGCTACTACTACTACTACCACTACTATTGTTACAACAACTACTACAACATGCCATTCCTTGTTCTTTTACCACTGGGCTACTGAGCTCAGCTGCCATGTTATTTTTTCAGTGCTTCTTAAAGGTGCATTGCACATCTTTTCTGGTGGAGGATCCATCCCCTGCTTGGGGATGTTATTGCTTTGCCTGAAATGTTCCATGGTATGACATTAAACACATTTATCTAGAATTTATTAATTACAGGTGCTTTTTATTTCTCAAAAATAAAATTATTATCTGTAGCATATAGTTGTCTCCCTTGAGATAGATAGGTTTAATCTATGTGGAACATTCTAGACAAAGCACTAGCATCTTCATGAAGACAAGCAGGTGACAGATCCTACACAAGAAAAGTTGTGCAATGCACCTTTAATTTTCAAATTTAATTAATTTACTAACCCTAAGCAGTTTGTTTTACTTGTATTCAGTAATGAACTTGCTTTCTGTTTTCACACACCAAATATCTTATAGAGAATTTGGTCAATATATTGTGCAATTTATTGGCAAGTTAAAGTGTCCTAAAGCAGAAACCTGGCAGTGGGCATAGTGCATTAGTGCAGCTGTGTAAACCAGGAGTAAAAGCTGTCCAGGCAGAAAGAATTGACCTTTCTTTCTCTTCTCTCATCCGTGACTGCCTACAGCGGACTTCGTTTCTAGACAAAGCCTTATTGAAGTTCATTACAACTACCTGAACTACACTTACAATTACACAAAAGACATTCCCAATAGTCATGTCTATTTACTTACCTGTTTGATCACTATAACTGCTTTAAGGTAATTATACCTTTGGACAACGTTCATTCATAGTTGGCACACAGTAAGGGCATGTACTGGCAGATACCAGTATCTTCTCATTTTGGTAATGTGATCTTTGCTGTGTGCAGTGAGAGGCAGCATGGAATAAGAAACTAGATACAAAACATGATCATCCATTTGACCATTATGAATAATCAGGTAACATTTTCCAAGGAGCAGGATTGTAGCATTGTGTCTCACAGCACACTGTTGGCACAGTCTGTGAAGATACATAGAAACTACATGTAATGATCAGTTTATTGTATCAAATGTCTTTTGAGTGCCATGTACCTCCCCTGCTCTGATTAATTAAAAAGTATGCATACAAATGTATAAAGTTTATCTGCCAATTATATATCTGTTAAATGAGATTTGCACTTGATCACAAATATATTTGTTTATTTCCATGTGCCTGTATCAGTGGAGACATCATGGCTTTAATGTTCCCCAATATGCCGTTAAACTTGACTTTAACTGTCTTGCATTCATTTCATCATGGATATTTTTATTGTTCAAAATATCTTTCTGAAACTTGGCCTGTTAGTGTCACCTGCATGTCTCCATGATAATGGAGCTTAATACCAAGAAAACTAGCTGGCTCTCGGGTACAGCTAATGAGGATCCTAATAAATAAACAAATAATACCATGCTGTGGCCATCTTGTCAGTTCAACAGTCCAGACCCTCCTCCAGAAAAGTTACATAGTACAACTTCAATATAGTTTCAATATGATTTAAAATGTTTGTGCAATGTTTCTTTCTATTTTAGTTACAAACTGCTTCACTGATATTTTAAATGTACCCTTGAGTTAAATTGTATTATTGTTTTGACTTGTTAATAGCAGTAAATTGCTTTGATTATGTGCGCTGTTTGTAAATGGACTAATAACTCAAATGAGCACTTCAAGGTCACTGAGCACTCTCCCAATCTCTAACATCCACTGTACATTTATCGCTAAATGCTAACGAGGTGTACTTTTTCCTGAGGTCAAACATACAACAGACACTCGACCCAAATGTCAAGTGCTGGTTTACTGTCCGGATAAGCTTCTTTTACTGTAAAGAGTCTCAAATGTATGTCTCCATTTTGTTCGACTGCAGGGAGGAGAGCACTGCTATTACCATGGTCAAATCAGAGGGGTCAAAGGGTCATGGGCTGCTCTGTCCACCTGCCATGGTCTACAGTAAGTCCAATGCAATGACTACAGTTAATATGTTATAAATATAACCAGCATATCTTTTTGCTGTGCACCATTATCATTATTTGTCTTCATTAATCTTACTATATCTTTTGTATCTTTCACAACTTGTGTTCTTCTTATCTGTCTGCAAGTTTTAATCTCTGCACCTTTTTATTGACTAATTCACTATCACTACTCTGCACATGTTCTAGCTACATTTAATCTAAGTTGTTTATTAATTAGAAATGCTTTTGTTAATATACAATTTTGAAATGAGGGAGAAGTAAGTTTACATCTACGCATTAAAGATGCTGTGTAGGGTTGTCTCCACTGAGATAGTATTGCTTTTCTGCATTGTTCCACAGAATGGCATAAAAAAAACTTGTATCTTATATTTACATGTGTTTTTATTGGTCAAAACACCTTGAAAAACATGTTGTGAACAGGGTTAACTCTCCATAGATCTTATTTGTAACTTGGCCTGGTGCAACCTGCTTGTCTCCATGGAGATAAATAAGCTTGAAGCCATACTTCGGCTCCAGGCAAAGTAATAACATCTCCATGGAGACCATCATGTAGCGGACCCTCCATCTGAAAATGTTACATAGTTCATCTTTAATTATTTCATATGTTTAGACAGTGAGCCATGGCCAAAGGCTTTGGTGTCAACCTTAGACTTGCAAGATGAATTTATTTAATAATTTGATAATTTGCTAAATGTCTGTCCTTGCTCTTCATCCCGCTCACAATTTTTCCAAGCAAGTTTCAGTTAAATTGCAATATAAATTTTAGTAAACTATATTTTATACGGTGATCATTTTCTTTCACTGCTTTTTATGTTCCAGGGGAATGTTCAGCGATGGGAACTTCTCATATGGGATTGAGCCTGTCAGCAGTGGAGAGGTGAGCCACGATCGGTAGTAAACAGCCACATATTGTTTCTTGGCTTCAGACCAGGAACTCGTAGTGTGAAATGCATCCTGGGAAAACAAACTGACAGCAGCTGTTAAACTCATCAAAACATGTCTAAAAGGTTGGCTGTACATCACATAGTACTACTTTATTCTATAGGTCAGAGTATTCCACTGGTACAGGGCCAATGATAAGTGGTTTGATCATACTTTGTTTTACATCCATATATAGTCCCATTATACCACTGCTTTAGTCCTGTTTCAGTTTGGTTTGTACTAGGTTAAGATTACCTTCAGTTTTAAAGGTCCAAATTGGTCAGTTACACCACATTGACTCTTATGAGTTTTAAGCCATGTTATAATGTTGTTACTTCCTCATAAACTTACCCGGAGTTGTGTTTTGTTTCATTCACACATGGTTGAGTACTCTTTTATCATTAATCTGTCTACATCTCCAAAACTCAAAATGCTCTGTTCATAGTGCTAATTTTCACCTCAGCCTTATACCTTTAGTTCAGCACAGAGTGGTATTTCCAGGACTGAAATCATCCAAATGATTCTAGTGAAGTTGTATGGCATTTAAAAACAAAGTGGAGCTCTTCCTCTATTACCACATGACATCACAAGGCAGAACAGTGTTTTCAGTTTGAGATAAGAACTCAGCCTAAATATGCAGGATTTGCGTGTTAAACATTTTTGAATGAAACAAAACACATACTCTAGGTATGTTTTTGATGGGGAAACAGATCAGAAAATAGAGTAATATGGGCTCTTTAACTTAATTCAGGTGGAGTCTCAACTTTGGCATAATAATATTTTTTTTCAACTAATTTTACTAGTCACATCCCTGTAATTACAACTTTTGTGGGACAAGTACATTTTATGTTATCTTACATCTGACAAATTTCAGCTTTAGTCTGGCACTGCCAAAGGACCAGTGGTGAAGTGGTGAAGCCATGCAGCTCAGTTACATAGACAGTAGCCATGGGTCGATCGATATCTTTGCAGCTGGCCTCTCTGTTTTCGGGATGGGTCATTTTCATAAAGTATTCATCTGCATCTCGAGTTAGCGCAGTGTCCAGTCCTGTTATAGCCGTTATGACAGAGCAGAGCGATTGATTAATTATGTATCAGGCACTTTCCTCACAATGATCGGCTTTACCACCGCAGAGCTAATGTAGGGGCAACTAGATACTCAGGTAATTTACTTAAGTAGATTTCAACAAATAATCTAAGAAAAGACAGTAGTTTCATTAAGTTCTATGTATAGACTTAATACAATGATGACTTAATACAATAATGTTTGACAGTCTACCACTCATCCTGCTCTCCCAAACAGAGTACTTAGCACCTGTCCAAAGTTTTGAGAAATCAGATAAGAAATGGATCCAGCGTAAACAAATGACTGCAGATGATGTACTGTGATGAAAAAGAAAGAAATGCTTTTTGTGGAAAAATTGGGCTACTGCACTTTTCAGACTTTCAGTTTAAAATGACCATATTAGGCAATTTTCTGATGTATAGTTATAATGCTGTTTCCTCATCAAAAACATACCTCCAGTTGTGTTTTGTTTCATTCACACGTTTAACACACAAACCCTACATATCTAGGCTGAGTTCTTCTTTGAAACTGGAAACACCATGATCTACCTTGTGATGTCATGTGATAATACAGGAAGTGCTCCATTGTATTTTTAAATTACATACACCTTCACAAGAATCATTTGGATGATTTCAACCCTAGAATTGGCCATTTCTACTGAACAAACTGTAAAATGAACATAACATTATCATGAAAACTACAGCTTAATGACACAAGATGAAACAGAAATAGATCAGAAAATGGAGCAATATGAGCCCTTTAACATTAAGATTAAGTTTACTCTAATAACTTATCTCATTTTCATGCGTAAACCTGTTTTAAATTTATGTACAAATTTGCATGTGTTATTCTTAACATGTTTACTGAAATGTGTAAATGTCACATTGAGTCACCAATCAGTGTGACCTAAAGGACCATCTGCTCACTGCTGCAGCTGCTGAGCTTTAGGATTTTGATTAAATTTTTTTACTTTTGACTTTTCAGGACCACATTGTGTGTCGTCTTCCAGAGATCAGTCTCTTCCCACCTCCCTGTCCTGGTGAGAGGCTTAATTCACATATATTTGTTTCTCTGTATAGCTATTTAAAATAATGCCTTCAGTGCAATTGTATTCTTATCTTGTATCATTTTATTGGTCATATCATATTATACTTAGCTATCCTTTTTAATGACAGGGTAAACCTGGATTGATTTCAGTACTGTTCCATATTGATATAAATAACTTATCGACTTTTTGTGGATTTATGTTGGTGAGTAATGTATCATCTTTGCTTTGTCATTGTAAGGTTGTGCAGTAGTCTCACACAGGATGCTCAAAGTCATGTCAGGGAAAAAAAAACTGTTTGCTCCGAGTGCAGCACAGAATATCTAATAGGACTGCAATGAAAAGATTTGAACCAGGTCCTTTCAAACAGAAATCTTCCAGCATATTAAAGATGCACTGTGTAGCTTTTTTCTGGTGAAAAGGGAGAAAGGGAATGTTCTAAGCAAGTAAGGTTTTATTTATCTATCAAGACAAAAAGGTGAGACAAAACTTACAGATCAGATCATCGTCACACATCATCAGGGCATATAACGTGCATGCCCTGATGAAGACGCAAGTCGAAACAAGTTGGCATCTGACATGAAATAAAATAATAGCAAAGTATATCTGAGTCCCTGGGATCTCTTTCTTCATCTGGAACAATATATTTTTGTATTTTAGTACCTTTTCTTCGCAATAATGAGATTTTTGTCATTTTAGTTGTAATAACATAAGATTTGAACTGTAGAAGGTAGAATAAGTAACTCTATGGCTATCTATTGCTTCAATCTTCCATTTATTTGTTGGAGCTCAGGCCTTTTAATGATAAGAAAAAAAGCGTAATGGCATGAAGTGATTTCTGTATTATCAGTTATCACAATATTTCTCTGTAGCAATGTATCATGCTTCAAAACTTGTTATCATGACAGGCCTAGGTGGCGGACCCTCCAACAGAAAAGTTAAATTTTTAATATTTGGTAATTGATTTTCTTTTGACCACTGTATTGTATAATAATATTTTAAAGAAACAATTTTGAACATTTAATCTTCTAACCATTATCTCATGCCTTCTTGCCGTAAACCTTACCAAACCCACCTTGTAGGCTAATTCCCCGTAATTATCTTATGTCTTAACATGTAGGTCACATTCTCCACTGTCCCTTATGTCCCCTGTGGCTCTACTTTAGACACACTACATCCATCCCTGCTTGTCCTTGACACATCTTGGTCTCCCCTCTGGCTCACACTCTGCAGCTTTAGTTTGGCTGTCCTTCACAGCCTCTCTAAATGGCTAAATATCTCAATTGACTTCATCTCCTTTGTGTCCCTCTGCCCTACCCATCCTTCCTGTTATCCAATCCTCTCTCAGCCCATTACACTTACCTCCGCTGGCTGCGTGATATTGATTTCTCCTCTAGATCAGTGGACTAAAATACATTCATGCAGAGTTCTGATGACTAGACACTTTCCCAGTATTATGTGTATTATGTGTGGTAGGATGCACGGACAACTCTACATTGGCACCAGAGGGATCCATGGATTTCAGTGGAGACATGACGACTCAGGAGGAGGAGAAGCCAGCCCTAACACACAGTCTTAGGAGGTTGAAAAGGCAGCTCAGTTCTTTGCCGGTATATGCACACAGCTCTCTGGTCTATACACTCACAGATGGTGCGTCAGGGCATGTCGGGCACATTTCACAAAGTGTCATCGCTTTAAAAACATTTGAGATGAGATGTGGCAGCTCAGGTTTGTAAACAGCAATTAGATGTTTTTTTACAAGGGTAGTTTTGGAACACTAGAATTACATGATGAGTAAGTGCTAAATGATTATTGAAACTGATACACAAAGAAAGAAAAAAGCATAGAAGAAACCATAAATTATGAATTATGTTGCAATTAATTTGTGATAGAAATTACATAGCATTTACCATGAAGCAATGCATACAAAATCATTTAGTGCTTAAAGGGTTCGTTCACACTTGTACTTGTTTTGTCCTGATTTAATTCTAGTTTTGTCCTGGTTTAGTTCTGGTTTAGTCCTGATTATATTCTGGGTTTAGTCCAAGTTAAGTTCTAATTTTGGTGGTGTTTATGTGCAAGTCTGAACCCTAGTAACCAAAATGGCTTCAATCAGCAATATGCATGAGTTTTATTCATTAGTTTATCATATCTTTTTAAATTTATAATAGATTTTTATTGTTGAGATATCTGACACCATTTGTTTTATATTTGCAGTCTAAAAATAGAATTTAAGATTGCTATTACTTATTCTTTTTTTTTTCTTTTTTTTAAGCCTGTAGTATAAATACATGAAATAAAAAGTGTAAAAACTCTGAACCTACTTTTTAATACCCATAATAACACAACCTTTTTGTCATCTTTTGCATTAAAAACTCTCACTAAATCTGAATATCTATCGTTATCGCAGTAGTACATAAATTGTTATTACATAATGTGTCGGTTGAATAACAAAGCTGCTCTAAACAGCCTCTTGGCCTTGACTTGTTGTGGTCTGAAGGACACAGACTTAAGTTTCACTGCATCAGCACGTGTTAGCGCTGCTGGATGTGAGTAATGGCTTCGCCCGCTGCTGGTCCCAACCTGTTGTTTATCTCTGAAGGTTATGATGATAGGGACTCATGTGCACCCCCACAGGTGAGAAGAGGCCAGCGCACCGTGCAGACTGAGACCAAGTACATAGAGCTGATGGTGGTCAACGATCATGAATTGGTACATCAGTATCAGTATCAATGTTCTAAAGCTAAAAGTGTCATTGTTTTGAGATCTTCTTTTTTTTTTTTTAGTTTGTGCAGCTGAGGAGGTCGACCACTCACACCAAGAACTTTGCCAAAGCAGTGGTGAACATGGCGGATGCGGTAAGTACTGACAACAAAAACGCATTAAACATTAATTATCATCTTAAATAGGTTGTGGAATACCTCAGTTTGTTGAGATATTGCATGCAGTAACTGAAAGAGTTAAAAACTGTTTAAAGGTATAAAACAGTGAAAGGACTTGTTGTGTCCTTTGGCAAGACACATTTGACAATTTTGCCTATAAATGTGTTAGTTACTTGTTGGTGTTTGGGGATGATTAAAAAGTTTTGCGCTTTGTTGGCATTTTCTTTTTAAATCTGAAAGTTTTTAGTTCTTTCACTATCTCCATTCAGGGTTTGTAGCTGGTGGCCACAGTTAGGGCATCTTGTACACATCTGGCAGTGTGAAATGGGGAAAGAGTGGGGAGAGCCATTGTTAGAGCAAATTGTTAAAACGATGCATTAATCTAAAAGTCCAGCACATTCATCCTAATTGTAGACTGTACATAAAAGTCCATGGTCCCAATGTATCTGATGTGACAGCAGCTCAAACAGGGGAAACCCTTCATAAAGCAGAGACATGCAAGTTACCATGACAACCAATTACAGGTTGCATCTCCCTCTCTGTTTCTCTTTGGCTTTGCCAGAGCTGTGGCACACTACCAAAGTGACCAGAACTACAAGTGCACATATGTATAAATAATAATACAGTAGTAATAATGTTTATATTTTATGAGAGCGTTACCTATTGTTTTTCAGCAGTTAATATGGTGGAATAGATTTAATAGTTTTTGAGGTCTCTATATGCTATTGTAAAATTGTGATTGTCTAAAGTATAGAGCTGAAATATTAGTGACTTTATAGTCATACTTGGTGGTGCTACGTGGTATACGGGCATTGGGCATATATGGCCACCTTTGAACACTCTTTAGGGTTAGATAAGTATGATGGGTGAAGTGTCTTGCCTTCTATGGTTTATTAACTCTACATACTACAACACTGCTTCTTTACTCTGCGATGTCCCCTTTTTGTTTATACATGTCTGCTTTGATTTCCACAGATCTACAAGGAGCAGCTGAACACACGCATCGTCCTGGTCGCCATGGAGACCTGGTCGTCTGAAAACAAGGTGGCAGTGGGCGACGATCCTCTGGTAACGCTGAGGGACTTTATGAAGTACAGGAGAGAGAGTATTCGAGAGCGCTGTGACACCGTGCACCTCTTCTCGTGGGTCACAACTCACTTTTGGACTGTTTATTTTTTTAAGTTTTATTTAATTTAAAATTATGGTGTTTTTTTAGTGGGAGGACGTTCATGAGCAGCCGAAGTGAGGCAGCGTACATTGGGGGGATCTGCTCTCTGACCAGAGGAGGCGCCATCAATGAGGTAAGAAATTATAACTTTCCTAAAGGCCTTTCCTTAAACTTAAAACACAGAAGACTTGTCTTTTCAGTTTAGTAAAATAACATATAATTTGCTCTTTTCACTTGCCTGATAGAAAATTTATTAAATGAAAACTTGGAGATCCACCCACTGGCCCATTCATGTTCAAGTTTATCAATGGGTTACGGAGTGATAAAAAATGAAATGAATAATTCAAATTCACAATTCAAATAAAAAAATCAAATCTATTGAATGAATGGTTGTCTAATTTCTTCAAAACAGCAAAAACTCATGTGATCTATGAATCCACAGATAGAATCGCCCTAGTTTGTTGAGTGATATTTAATAATGTATCAACCTAATGCTAGTACTACTGTATGCACATTGTTTTCATTGGAGTAATCGTCTTTTCTTAACATGGCTCTTCTTTGTGTTTCCTCAGTATGGCAGTGTGGGTCCCATGGCCATCACACTGTGTCAAAGTTTGGGACAGAACATTGGGATGTACAGGAACAAGGAACGGGCTGCTGCAAGTAAGAACCATAGACTGTATAAAGAAGTGGACTAAGGGAGTGTGATGACACCCACAGAGTTCAGCTCCACTCCTTGTGGATAGAACTAGCAATGCAGAACAATGTGCATAATTCTTGTGTTTGTTTTAGGTGATTGCAGGTGTCCAGACCCATGGCTCGGCTGTATCATGGAGGATACAGGGTATGACCTTGATCAATAATACAGTCACCAAAGATTGAATCCAGTTTGAATAAATAATGTTGTTCATTGCAGTTACTATTTGCCAAGGAAATTTTCTCGCTGCAGTATAGATGAGTATCTGCGTTTCCTACAATTGGGAGGAGGCAGCTGTCTCTTCAACAAACCCAGCAAGGTCAGTAGTCTTTCCATTTATGCTTACAGAAATTAAATCATATCATGTTTAGTGATTATTTATATATAGTGTATGCAAAAGTACAGATTTAAAAAGGGTTTTCTTACATATTATAAGTATTTTTAGTTATTTTTCAGTTTGTCTCCTCCCTTGCCTCACAGATTATAATTAAAACATTGCCAAGAGTTATGAATAATTTTGTAGTTAATCGTATGTCTTGTCAAATTGTTTATATATATATATATGTGTGTGTGTGTATATATATATGTGTGTGTGTGTGTGTATGTGTATGTATATATATATGTGTGTGTGTGTGTGTGTATAATTATTATTTTTTTCTTTTATTTATTTATTTTTTTGTAGCTGTTGGATCCCCCTGAGTGTGGTAATGGATATGTGGAGCCGGGCGAAGAGTGCGACTGTGGCTCATTATTAGTGAGTACAACATAAAATAGAGCCTATAGTACGCTATAGAAAAAAGCTCTAGATCTATGTTATAATGTGGTTTCCTCATCAAAAAAAAAAAAAAACATATGTAGAGTTGTGTTTTGTTTCAGTCACACATGTTTAACACACAAACCCTTCATATTTAGGCTGATTTCTTCTCTCTAACACAAAACACTCTGTTCCACCTTGTGATGTCATGTGGTAATACAGGAAGTGCTCCACTGTGTTTTAAACTTCATACACCTTCAGTAGAGTCTACTGAACTAAACATAAAAGGTAGTTGTTAACTTGAAAACTACAACTTCATGTCATCACAGGGTGGAACAGAGAATTTTGAGCTTTGGAGATGTAGACAGGAAGATTACTCAAACATGTATGAATGAAACTAAATCCAACTTTGGGTTATTTTTTTAATGAACCTTTAAGATTATTACAGTTTAAACATATGCACTTGTCTGATGTGTAGGAATGTGCTCGAAGTGGAGCCAATTGCTGTAAAAAGTGCACTCTTACCCATAATGCAATGTGCAGCAACGGGCTGTGCTGTAGAGACTGTAAGGTAAGATTATTGAGCATCAGATATTCATTATATCAAGTTTAATTTTCATTTTGTAACACTGATTCTGATCTTGACAGTACGAGCTGCGAGGAGTGACGTGTCGAGATGCTGTTAATGACTGTGACATCCCTGAGACTTGCACCGGAGACTCGAGTCAGGTAATAGCACTGCGCCCCCTAGTGCCTATTAATATAAATGTTTTTAATACCAGCATTTAATATTGTATCTAAATGTGTATGTACTTAAATAAATAAATAATGTGTTATATGGTTATTTCTGTCTTTCTTATAGTGTCCTCATAATGTACACAAACTGGATGGGTACATGTGTGATGCAGGACAGGTAGGTGTTTGGCTTAAAACAGGTCAAATAGTAATTAGGTATAATATTTCACTGCCCTACATGTGTCCATGTTTACTCATCTTTTGTTGACAGGGGCGCTGTTATGGAGGTCGCTGTAAAACCAGGGACGGACAATGCCGGACTCTGTGGGGTTACAGTGAGTCAAATCATTTTTATTTTACTTTGTATCAGTATTGGTTTCATATTGATATAATTTTCTCTTCAGACTCTGCGGACCGATTCTGTTATGAAAAACTCAACTCTGAAGGAACAGAACAAGGGAACTGTGGCTACGACCCCAACGGACAGGGGTGGCTGCCTTGCAATAAACCGTGAGGACTAAACAAATGACTTTTATCTACCCATCATTAAAGGCGCATTGTGTAACTTTTCTGGTGGAGGGTCAGTAAAATATTTTTCTTCATAGAGATGTTATTCTTTCGTCTGGAATGTTTCACAGACAAAGGAATTATCAATGGATTATGGATTATCATCATGGAGAGACCAAACCAGACAATTTACTAGTCAAATTCGCTCAGTCAGAATATCTGGGTTTTTTTTTTAGGTATTTTGGAGCTATTAAACCACCTGTAAAGGAATAAATCTAAGGTAGAGCTGTGTAATGTTGTACTGTGGAACATTCTAGGCAAAACAATGACAAGAAGGTGACAGACCCTCACCAAAAAGTTACATAGTGCACCTTAAAGGCTATTAAAATATCATTATCTTTTATTTCTATTAAATATTATATGTTTATTATTCTTTCAGAGATGTGCTGTGTGGTTTACTGCTGTGTACCAACATGACAGTGAGGCCCAGGTTTGGAGAGCTACAAGGAAAGATCACCAGTCTGACCATCTACCACCAGAGCAGATACCTGGACTGCAGGTGACGAGTCTGTCTGTGAAACAATAAATATAAAGAGTTAATGATCAGAAAGATGAGTGGTTCAGTGGGTCGTTGAAGTATGAGGTCAGGTTCTCTTCAAGATCACAGCCGAAACATCACTTACAGACAGCAAAGAGAAAAATCCGAGGCACTCCGACTGCTGTAAGTCCTTTAATGTGAAACTGGACTAGTTCATACTAAAATACTAGCTCATATTAAAGGCCTTTTTTAATGTAGTCTTTGCTGTCTGTAATAAATATTAATATATATAAAAATATAAAGATATGTCATTAAATAGGTTAGGCTCAAAACATTCTCAAAACAAAGGCTTATACTTTAAAATGGAGATGAATAGAAAGTAGGGGTTGTATGTTGAGGGTAAAAATACAGATGTTTTGATTTTTCTATAGTTAATATCTCTGTTATTTCTTATCTACATAGAATAAAAGCAGTAGAATAACTATACAATGTCAAATATTTTAACTTTAACTTAAAAAATAATACAGGCATAATTACTGTGTACATATAAATTAAATAACTTAACTGATGCAATGATAATAAAGTGAAGATGAGTGAAAATAAAAAAAATAAAAAAATTGTTTTAACGTTACTACTGTTTTTTCTTAGAATAATATTAAATATACTAGAATATCAAACTTTAAAATATGACCTCAACCTTCTAAATTACATCATTCTTTGCGCACAGGGGCGGTCATGCTGTGCTGGATGATGGCTTAGACCTGGGATACGTGGAGGATGGGACGCCCTGTGGTCCAAACATGATGTGTTTGGATCGTCGCTGTCTCCCAGTGACAACCTTTAACCTCAGCACCTGCCCTGGCTCTTCCCCCTCACGCATCTGCTCACACCACGGGGTCAGTCTGTAGGAGATTTTATAATTACTCATACATAATTTTACACCCTTTGTGTAAAACTGTAGCTCATGTCTTTGCGTTGGAAGTGACTAGATTTATTTTTTAAAAGCACACAATTGAAGAAGTTGAACTCAAATTGGTAATCTGGTGTCTAATATTATATCATTTAAGTTCAGGCTTAGTAACTACTCAATAAATATCCTAACTCCTAATCCCAGAAGTTTCTTTTGCATGTAAACAAAAATGATATTATATTGTGTATACTGTGCTTTTATCTCAAGCACAATACCTTAATATTTCCATAACCTAACGTGAACTTTAAATCCCTTTTACCCTGTGCCATGTGTCCAGACTTGCAGTAATGAGGTGAAGTGCATCTGTGATCCAGACTACACAGGGAAGGACTGCAGCGTGTTCGACCCCATCCCCATCCCCACACCCCCTGAGGGACCTGAGAAATACAAAGGTGACCCCCACTCACAACAAAATCAGACACTTCATGTACCACCTAGAGTTATGCAATTATTTACATGACAAAGAAAAAGCCAAATCATCTAATTTCTTTCTGATAACGGTCCCTTGATTACTCACATCACAAAGGCCACTGTTAGAAAGATGATGACAGTATACAAGAAACATATTCTATTAGACTGGGTAGAGCAGATAATAATTGGTCTCATGTAGTCACAGTGTTACTTGGAATATTACATAAAGCTGAACTTAAAAGAGTAAATGCCATACTGTGGAACATTCCGCACAAGGCAACAACACATCCATGGAGATAAGGTTACTCTCCATCAGAAAAATTATGAAAAAAATAGGTTGGTACACAGTGCATGATGGACCTAGTTGGATTTACTTAGTCTTGTTTTGTAGTTTCTTTAATCACACATACATATTCTGATATTGATAATAAATAAACTAAAATGATCAAATTAAAATGATTAAAAAATGAAAATGCATTGATAGAAAATAAAATAAGTAGACTTGAGTTTCATTCATCCCTAGTAGTCAAATAATTTATCACACAAGTAATATTTAGGTATAAGCGGATGTATTATGCATTAAATCTGCTTGTAGACAGAATTATTATTTATTTAAAAACTAACAGAGCAGATCTTTCATTTCCCTTCTGTATTTCTGTAACATTGAACAAGCCAATTTCACCCTCACTTCTTCATGACCGGTGCCTGTGCCTGTGTGTTGCCTCCTTCACTCCTACAGGTCCCAGTGGCACTAATATCATAATTGGTTCGGTTGCTGGTGCAATTCTGCTGGCAGCGATAATCCTGGGGGGCACTGGCTGGGGATTTAAGTAAGAGCTCTGGCATGCCTCGCTCCTTTGTGTGTTTCTGTCGCTAACACACTCTGCTTTGGACCAAGTCTATTGAAATTAACTCTCTGTATTTTCAGATTTTAATGCATAGTATAGAAATATATAGCCAAAAAGCTGCTACTAGTTTTAGTTACATTACCTTTTCTTGTTATGGATGCATTTTGAGGGGTTTTGGGACTATATATGGGCATATATAAAAAATATATTTTGTATTGTTGATTGCCATGGGAACAGTAATGGGAAATTTTTCATCATTCTGAAATTCATGGATAGTAGATTTCATGGTATTTTCACTTTTCACCCACACCAAGCTTAAGATTTTCTTTATTAACTTACTTACTAGCTTGTAATTTCACTTATCACTTTGGGGGCAATATTGGTCTTGCATTAGGTGTAGAATTCGTTCCAAGTTTTAAAGGGACCATAATACTCCATTTTCTGATCTATGTTTATAATGTTGTTTCCTCATTAAAAACATACTCAGAGTTGTATTTTGTTTCATTCACACATTTTTAATACACACATTTTGCACAGTGACGCTGAATTCTTCTCATAAACAGAAAACACTCCATCTTGTGATGTCATGCTATGATACAGGAGGTGCTCCACTGTGTCTTTAAACTCCATACACTTTCTCTAGAACTATTTAGATAATTTCAGCACTGGTATTTCCAATCTCTACTACACAAAAGATAAAAGGTAGATGTTAACTTGAAAACTACTGTCTGATGACATCACAAGGTGAAACAGAGCTTTTTGAGCTCTACATCACAAGGTGAAACAGAGCTTTTTGAGCTTTGGTTATGTAGACCGATTAATATTAAAGAGTTACCCAAACATGTGAATGAAACAAAAAAACTCCAGGTTTGCTTTTGAGGAGGTAACAATATACTAACATGTCTTCAAGCTCACAAGAATCAATTTTGCTTAATATAGGACTACCCTTTGGTCACTGTATGCAACCCTCAGTCAAATATTTGTCTGCATTACACAGCTTTATCTTGTAGCATATTTTCTGTTGTCTGTTGCCTGCAGCATGTGAGGCTAGACCAGACTAGCCTCAGACTGTTATCAGCTCTCATCACACGATAGCATCCAATATGGCTGAACAGATTTCATGCCTCCCAGTCTCTTCTAGGATAAGAGTGTTTCACTGCATGTCGATTTGTTTTTATCGTCCATAAAATGTTATTGTGACTAACTTTACGCATTTCTCTCTTGTTTCTGCAATGCCAACACTCCAGAAACATCAGAAGAGGAAGGTATGAAGCTGCTTATTCGTTTTAATCACCAACATCATAGTAATGCCACAACATTCAATAGATATATCTGGCTATATGTTTTTGCATTGGGTTTTCACTTCATTTGATCATAGTTGGGAATTCAGGTTTTTCTAGTTTATACTCAGCTTTGTATTTTTGTGTCTTTTTCTGTTGTGTTGAATTTGTATACATAATTGAATAATAAAATGTTGCACTCCAATGAGGCTAGTTTTATCTGTGAATATTTTTATGTATCGTTAACATCTTTCCTCTGTTTCTTCCTCCTCTCTCCTCTCTCCTCCTCCTCTCTCCTCTCTCCCCCTCCTCTCTCAGATCTTCTGGTGTTTGAGTGTCTGTCCTGTCTTCCCTGTGTCTGGTCTGATCTGAGGAGACAAAGGCGTCTTCCACTTGCTCTGCAAATGGTGAAGTCCCTCAGACTGTTTCCCACTTTTTCTTCTTTTGGGAAATCTACAGTTTTTTTGTTTCCTTTTCCTGCCATCTCGACTGTTACTCTGCTTTACCCCTTTAACTGTAGAGGGAGGTTCAGAGGCTTCCTGTAAAATGCAGTATTTTACTCATAAAGGCTGTAGTAGTAATGTCTGCATAGTGGGTGTAGACACAGCATCTAAGTTAGTCTCTTGTTGGTCTTTAAACTAATAGCCATAGATTGTATTGCAGCTGCTTGGCTTCATGACTTCATAACTTCTACATAATAATATGCATTAACATGAATGTACCGTCCAAACCGCTTTGAGGCAGTTGCCTGTTGTGTCTCTGAGCTGGTACAGAGTTGCACACCTGATGTTGTATCCATTGTATCATATGTAATCCACAGTGCAGTGTGCATACAGGTATGCTCAGCACGGTGCTGTTGTAAATAGTGTAGCATAATTTTGAGACTCATGAAGTGAGCCACACTAAAAGCACAAGTTCAGCTGTTGACAGCAAAAAGGTGGTGTTTTTTTATTTTTACTGTTTTGTGGGAGCTCTTAATCTGCCACGGATGTAGGCTGTAATATGTACAGACAGTTAACTGAGTATGGCAAACTAAACTTCAGTGTTAACATTTGTTTTAAAGGGCTTTTTAAATGTAGAAATATCAGTCTTTTCTTTCTCTTATTCTTGTGCCAAGCTCCCAAAACACCTCATTCTAAAACCCAATGAACTGCATCAGGTGTGGTTTTACTGTATTACATCATTAAGCACAGTTTAACTTCCAAATACATGCTTAAACTAAACCAGTCCATTAAACAATATAGGCACTTATAAGAAGTTTATTACAATTGAATTTCAGCCAATTACCTTTTTCTTTTGCCTTTGCTTTCAATGCTCAGATTTTAAATAACATAGCCCACTGAATATAACAGTTTTTGACCTAACTGTATGCATACTATATGTGCTTTCTGGAACCAACCAGATGAAATGAGCAATAATATTACATAGACAATGTAATTTATGTAAACTTGACCTGCCCAAAGGAAATATGAAGACTCAGTTACAAAAGCATAAACCACTTTATTACCAAGTATGAAACTGCACAGTCTCCAGATGAGATGACACTTACACACTGCCAGTCTAACTACAGTAGCCTCAATAGTAGACAACTCTGCCTTTTCAAAACATACCACTGAAGACTAAAAATACTAACATACTGTGGATGAAGTAAAAAAAAAAAGTATAAAATATAAATAAATTTGAGAAAAGTGTGATTTTGATTGAGAAACAACTGAGGACATGTTAAAGTATCCTTTAACATCCTTTAGTCATTGGAACACTGGAGTATGAGCACTTGAGACCAGAAAGTATTCACTGTAAATATTGTAAATAGAAATACATTAAAACATATCTGACTGCTATTGTGTATGTGTGGTTTATTAATTATTAATGATGACCCTTAGACCTGTGGAAGAAAGTCATATTGAACCGACTGGAATATTGTTAAAGGTGCACTGCCCAACTTTTCTGGTGGTGGGTTTGCTACCTGCTTGTCTCCATGGAGATGTTATTGCTTTGTCTAGAATGTTCCACAGTATAGATTGCAATAGCAATAGAAACACGAGTAATGAATACATGCCAGATAGATATGTTTAATGTCATACCATGGAACATTTCAGGGAAAGCTATAACATCTCCATGGAGACAAGTAGGTAGCGGACCATCCACCAGAAAAGTTACACAGTGAACCTTTTAAATAACTGAGACTGTTCCATTAGTTTAGTCCCCTCCTGGTCCGTAGGTCAGTCTCCCCTGTGTCCCCTTTGCCTTTGGCCTGTCTCCATTTGGCTAAAAATGACTCTTCATAATCTCCGATTCCCTCAAACTCCACATCCGGGGACTCATCAGCCAAAGCAGCAGCTTCCTCTGCACCAAAGAAATCCTACAACAACACCAACCATATAGAAAATCCATTACATTTTTTTTTCACAGAGTTTTAGGTTTAATTGAAAGTGATGTTTACCTCATCATCCATTTTCATGTACTTTTCAGTAAATGTAAGAATGTGCTTTTGTGCAACCGTCTGATTGTAATGTCTGAGAGCTTCCTGCCGTGGAAAACAAAGATCTTTACAGCATTATATTTGGCTACATTGATTTTAAATAGAGAACACTCATCATAAAGACATAAAATAATATAAAGGAGTGGTTCTCAAACTGAGTTACGTGTTACGTGCTTCTGATGGTACACTGATTTACACTTTGTTCAGATAATTTTATTTGTTCAGATAATTTACAAACAACTGTCTATGTTTCTGTCCTCCATTAGTTTAGTAGTGCTTTAGAACTATTTCAGCCTCTACTTGATGTGAAGTCTGCTCAAATCAAAAGTCTTAACCATTCTCAACATGTATATTTTTTGTAAATCAGCTATGATATAGAATAGGGATATTATGTAGAGTTATAACGTTACATTTAAAGGGCCCATATTACGCTCTTTTCTGATCCATGTTATAATGTTTCCTCATCACAAACATAACCAGAGTTGCATTTTGCTTCATTCACACATGTTTAACTCACAAATTGTGTATATTTAGTCTGTGTTGTTCTCTCAAATGTAAAACACTGTTCACTGTTCCACCTTGTGATGTCATGGTAGTATAGGAAGTGAGTTCTACTGTGTTTTTAAACTCCACACACATTCATTAGAATCATTTGGATAATTTCAGCTCTGGAATTGCCATACTACTGAACAAAATAGGTAGCTGTTAACATGTAGCTGTTAACAAAACTGCCGATTCATGACATCACAAGGTGGAACAGAGCATTTTGAGCTTCGGAGATGTAGACAGACTAATAATAAAAGATTACTCAAATGTGTGAATGAAACAAAACACAACTTCAGGTATGTTTTGATGAGGTAACAACATTCTAACATGGTTAAAAGCTTACAGGAGACAACTTTGTGTAATATAGGACCTTTAAACCTCAAACCAAAGCATAAAATTCCTCCAAATTACTGCCTTCGTACTGCAAAAAATTAAATGTTGGAGCCTGTACCAGAATTTGAAAACCACACATCCCTTTCCCCTCCTATTACCTGGCGTGGTGTGAAGTCTTCAGACTGCAGACCCCACTGTTCACTAATGGTCTCATAGTAAACCAGATTTTGCTTCATGACTTGATCCTCAGGCTCAAACAGGAAGTAGCTGTGAGCGCATTGTACAGCATTATGGCCATTGTTCACTGATCTGACAGAGACAGGGATAATTGACACAGACATATTGTAGCAGCTTTGTTTTATGCACAGAGAAACTACTTACACTTATAATAGGCATACTGGAGGTAATGGTAAATAGTGGACAATAAGTTCTCCACAAAAAAGCCACCGACATTTGGCTTCAGATTCTCTTCACAATTGAGCTTGCACTTCAGTATCTCAACATAAACATCTGTAAAGTAAAAACAATACAATGAGAGGCACATTCTAGTATATTATGTGTGTACTACTACTATACTACTGCTACTGGTCAGGCATAATATTATGTGTTAAAGTGGTCTCTAAAACTTGAACCAAAAAATAAAAAAGATGCCGTTTTATTAGGGATGCTCGAAACCAATTAACTTGTTACTATTCAGAGATTTTTTGTACAAATATTTCAAACATATCAAATAGAATAGAATGGAAAGTTTTACATTTTCATAAAAGAAGATTAATGGTAGCAAAAGACAAACGTTATTCTGTCAAGTGGATGTAAGATTTTTGAGGTTTCGCAGCTCATCCAAGCAGCGTCTTCAGTTCTGGTCAGATTACAGGTGGCCACTGCCTTATTAGGATTAATGTTGAACATTTTAAAACTGACAATGGAAAAACAAATACGGGAACTCATATACTAACAATAATTTGAAAAAAAAATTAAACATTGTCATATAGACAAAATATCCTGTCAAAAATATTTGACCAATATAGAAGCTGCAATTAAGAGTTCATCTGTTTAATGATAATATGCCTGATTAGCTCCTGTCTGATGTTGATGATCAGTCCAAACCTGTGATGGTGGCATACAGGTCCTGGTCTGGGGGTATGTGAGAGACCCCTTCACATTCGTACTGGCACAGCTCAAATTCATTAAGATACAACTTCAACGCTTTCTCCAACTGGTCAATGCTGAGATTATAATCCTCAGAATTCACCAGTTTCACTCCTTTGAGAAAATAAGGCTATGGAAAACAGATAGATATCAGCAAATATGCAAAATTTGACCTTGAATTTATAACAAAGCTTGAAGGTTTATAGTGTAATGGTTGGACTCGCCTCATAAGGCCTCTCTTCATAGTCTATAAGAAATCCGGTCAGGTTGTATTTTGTTTTATATTCATCCATTAACTTCTGCAGTTCTTTGTCCTCAGGATTTCTTTGGAGGTAGGTGAAAGCACAAGGAATGGCACTCTGCAAGTCCTGAACCTTAACAATATAAAAAAAATATATATAATGTGTAATATTAATTAAAAAGGACATGTATATGTCAACAATTATATTGAGAAGCATTTTTAAAAATCCCCCCAAAAAGTAATGGCTTAGAAAGAATGGTTTGGTTTTGGGTTGGAAAAATACAGGAGGATTCAGTAAATAAGCAAGTTATTGATTTTGGTAGCCAATATATCTTTTTAGTCTTTGCAACTCTTTACCACTCGGTCCTGTTTTCCCCAACAAATAAATCTGTAATCAGATGATTTAACTTAAAATTTCAGTTCTTGTCCAAATTTTAAAATAAGATACCGTGAGAAGTTACATAGAATTGAACAACATATATAACATTTAAAAGCCAAGAACAGTTAATATGTTCCTACCATGGAGTGGGCAAAATGCAGATATTTGTATGGCCTCCTCTTGTTGAAATCTTCCAGAACAGTTTTCCCCGGTGGAGGAAGCTGGAGCACAGGAAAGCGCTCTCTACATTTCCTTTGACATGACGCCTTTGTCATTAAACTCCAGTAAACCTTTAGATCCTTGGTCAAAGTGATTGGAGGTTCTTCTATTCTGCTCCTGTTACAATGTAAAGAACAATACCTCACACTGTCTCTGAACAAACGGTACAGACGAAGACAAGTCTCCAGGTGTGTGATCGCCTCTGTCCAGTTTTTAGCAACATAATTCTCCAAAGCCAGTCCATAGGCAGCAGTCAGTGGCCTCAGCTTTTCTTGTGGAAAGTCTTTGAAGGTGTAGTTTTCATCAATAGCAAAAACATAACCAAAACAGAGGGTAAGTAAGGTAATCTTTACACAATATGAAAGCATGTTAGATCCCACATATTATCAGTGCGTCTCTGCAGCCTGCCTGTGTGGAGTGGTCTGTTTTAATACTTAGGCTGGGCCCTCTTCACTGTCTCAAGTTACTGCAATCTGCAGCAGCTGTTGTTTCCGTCACTGAGGAGTTCCCATGTTTGGAGAAAGAATAAACATTCACACTCACACACTAGTCCACTTTGTTTGACCAGGACTAAACATATGTGGTTTGGTCATACAGAGAAATGTCACAGTGCAGAGGTGAATGCATGACCTGATTTGACCTTTATACAATCTTTTTTACAATACAATTTATAATACATAGATGTGCACTGTTTAACATTTCGTTTGGGGCTCCGCCATCTTCTTGTTTCTATGGAAATGTCATTGCACTACTGTGCTACTGTAAATCTGTTTACAGTCCTACTGTTCCACAGTAGGACTTTAAACTGATTTACCTATCATTTATTCAATTACAGGTTTATTGCTCAAAAATACTAAGAAAAATAGGCATTCTGACTGTGTGTGAGGATCCCACTCCACAGATCTGACCTGTAACTTTGGTCTTCGTGATGAACAGTTTAATGCCATACTTTGAAACATTCCAGTGAAAGCAAAAATCATCTCCATCGAGAAAAGCTGGTGGATGATGCTCCACCAGAAAAGTTCCACAATGCACTTTTAATTATATGTGATCTCTCTTTTGAAAAGTATCGTAATAAGTGACTTATTGAGTGATGGTTATTGTTTTGATAACATCTAGTGGCGATATTAGAGATTTTACCTTTACTCAATGAGGCCCCAAACTTTAAAATAATAGATCTAATGTTTATTGAGACAAAATAACACTTTTGATATCCACAAACAGAGTGGCTTATATATGTTTAGTATGGAATTATTCTTGTAACATTTGGGCATTTCTTTGGGAAAATTGAAGGGTTGACCATAAATAAGGTTTGACTGTGTTTGACTTGTAGAGACTTATATCACGCCGCAGATGTGAGGGTGTAGCACCAATTAAAACTGAAATTGTAACAAATGCAAAAACGAAGGTTACAATATCAGCATGTAAGCAGAGCTAATTTTCTTCATACAGATGTTGGACGTGCACCACCATCACCAGCCAACACCCTTTCACAACAAGAGCCCGATCAATACCAGTGCAAACTTGGTGCTTTGTTTTGGCCAAAGTAAATGTTGCTTCTTCTTGAAATAAACCAAAGCGGGTATTTTGATATCTTATATTGCTATTTTCATTGTCCGGAAGTATATTTTTCAAGTTGTAGTAGCTTTTAACTTTACAGAGAAAACTTTCCACTAGCGGGTCTCCACATTCCTGCCCCGCGGTGGAGGAGTTTGCAGTTTGCGCAGCAGCTCGGAGACTGTCCACGTTTACACCGTTTACCCCCCTCCTGTCCTCCCCTCTGCCGCTCCTCTGTTCTGCCTTGGGACGCTGTTCGCAACTTCCACCGCTGCAACATGTCTCCGGTTTTCACCTCGTTTTGCCTTGTTCTGGCGCTGTGGTCCTCGGTGCAGACGAACCCCAGTCCTGTCTTGGGAGATGTAAACGTGGACAGGCTTTTCGTGCCCCCGAACTGTGAGAGAGAAGCGACCACCGGAGACAATGTTCGCTACCACTACAACGCCACGTTTATGGACGGGAAAACCTTTGATTCAAGGTGAGAGCCCTGCCCTTTGTGCAGATTTGCAGTAGTTATTGAGTGCTAAAAGTTGGTAGTTTTTTTTCTTTCTTTTGCTTTCATAATTTCATAACCAGCTATCTTTCTAATAAACGGTCATTAATAGACAGTTTTTCACTTTAGGACTGTATTTTACTATGCATATCATTGCACTGCATTACAGGCTGCGCAGTATGCACTACCGTAGATATAATAAATTATGTTTTAAAGAAAAGGGGAGAAAAAAAAGACTAGTTTTCATTTAAAGATGCTGGGGTGTAGTCTTGCTATACAACCACAAGGGGTCAGTGTAGCTCAGCAGATTAACGTCAGCTCCCAGCCCAGATAAATTAACCGATTTTTTTGATTTTTTTATTTTTTTTACTCATACATACTTATTAATTTTTACCCTACACAATAACATTCAATTTTCTATCTCATTATATTCACCCTATATTTTTTGTGTGCCATTTTATTTACCTTGGGCAACCAAAACAGCACAGAATGCAGGAGGAATTGGCTGGTTAAGCAACCAGATTAGAGCACTAAATCAGTGATTCTGAACCATAGGGCCGGGACCACCTCCTTGTGGGTCCCACAATCAGTAAAATATAATGTGATTAATATGAGATAGGGCCCCAGGTTACTGTGTTCAAAAAAGAGTCGGGCCCCGAGATTGAAAATGTTAAGAACCCCAGCACTAGATCATTGCACAATCTACTTCCTCTTTTACCCTTATTTGTACTTCCTTTTAAATTATTATTGCTTCTCAGTTTTCATTTTCACTTATTCTCTTTCTCTTTGTGCTGCAGTTACCAGAGGGGAGGGGCTAAGGTGGCTCTTCTGGGCGAGGGGCGTCTGATCGCAGGAATAGACAAAGGACTCCAGGGCATGTGTGTGAACGAGCACCGGAGAATCACCATTCCTCCACACCTCGCCTATGGCAGCACTGGAGCAGGTACACACTCACAGGCAATGTGCAAATAAAAGTCAAAGTAGCAGCCTGAACTGAATGAGGGGAAAAGAGCGGGGAGAGGCATTCAGTATTCTGAGCTGGGAATTCACTGGATAGAACTGAGCAATTTACTTGGCTGTGACCAAACTGCACCGTTATAATGCAGCAGTTCAGTTGTAAACATCATTATGAGGTCTGTTTTAAGTATTATGAGAAAAGGCTTCTTCCAGTCTTCCTTGTAAGTGTGTTTTGACTCTTGTTTATGTGGTCAGTGTGGAGTTAACATGTTTCTTCACAAGTGTGGGTGGGTTTCCTCTGAGTCCTCCTATAAAGTCAAAACATGCATGATTAAAATCTTACAGTAAATGGTAAACTTTGGTAAAAATCCTCCAGCTAAGTTTTTCTCACGAAGTTCAAAATCATGGAGACTGCTCCCTGAGCACTTTGTGGTATATGCTCCTGACAGTTAACTTGAAGAATGGGTAAAATGCAGAGAATTAACTTCCCTCACACTTAGTATCCCCTAATTTTTTCTTAAATATTGTATTGTAATAAATGTCATCTATTTAGTTATCTATTCTGTGACAAAAGCATTTGTTTTCTGTTTACATTACAGGTGATGTGGTTCCTCCTGATGCCACTCTGATCTTCGACCTCCTCCTGGTTGACCTGTGGAATAACGCAGATCTCGTTGTTACCAAAACCATCTCCACTCCTAAAGACTGTAAACGCTCCGTCATGAGAGGCGACTTTGTGCGTTACCATTTCAATGGCACACTGCTAGATGGCACTACCTTCGACTCCAGGTGAGATTTGCTTGCTAGCTAGAGTGTTTTAACTGACAGTATTAAGTGCTGCACGTTCACGGCTTTGTGCGTTGTGTTGCCCAGGGTTGTTGTCTGTTGTGTTTGACTTGTTTGGCTTGTATGAGCCCTACGCAGCTACACCCGGAAGCAGACCCAGGACACACTGGTGGGAGAGGGATGGGTGATCCGAGGCCTGGACGAGGGTCTACTGGGAATGTGCGTCGGAGAGATCAGGAACATTGTTGTCCCTCCGTTCAAAGGATATGGAGAGAAGGGAGCAGGTAAAAGAGCAATTTAACCAGTATATTTTCAAAGTAGTGGGAGGTATTATGGTGTTAAAGTGTTAAAATGCCCTTGCAAAGGTCTTTGTTGAGGTTCAAGTCAAAATAAATCACAAAGAACTTAAAATCTAACCACAAAAGAGTAATAATTATTATATTTAAAAGAACTTGAAGAGCACCTGTATTGTGATTTGATATATATTTCATAACTCATTTGTGCTCTACCCATCATCTTAACCTTATATAATATTGACTATTAGAAGATTACATTGCAAGTTTCTTATCTTTTTATTTTAAATCGTCTCTCTTTGCAGTCTTCTTGGATTTGCATATCAACCTAAAAATGTGATATTAGGCATTTTTCAGTATATCTCTTCCATCTAATTCCAAGTAATGTGCTGCTGTTCTTTATGAAATGTATCTTAAATAGACCCCAATAATTACACTAAGTAAGGCTTTAATGATTATTACTAAGATAAAACATTGATTAAACAAGAGCTTGACTTAAACCAAGACTTAATGATGTGACTGTAAAAGCAGACTAAAAGGTATCTTACTATTTTAATCTTTATGAAACTGTAGGCTCTGAGATCCCCCCACAGGCCACTCTTGTGTACAATATTCTGTTGGTCGACATTCACAACCCTAAAGACAACATCACCATCGAGGACCAGGTGGTTCCTGAGTCGTGCCAACGCAAATCTGTGGTCGGAGATTATATCAGATACCATTACAACGGAACCTTCTTGAATGGAGGCACATTTGACACCAGGTTGGTTATATTTAATTAGAGGTGCACTGTGTAACTTTTCTGGTGGAGGGTCTCTGCCTGTCTCCACGTCTAACTTGTAACTCCATCTGCTTTGCCTGGAATGTGCCACAAAATGGTATTAGGTTTGTCTGTTTCCATAAAAAAAAACAAGCATGTGACGCCACCAAGGTAAGTTTCAGGCCAGATCTATGGAGAGGTGTCCCCACTCACAGTAAGAATGCATGTATATGTTTAATACCATACTGTGGAATATTTTAGACAAAGCAATAACATCATCATAGACAAGCTGGTGACAGAAACACCCCCAGGAATGTTACATAATGCACCTAATACTAATACAATTTTAATGGTAAATCTTATGTCTTTATATTGTTTTCTCCAGTTACCAGAGGAACAGCACATATAACACCTACATTGGAATGGGGTATGTGATCTTAGGCATGGACCAGGCTTTGGTAGGAGTCTGCACAGGGGAAAGAAGAAGAGTGATCATCCCTCCACATTTAGCATATGGAGAACATGGAGCAGGTAAATCTTTGAAAAATAATGTGTTTTTTTAGTTTATTTTTTCTTCATAAACTTGCCTGTGTGTTTCCTTTTAAATCAAATTAACCCTCTCAGGCTCAAATAAATTTTTAGTATCAGGAAAAATCTGATATTTGGGGAAAATTATAATATGGGGTAGTAATATACAATCTTGACTTTTTTATCCTTTGTAAACAAAAAAAGTATTTTGCACTTCTGGCAGGCCGTTTGTGTGTAGTCATTTTTGCTCAGTCTGCATCGCCCATTTTATCAGCATGGATGGGAGAAAAGGCTCCTGAGTAAAAAAAAAGCTCAGAAAATATGGATTTAGAGTAAGCAGGTAATTGGAATTTAGCTGTTGCAAATCTGCAACGCCTGCCTGGAGAGGGTTAATTAAATGTCCTATATTACACAAAATTGACTCCGTGAGCTTTAAACCATGTTAGAATGTTCTTACCTCATCAAAAATATTCTTATTAACTCTCTTTTACTGACTTCACCTAGTCCATGATTCTCCTTTTAATTGTCCATACATTTTCACCAAACTTGTAAATTCCCGCCAGATTATCAACAGCAGTTTTTATCTTACAAACTGTTCTCTTTCTCACTGAGGCAGAGGTCCCAGCCTGTTACGTCATATTAATTGTAGTTTGCTTTTTAGGAAACGTGATCCCTCCTTCAGCGGTAATTGTGTTTGACATTCACGTCATTGACTTCCATAATCCCAAAGACACAGTGGATATTCAGGTCACACACAAACCTGAGACATGCAATGAAACCACCGAAGTCAATGATGTTGTCAAATATCACTACAACTGCAGCCTCGTGGATGGTACCAGACTGTTTTCATCGTGAGTGAAGTGTAATTTTTGCTTTAAGCTCCCTGTTAAAGGTGTCATTTTGAGTACTTTTGACTATTGAAAGATACTCATGGGTTTCAGCTTTTGAGCTTCATTTAAAACATTGAAATAACTAATTAGAGGCATTTACAGACAGTGGACAAGCTTTTCAGATTCACAGGTGAGACATTTAAATTTGTAGCCGTGGTGTAAGCACATTAAACAACTTGGAGCCATGTGTTAAACAGTTATAATGCACTTCACAGAGGAACACATACCTACGATTCCGCAGTGTGCGTTAAACCTGCATGAAAAATGAATGAACATGAAATAAAAAAATGTAATAAGAATTGGTGATAACAGTTAATTCCTTATCACTCTGAAATCCATATATAGATTTAAAAGCAACACATTGGAACATTATCTTAAGCCATGTATGTTTGTATTACAGACATAACAATGACAACATGCAGGAGACTACGTTGGGCTGGGACCTGGTAATCGATGGACTGGACCAGGCTCTGAGGAACATGTGTGAAGGCGAGAGAAGGATTGTCACCGTGCCTCCACATCTGGGCCACGGAGAAAGAGGAGGTAAGAGACTAAATTACAAAAATATTGTTTTTGTAATCATTTGTGTTTGTTTGCATTGTATTTGTTTTATTCAATTATATTTATTATTGCTGTGGTTCAGTAGCAATTCATGGGATTCGGCTTCCTATTTACATTTTGCTCAGGTTGTTGGAGTTGACACAGTTCAACTCCCTATAGCATTGGAACCTACCTGGACAACTGAGGGATTACACAGACATTCAAAATAGTTTTTAATTGTAAATTACTATTGCATATTTTCCATTACTGTGAAACATGGATAGAAGCAAATCAAAACAATAGAGTAAACCATTTTGGATAGGTGGAAAGTATAAAAATGAGCAATATTGCCATCAGGTATTGTGTGAGAAAAATGTATGCGATCGTTCAGGTACTGGTTCAAGTGTATTAGCTATTGTTTGACTGAAGGCCTCATTATGTTTACTAGTCATTGCATATTTGGATTGGTTTATTATTTTTATTTTGTTTTAAGAAAAGTCACCACACTGGTATAATTGGTTTCTGAAATGGGCAGTTACTGATACAGATATCTGAACTGCAAATGTTGTTGATCTACTCTATCAAATTATTAATATTGATCTATTTTCCACATTTGTTCAGCGGAGGGTGTCCCGAGCAGTGCCGTGCTGGTTTTTGAAGTGGAGCTGGTGAGCTTTCAGAAGGGCGTTCCAGCCGGGTACCTGTTTGTATGGCTCGGGGAAGCTCCAACTGACCTCTTTCTGAATCTCGACTTAAACAAAGATGAAAAAGTGACACAGGAGGAGGTAGGTTATAATTGTTGATTTATCCTTTTAGGTTTGTTGGCCCTGGGTCTTGCCACAAGGCCTGTTACTATAACATTTTGAAGCTATATTGGTACAGAGATATACTGCGATAAATGATAATATTCAAACTACATTATGCCACTAATTCAAAAACAATCATGCAAGAAAACTTTGTTAAATAGACAGTAGACATGAGCTGCAACAGATAAACAGCAGAATGATGCAATAATTTGTCATCAGAGTAACTTTTTCAACCCTCTACAGCTCAAATCTTTTTGCATTACAACAAAAATAACAAAAATCTTCCCGTTATTGCAAAGTAAATGTGCACAATACTGAGACCATACCGGCTTTCATATATTGAGGTGATATAGTGTTTATTGTGACAGGCCTACTTGTTAATTACTGAAATCCGGTTTCTCTTTCTAGTTTGGGGAGTTCATCAAGCTGCAGGTGTCAGAGGGTAAAGGTCGCATAAAGCCCGGGATGACCATGGAGCAGGTCATTGCCGACATGTTTCAGAATCAGGACAGAAACAAAGATGGTGCCATCACAGCGGATGAGCTCAAACTGAAGGTGGAGGAGGACAGAGAGAAAGCGGCACACGACGAGTTGTGAAGACAGTTTTGTTTTCACTCAAACTCAGGGATTCACATCCGGCGAAACGTAAAAACAACATAAGACTTTCCATTGAGATCAAGGTTTATTATTGTCTCAAAAAGACATCAACAAGATTTTTATGTCTGTAGTTTTTTGCTGTATGATTGTTTGTGTTTGTTAGAAATGTTCAAGCACTTTTTTGTCATAGAGTCACTTGGATTAAAATCTTTGTTTAAAAAAAAAAAAGTTTCACTTCCTTGTGAAGTAAAAATGGCTCCCCTGATTTGTGATGAAGGTTTTCACCGGTAAACATGTTTTGCAACAAGAAGTTCCAGAAACTGGAATTTCATAAAACAAACATACACTAAATACAGACATTTTTAGGCTGTTTTCATCCATAACATTTGTTTGTATCGATCAAAAACAAACAGCATCAAATTACTAACCTTTCTATAACATTCTCAAATTTGAAATGAAAACCACATTTTCACCAAAGAATTAAGTTAAATTACATCTAAATTGTACCTCTGAGCAACACAATGCAGTCCCATAAACAAAACTGGCTTTTGTGTACTTATAGCAATGTACACATATGAACACTGCTTCACCAGTAATAAATACTTTTAAAATATTAACTCAAATTCATCCTAAAATATGTTTTGAAATAAGGTGATTATTACTTAATTGGCAAATTGTGACTATTAAAATTATACATAGTATAATTAAGTCAAATGCTGTAAAAATGCATAGAAATTAAAAGGAAAGATTAAAAATAAGAACATGGGGCTGCTTTTGACATGACACTGAAAATACTTGGAAACAGACATGAGGACTGTGTTGAGTAACAGCTAAATGAACCCTTGTGTTTGAGGTAACTGTGTTGTGCATTATTGAGCATTAATAAATAGAGTGACCAGCGATGTGAAATTTGCTAAATCCTTTTTGACCATCTTACTTGTGTCATCAGGATGTTCTTGAGAATAGCATTTGGAATTTCCAGAGTTTCATCTTTCACTAAAACAATATCAAAGGACTTCACATATGACTCTTTCCGCTCTTCCACCTGGAAACAGAAAAGAAACACACAACATACATTGATGAATATAGTTCTAAAAATATTTGTGTTTTAAACAAATATTTATATTCTACCTGGTCATTGAGAAAGCCAATAGTCAGAATATTTTGTGCATTTGTAACTCCATCGGCCATGGTCAGATCCCCCAGAGAGTCCCCGAGCAGCAGCACATTGGGGCGCCCCTTCAGCTCGGTGAGATGAGCTGCATGAGACAGAGCTCCCTCTCTTTTATTAAATGTGTGAATCAGCTGTCCTTTGAAGGCTTGAAGAACCCCCTTATTAACAACACAAGAGAAAATAAAAGTGAAGGGGTTTTAACTGGATAATATGTTGAACAGGCTCTGATACTTACAGTGCGGTCAAAGTCCATGTAGTTGGAAATAATGTGCACATTGGGATGGAAAACGTGGCTTTGGCGAATAACTTCTTCCAATACATCTCCGATACCCGCAGAGAAAATTAACAGTGGAACTTGGAACTCAGACAAAAGGTCGAAAAACACTTTGTAGCCATCCCTGTAAAACATTTAGGATATATATTTAATGGTATTATTTAATTAAAGTTACTTTCATCGGTAAATCAAATTATTAAGCTGTAAATGTGTACCTGAGCATGGAGTGGGACTCTCTCACTACCTGTGCTAGCATATCTTTCCTGATCTTCTGTTCTATCAGCAGCTCATGAACTTTAGTCCACCTTAAATGAAAATTCACCTTTAGAAACATAAAAATGACCAATAAAACAGCCATTACTTCTCACCATTCAACCATGAGAGGTAGTTTCTCTTCAGTAGAAAGTCTAGCATCAATCTCTATTGGGTAGTAGGTGTTTAATAGTTTCTTTATCTGCAGATAAAACACATTATATATTTATCCTGTTGAGCTAGACATCAATATAACTCAATGTCATATCAAGTAAAAATAACCTTCTTCTCGCAGTCTTCGTCGATCAATAACCGGTTGTCCAGGATGTCTGGAGAAGTTCAAAGATGGTTTGAGATGAAAATACAATCATACAATCAACACAATATCTTAAAATAATTGCCCTTATCAACTTATACTTACTATGAGTGGTGGGAACTCTCCGTCCTTTGTAGGCAAATCTTGTTAGTGTCATATCAAAGTCTGAGATCACCTAAAACACAAGAATCAAGATTTGAAGCAGGATCTTCCACTTTAAAATATAATCATTTGAAGCATCCGCCTGACCTGAAGACTGCCTGGTCCAGCTCGCTGCATGTTGTAAATGGTTTCCTCCACTCTGCCCCTTTCCCTCATGAGAACTGAGCATTTTGATAACTCTGGGATCTAGAGATAAAGAAAGAAAAACACTTGTAAAATTCAAAACTCTGTAGAAATAATTATAAAAAGAAAATGTCTTACTTCATTTTTGATCAACTGGTGCCAAATTGCCAGAACAGTCCGGACTGGGGTGTAAATCCAGGGAATTTGCTGAATCTACATGAAAAATTTAGTTTAAGTTGCATATAAAGCAGGCTATAGAAATATGTAAGTTTCTGGAGTACAAGATGTGTTGCAAACCAGAAACACGTACAAAAAAATAAATAATTATCAAAATCCACGAGTCAGAAATAGAATTTGTATGCGCTCGAATTGCGAGTTATTCTAAAAATGTAAACGTGCTAATTAAAGCTCAGGTTGTTTTCAGGCATATCTGTGGTTCTCAGGTAGCTTGCAGTCACCACAGCTGAGCTACAAACTGCAAATAAATGTATCTGATTGTTACAACGTTACAAGACTAGAGTTCGATTTAAAACGATTTAATCTGGGACATAATATCAACTCTGTGCATGCATTTTTTTATTTAATATAAATGAATAAATGCTATGCTATGAGGCTATGCTGAGCCAGGTTTGTCCTGACTGCGGCTGTTACGTAACTCTGTGGATCATTCAAAACAACGTACCATTTTGAGGTCAATATTTTCTCCAGAGGTCGATTAAACAACACTCCCCCCCGATATATTTTAGATCAAATCGCCACTAAATTCGTCATTATAAACGCGTTATTATAGGAGCCTTCTGTCGCTTGGATTATTTGTTTACGTTGTTATTGGCTTTGCTCCACCTACAAAATCCCGCCCGAAAACGCAGCAGCCACAATAGTTCCGGCTTTCAAAGTTTGGTTCCTATTAATTGTCTCTGTAGCCTATTTGTGGATAAAACGACAATAATTAAACTAAATTTTAATAACAAAAATATATATGTTTAATTATATATGCAGTAAATAGAATGCAATGTTCCCTCTGGACTATGATGTATAAAAGTATATGTAGTCAGAATTTTGTCTTATTTAAATGTCACTTAGGGCAATATATATTCAGTTCGTCCTTTTTAATCATTATGGTTTCTACAACTGTGACAATGCAACACAGGCATGAATGCAAGTAAAGGAGTAATAAATCTGTTACAACAGCTGTATCCTGAGTACACTCTCTATTTCTATTCTAGTACACCACATAAAAGGCAGGATTTTATGCATATATAACTAATTTCAAAGTCCTTACATTGCTCATAAAACTGTTATTTTATTAATATTTTACTTCATATAAATGTACAAATCATTGACAAGCCACAATCAGCAAAACTTTTGTGTAGTTGAAAACAGGTCATATCAGCATTAGTAGATAAAGAAGATCAGTTTGTATTCAGCTTTTGGTTGATAACATGAAAAAAATGAACAAAAACATGATGAGAATTTACAGAATATCAAAACATCTGCAGCAAGAACATGATGTGATTTAGATTCAGTTAGGACAATAAAATAGCAGCATGTAAATTGTTCAATAAGAAAACATTATTTGTGCAAAAAAGTATTATACCAAAGTATGTTCTAGCATTTAATTGTGAATTGAATTAAAAATCTTGTATGAAAAGACTGGGAGACACACCCATTCTTAGACAGTATTTTGCATAGCTTTTACATTCTTGGCAAACTGCTTATAATAAAGTGTATTCTATATTAACATTCAATTTGAGCTTGCAGTTGTCTTCTTAGAGTTAGAGTCCTTCTGTGGAGATACTGTAGATGCTGAAATCTGTCTCTTTGTCTGGTGAGGTTATGGGGCATTGGGTAGTGCTGGTGCCCTTGGAGGTATTTAAATGGGACCCGAATATGACAGGCTGTGGCTCTGCACCGTGACTGGGGCATTGGAGGTAGCAACATCCATCGTTTTCTTTCCGCACAATATCTATAAGCCTCTTTTCTACACTGTTTATCCAAGGTATTGCTTCCTTTCCAACCACCAATCACAAATATATCATCACCAAGGTAGCAGACACTGGCGCCTTCAAGTGTGAGGACCTCTGGAGGCAAACTGTCTAGAATGTCTTCTGGGATGCTAGTGCTAATTTTTTGTTGAGCTACTTCATTGGTTACATCGTAGTTTTTTGGACAGAATGATGCCGTGTTGTAAAAGTTTGAGCATGCGAGCGCCATTTGAAAAGTGCAGTAATTGTCTAAAAGAGGCAAGGACGCAACTTCCTGCCACCTGTTCATCTCTGTGTCAAAGCAAATAGCCACTGTGCGCAAGCCTTCATCCTCTTCGATATCTATGGGAGTTCTGGCCATCATGTAAACATAACGCCCCTCGATTACAACAGTTTTAACATCTCTTAATATTTGTGGAGCTGATTCAAGGCTGAACCACTGGTCTTGCTCTATGTTATAAAAATCAACATCTTTAAAACCAGGACTAAAGTTGCCATGTCCACCTATGCTGTAAATGACATTTTTGACACAAGCAAGACCAAATGAGTGTTTACGAGTGGACAAAGCGCATAAAGGCTCCCAGTTATTGTTATATACATCGTAACGTTCAACTGCCTTCGCAAAACCTGGCTCCATGGACCCTGCTATGTAAACATAATGGTCAGTTACAGCGATTGCATGTCCATCTTGGTGATTGTGAATGTGTGGTAGGTTGACCCAGCGATCCTCTGCGACAAAATATCCAACACATTCACTGAGATGGTCACCGCTTTCAGAAACACCACCCACAACCATGACTACATCCATACTCTGACAAAAACGTGGCTTGAGTTTCATCATGTATGAAGAATAAAGGCCAATATCAGATAATTTGAGATTTTCCAAGCTAATAGCATGCACCTCAATGGCCTCAGACACAAGCTGACAGCAGGTGTGGCTATTCACAACTAGAGACTCTTTTCTCACAACTTGGCTAAGATATGCTGGTGATATTTGGGTCAATCTTAAAAGTCCAAACAACTCCTCAAAGTGTTGCTCTCTCTCTGCTTTGTCATCATTTACCCATTTGACAATTACTTCAAACAGCTCTTGTTCACTGTTGACTGTGATTTCTGAGTCGGACAGCCAGTCTCGGACCAACTTAAAGGGCAGACTGTGGAATTCTTTGTTGTGAATAACTTTGTGGAAATTTTTGCGGATTAAGGCAGTGGCTCCATCGGCGAGCTGGTCCAAAGAGTAAGTTAAGGCCAGGCGGTAAGCTGACACACAGTTTTTCAAGGTCAACCTCTTCATTAGAAAGTCCCCACAGAAAGTCTTCAAATTGGCCAACAGGAACCTGGATGTGACAACAACATGTCATGATATGAACTCAAGTTAAATATTTGTGAAACTCCTAAATTACTTTTTATATTATTTCTGAATAGTACATAACTTTTATTTTATTCTGGGGTTACCATAGTCTCCATGACCCATGAGCCTATGCGATCTACAACCACTAGATGGGATCCAAACCTCAAACTGCTTTAATCTTGCATTTTTATTTTCTTTTTATGGGCCTCTTCTGTCCATATTAATTTATCTAAACATATTACATTCCCAGGTGGTCTAAATTCTATACAATCTATGATAAATATAAGTTTTTCAGGCGAATAAGAAACACTTCTTCTTTGACTCATTGTTGATGTTTTGACAGATGCGGTCAAACCAGTATAACCACACACAGACTCACCTGTGCGCCAGCTCCAGGACTTGATGTACATTAGCGGCAGTCACGCGGATCTGTCCCGTATACATGAACTCTATCACCGCCTCCACTGTGCACGGGTCCGGTCCCGCTGAGCTCCAGTCCCGCAGCTCCACTGTCCCGGAGGAGGCGGCTCTCTCCTCTCTCAGCAGCACGGAGAAGTAGAGAGAAGCGGCCGATAACACTGAGCGATGGGCGGACAGAGAGTGGACCCTGGCCCCGGAGGAGAAGAGCAGTGTGAGGTCGCAGAATTGCCCCGCCTTGCGCTGCTCGTTCTGCCGCTGAGCGAGCTCCGAGCAGTGGGGACAGCAGGTGAACTCCTCGGCCTCTTCAACGACCGTCCCCTCTTCTTCCATCCTGACACAGCTGCCCTCCACTGGGTCACCGTCAGCTGCAGCCGCCATGCCCAGCGCCAGTACCAGTTTATTTACGGGAAAATCCTACGCACATATAATAAACACAGGAACTCTGCTCCATGCGCAGTGCGGGCGCGCTCACTTCACTTCCGTATTCAAGTCCACGCCAATGATCCTGGCCCAATAAAATCCGGTTTGTAACCGCGTCATTGGCACTAAGCCTACATTCAATATGCACAATAACCAAACAGAACTAACCCCGTTTATTTCACCTTATTTGTTCATCTTAACTATTGTCACGTAGGCTATAAGTAAAACTGAAGCCCATAATTTGTTAAAAGATAATTATATAAAATAAACACAATTAAGACAATAAATTCTTTATTGTTCTTCTCTAGGACAACATTTTACAAAAAAACAAAGCATTTTATTTCACAGTTAAATATAAATAGCAAAACATATGTTAAACACAGCAGGCAGGGCCTTGGGAAGTTAAAGTATTAAGTTGAAGGCATTAAGTTATGACAGTATTCCCAGTTTGGGCATCCAAGACCGTGTCCACATGCTGTGTGCTTTCATGGTCCCTCTCTGTGATGCTAAAGACTCATCGGGCACATTCATGAAGCGTATGTATAATATTCGAGTCAGTATTTTATTGTATTGTAATGACTTTCGAGGACCAGTACCCTGGTTACATTAGACATAATGTAAGACTCACTCCCCAAGACTAAAGAAATCACATTAGTAGAAACTATTACAATGGGAAGGCATAACAGGCATGAAGTAACAGTGTCTTCTGTCAAGTAGATGTCCATTTTGGCCAATGTTTAAAATGTGAAATAAAAGTAATAACTGTACCTTCAGCTGCAATAACACTGGGCCCTTTTCAATAAAAACAACTTTGGTTTATTATAAATGGGAGGAGAAACTATTAACTATTAGGTTTTGACTAAGGTGCAATACTGTATTGAGATAGTCAGAGAGCACTTTAAGAACTAAATCAGGCAACTGCTGATAAAATAAATCAATTATTTTGTTTTTTTAATTGAAAATGTGAACTGGAACTGTTTTACTTGGCTTAAACCATTTAACACCAGCAGCATTAGTGCAGATGAGCTCACTGGGCTCCTTAAACCACTATCATGTTCAGGACCCAACTGTAGCTGTGCTAGAAGCTGTAGCAGTGTTTGGCTTCTTGTTCTAATTATAATAACCCCTTAAGCTGACTAAAATAGACTTCCCCTTTTTCTCCATTAAAATAAAAATATTATTTATCCCAAAAGACGACATTACATGGACATGTGTTCAGGAAGCACATAGGAGATGTCATCCCACGGGTGGCGGTAGAGACCCTGCTTCAGTCTCTTCTGGTCAAGATAATGCCCTAATGGAAACACAATATGCAATTCATTTAAAATCAAGTTTGTAGTTATATATTTTAGTTGCTTACATGATATTAGAAGTAATGAATGATATCTTATACATAATATCTGATGGCAAACTTACCAATGAAACCCATGCTTCGACCCAGGACAAAGATTCCATTCAAAGCACCAATCTCCACGAACTCATCTGCCTCGTCCCTGATAAAATTTAAATTGCAGCAGAAATGTAAATGTTTATTGCTACCTCAAATCAGGCATCACTGTTCAATATTTACGCACAACTATGTTTATAATATGGATACAACACAAGGAGGAAAACTATTACTACTCACTATCACTATTACCAAAACAAATATACACTTTATACTTCTTTCTTACCGTGTGAAGCCGCCACACGTCCGAAGAAGATCCACAAATGCAACACCAATGAAACCATCTACATTGAGAATGAGGTTTGGTTTCTAGAGTAAAACAAATAGGGTAAAAATGTTAGTTTTGCTTACGATCATAAATAAACAAAAAACAGTCTCTTAATTAGCACCTTAGAAGTGGTAATCTTCTCCACATCTAAGGCATAATCCAGTAACTGTGTGGAGGTGAAATGCTGCTTCACAAAGTCCTTCAGAATTTGCACCCGCATGTCTGGGTTATTAATCTGAAATTAGAAACACACATACATGAAAATAGATAGAAAAATAAAAATAATAGAAAAAACTTCAATTATAAAGGTCCACATGGTTATTACTTACAGATTTAACCCTGTGACCAATGCCCATGATAAGTTTTCCATCTTTTTTCATTTTGTTGACAAATTCCATTGGTAACATCCCACTGTCAAAAGCTTTACTGAACTGCTTTGCTGCTGCATCCAAAGCACCACCAAAACGATCACCCTGCAGGACAAAAAAAAGAAACCAACTGATGTCTTATATATGTCTAAAAGGTCTTATTAAACCAGTCACTATAATACTTAACTTTATAGTTCAATATATCAAAGATAACATATCGCAACTCAATATTTTTATCATGTGTTTCCAGGCCAGTCATCATAACACATTTTTGTGAGCAGTACTGTATATCTCAAGGGAAATATGCAGTACTGCTGAAGAAAATATATGATAAATGATAATCTTGCAACTAATTTATGCTGTTGACACAGAAAACTATTCTAAATCTCCAATATTGTTAAAAAGATGAGACGCAATAATTAAACAGCAGAATGAAACACTTTAGTACTTAGTTTCCATCAGCAGTGAGTCATAGAGGTTATTAATTCAACCTTTAACAGATTAATTTTCATCTTAAAGACAAAAAAATAGCCCACAATTTCCCAGCAGTGCAAAGAAAATGCGCTGAATGATAAGTCGATATAATAATCATGATTATAACTAACAAATAAATATTTATATGACTGCATACATTTATAACATGTTATTTTATACTGAAAATTGCTTTTGTCTTTTACTGTGTTTCATATTCATTGCAGCAGTTGTGCTATGCAAGCTTTGGTTGAGTACAATTATTTACTTACTGTTCTACAAAGGTGTTTGAATATTGCAATATTTACTGGACTAATCATTACAGTTTGTTATTGTGGCAGGCCTATTCATGAGTTTACCATTCTGAAACCCATGGATAGGTTTGGGGACATTTGAATGTACTCACAATGGTCAGTAGGCCAGAGGTCAGGCTGGAGATCAGGTCCTTCCCGGCTCGAGCACAGACAATAGTGTTGTGTGCTCCGGAGACCGCCGGGCCGTGGTCAGCCGTCACCATCAGACACATCTCAATGAACTGACAGGCATAGCGAGGCAGTCTAGATCAGAGGAAAGACAGGAGTTATGAAGAGTTTATTTGACAAAACAGATAAGTCTCATTTTTTATGTCATATGAATTTGGCTTATTTGATAAATTTCACTGAACTTTAGTTATACTTTCATATAGTGCAAAACATACAACAGTATTTGCATATTAACTCCTCACTAAATAAGTTTTCCTCTTTACTCCTGTCATTTATGTTCATTGTCTATTCAGAAATAATAATCAGACATTACTTCCCAACAGTTAATCTATATTTGAGTAGAATTTTTTTTATTTACTTTGAGATAAAGTAGTTGCACTTGATTTCTACTGACCTGCGCTGAAACCAGAGCAAGCCAAGCACACCACCGATGCCCATCTCCTCTTTGAACACCTCAGTGATGGGCATACCAGCGTAAATTAGCTCCTGACCCCTCTCATCACAGATACTCGTCATGAAAGAGGCTGGCTTCCTAATCAGACCCAACTCCTACATAAAAATATGCACACATTTTACATACATATACATACAAAATTATATTTAATACAATTTCTCAAATAGTTAACACCAAACACCAAAAGTTAACTCACCCTGGCCCAGGAGTAATCCATAGGTACTGTAGGGGGTGGTACTTCCTCAGCAGGAACTATTGTACCATTGTCCACCAGGTCAGTGTAAACTGTCCTGTCAAACAGAATACAGAATATAAATTAGAAAACAATTAAAGATTAAAGAAAGCAATGCATAAACATTCTATATTGCCAATAGTCGTACTTTATTACATCTCCCAGTTCATCAAAGCTCTTTGGTACATAGGCTCCGGCGTCCCTCAAGGCTTGGTTTTTGGCCACGGCTGTTTCTGAAGCCTGATTGGCGCAAGCTCCGGCATGGCCAAACTGGACCTGAAAAATTAACATCAAAGATGAGGCTCAAAAACTGTCCAGTTAGAACAAATGCGCTGAAAATTATGAAACATGGAAATGCAAACTCACCTCTGAAGCAAACATGGTGGCACAGGTTCCTATGCACCAGCACACTACAGGCTTGGTGATCCGGCCCTCTTTGATGCCCTGGCAAATCTTATACTCTTCTGTGCCTCCAATCTACAGGCATACAGCAGATATGATTACACATTCCTTTTAATTCATTGCCATATCATTGTGCCACAGTAATATCTTCAAAACAATGTAATACTAAACATAAATAAAGCTCTAAATTTAAAACACAGTACAGTAAACACTAGGGGCAGGAAATGCAGATTAATAAGAACAAAAAAATAATAAATGTTTATGTTGACAATAATGTGCTTTATGATTTAGTGTAGATTTTACATTTTACAGAGTTTCAGCCTTTTGAGAATATTGTGTAAAACAGCTGTAACTGCCATTACCTCTCCTAGCACCACAATCATCTTAACTCCTGGAGTGTCCTGGTATCGAAGCACATGGTCCATGAAGGTTGAACCTGGATATCTAGATTATAAAAATAGTATGAAACTGGATTATAAGTTTTATTTTTTTGGTTGAATTGTAATTTGATCTATGCCATTACCTGTCTCCTCCAATGGCCACGCCCTCGTACACGCCATCAGTGGTGCGTGAGATGATGTTATTGAGCTCATTGGACATGCCTCCGGAGCGGGACACATACGCCACACTCCCAGGCCGGTACAGTTTAGACGACAGAATGTTGTCCAGCATGCCTCCTGTGTTACCAATCTTAAAACAGCCGGGCTTGATACCACCAACCTGAGACAAGAATCAAACAGGGGCTGAGTTACCTACTTTGCATAAGATCCAAGTATCAGTTACTGCATTAAATAGTTCATGATGGAGCTTTTGGAGGACTTTTACTTATTCTCCTTTGCTCTTACCGTTGCAGGGCCGATAATTGTGACACCCTTCTCGTCAGCCATCTTGATCATTTTTCGGGTCAGAGCTTCAGGAATGCCTTCAGCTATTATGGCAATAGTGTGAATCTACAGAAGGATATAAAGCAAATAAAAGTTAAGCTACTGCCACATGAAATTCTTTTAGTCGTAAAATTTAATTACTCACACAAATCATAACCTTTTATATTGACTATTGTAACTGTATGCTGGGCCTGCCATGATAATTGACTTATTGTTCACTATATGAAAGCTGAACAATATATTTTGGAGCTCAATATTTATCATGTGTACAATGTCTTAGGGATCTAGGGTATTTTTTATTGCAGTACTATAAGATTTGCAGCCACACTCATCACTCCACACGGATGAGGAATGGAACAGAGGAACAAACCGAAAAAGCGAGTGCAATGTGCCACTCTAAGCCACAACTGAACAACTGAGTCACTGTGAACACGCCAGCAATCCAGGGGTCCCAGACAGCACCCTCCCTACGCGCCACAATTGAACAAAGCCGAGAGTCACCGTAAATGCGGCAAACAAAGTCTGACTGACCCATCCAGCTGTTGGGTTTCGTTTAAAGCCTGATGCTTTTTATTTGTGAAAAAAATTCGAAAATAGACCATTTAATGACAGTGCGCCTTATAATCCAGAACGCCTAATAGCCCAGAAAATACGGTAAGTAACTTCTATGACTAATTATTGACCAGTAATACACCCTGCTATTTCCTTGCTGTAGCTCAGGCCTGTTAATGATACAGTCTATTAAAAATGGTTTACTGGGATTATCTTGCATTTGGATTATTATTATTATTATTATTATTGAGTCAGTGGCATAAAGTACTTTCAATATTATTGTTCACTGTAGTATCTCAGTACCAATATATCATGCTTCAAACATTGTTAAAGTGACAGGCCTAGTGCATGCCATATAAAATATAACCAAAATATTATTGAGAAACTATGCTTTTTAACAGCTGACACAGCTAACAGCCAATACAATAGTTTTACCTGGGTGAACTGCATAGCCTCCATTGTGCTGTCATAAGCTGAGCGCAGTGAAGCGAAACTGATGAGCACATCCACTTCTGGATGTTTCTTCATCGCATCAGCCATATTTTTATAGACTGGAATCAGGATCTCTTTGTGACCCCAGTAAAATTTCTGCTTGTGATCCCCACTGACAAGATACAGGGAGACAGTATGAGAAAAGTAAAAATGAACAGCACAATTAAAATTTTCTTGATATTTTGAGACATACGTGAAGGGGTAGACCATGGCTGCTACAGAAGGCTCATCTCGAGAGCACACATAGTCGAAGTCCAGCATGCCTTGTACGGCTCGAGTCTGCATGCCCCACACAATGGTCTTAGTGTGTTTGCTGAAAAGAGTGGTGGCTTTTGCTGAAAGGAAAACAAAGGAAAACATTTGGTAAGAGACAGAATGGCTTTAAGCAAGATAGGATAATTCAAATTCTTGCATTGAATACTTTCACACAAATATAAAATGATGCGACTTCTCTGTAAATGACATGTGGTTTGGACCAGTTCACCACAAATTAGACCCATGTGGTTATTGTTGCCTCACTGTAACATCACTTGTATTCAATTTAGACCCACAACCACAAGCTGCCCACTGTCCCTGTGTTAGTTAAGCAGATAATGTTATTAAATGTAAAATCTTTTCTCCTTCAACTAAATAAAATCATCGTTATATATAAAAGGTACTTCATTGCTTGTGGTAAATTCTTTTTGGACCACTTGAACAGCAAAAAGTCATACAAGTTTATGCAGAAACTAATAAAAAAGGACAAAAAAACAAAAAACAAAACAAAAAACAGGATAATCTGTCTAATCTGGGAGCGAGGAGATGGAAGTGAATCACACCCATCCATACCTCCAGAGCAGCCTGAAGAGGCCTGAGCTTCTGTGACCCCACGAGACAGAAAAGTAACAAAAAACAAGCAAAAAGAAAAGAAAGAACAGTAAGTGCATATTTAACAAAGAACATAATAACATTGTATCTATTGTAACTAAGAGTCATTTTAAATACAGAAAGCAGAGATCATCGAGCATGCAAAGCACTGCTAAAGCATGCTTTTAGTTGGGTGCACTGCTGTGAAATGTACACTAAGTTTTTAAAGACTTCACTGAAACTTAATTGTAGTATTTCAGTAAAACATGTCTCTACACAACACACAAAGTGAACGCAAATTTTTCACTGCATCTTCATGGCTCAGATGTGTTTAAGGGCGCATATTAAAAACATTGTGGTCACTGGTGAAATTAGTATTTTTTCCAATATCACCCATGTGATGCAGACATGTAAAGTCACACACACCCCTGGACACAAGGAGGCGCTAGAGGAGGAGGAGGCCTGTATGAAAACTGTATAAGATGATGCTGTGGTCCACACTGGCATGGCACACCCTGCACTTACCTTTCCAACCGCCCGTGACCACATTCTTCAAAGGCCACAAAATAGAATGAAGCGAATCTTAAGCGAGAAATATATACACAACACGAGGGGTGAAAGTGCAGTTTTGTGATAAGAGCAGGAAAAGGAGGGGCAAATGAAAAAAGGACACAGTAAAAGCAGTAACAGCGTTTGGGGGAGGAAAGACAAAAAAAAAGAGGCAAGGATAAGAAAAAATGAAAAGCAGAAGTGTGTGAGTACATTTGAGCCGATTCGTGACAGTACAGTGTTGTGGCCGTAAGGTTAACTTACCTGCTGGAAGACCTTTGCACTTCTTGGCTGGACAAGATTCATTAGCTGCTCTGTTTTCGGAGAAAGAGGCTGTCCGTGTCGCAGCAGGAGTCTAAAGAGTTCAAATAATGACTATGATTAGGCACAAAATCTGACCCACTACCTCATATACAACTTAAAAGGCATGTTTAGCTGCATTTGGCTAGACTTTGCCCCTCACATGTTTTAAAAAGCCTTGGCTCTGTCACTGATGAACTACTGTTAGCAAAACAATTCACATGCCAACAAATGCAGACAGACAGAGATGCCATGGCCCAGAAATCAAAACATTTAATTTTTTAATTACTAACTGACCTAAACTGACTCCAATCTTTTTCATGTAATGCTAATTTTATTCATTTAGAGGACAGCCACTATCCTATTACCTCACAATGATACATTTTAAAAAAATGTGTTTTTTACTCTTGTCAGTGGTCAGAATGTTGTGCATGATATTGACCTTATTCTGCCCTGCCCACTTTTGTCTGCAAGTGCTCCTAAACAGCTTTCTTGTGGTGGCACTTCCAGTTAATGTTCAAAGTTCACATGCACCAACAAGTCAACACTGCACTGATTCTACATGAAGCATGTATTGAACTTATTTGCTGACAAGATCGGCAAAATAATACAGACGATCATGGCGACACCCACGGCAGGTGAATAGTATTTTAGATTAGGAAAATAATATATTTACATGTGATTGGTTCCCTTACTTTTGCACTGCTGCTGGCATTAAGCAGAAAGTTGGCTGTATGTGCATCTGATGGAGGCTGATGTGGGATGGGGCGATGACCTAAAGCCATTCCCACGATGGCCGTCATGTGGGTCTCTGTACCGAACACATGGATGGGAATTCCTGTGGTTTTCCCTGCAGAGAGAAAAATACAACATTACACGTCAACTTCACTGGCTTTAATTATTTGAACACAATGATGCTTATTTCACCCACCGACTTCCCCCATGACTCTGAGGCCTTCCTGGTAGTTGGGTCCTCCACGCCTCACGAAAATGGTGACTTCATGCTCCTTGAGAGGTTCTTGGTAATCTTTGATGGCTCTAACAATGCCCTGAAATATATATATATATATATATATATAATCAAAGTTCTGAACAATTTTGGAAAATATATTTAGCAATTTCTGACAAATACACTTGTATATGCAACTATTCTATTTGCAACAGTTAAAATTATGCTTTTGGTAAGAATTTAATTATTTTTGTATCATCTGTACAGTATATTCCTTCCTCAGTAATTTAGCCTCTCTGGCCTTGGCAATTTCCCCAGGCTCGAGGCCTGCACAAACGATTACTGGTTTATTAAAATGTGGTACACCTAAAGTAATTGTATAAAACCCACCTTGAATGTGGCTGCTACGTTGGTAAAATTAGCAATACTTCCTCCAATGATGAGTACTTTCCCTGTAGGAGACAAAGGACAGGAGACATTGACAACTGAAATTTGAGATCTGCATAACCAGTTCCAGCTGCTGAAATCTCCTGCTAGGAACATGATGAAACTGTGTCTTGTGTTGAACTAAAGACTTACAAAGCACAAAGTAAATATATTGAAGTAAAAGTCAGTCTTAAAGCAATCATTTCGTGAAAGTGGTTACTTCTCTACAGACTTGGGTTTTTGAACTGCTCAAAGTTTCTGTTCCTTTCTCACCTTCTGGATGTTTTTCTCTTGTCATGAGTGAAAGGATGGTCTTTGCGTAGTCGTACGTTTGTTGTTCACTGGGAGCGCCAGAATATTCGCCATAATTTGCCAGCTCATCTACTCCGCCACAGTCGCAAATTGTGTCACTGGGGAGACAAATAAAACACAAGTCATATGGAAGTGAAAAATGTACAGTAAACGTCAGAAAATTTTATTATTCAAATAAAAAAAGGATAATATGTTACTTTACTATGTTAAAGTACAAGCATGCTATGCATTTTTTTCCCTAAAAGATTGTATCTACATATCATTAAAATTCAGTTAAAACTATGAACTTCTATTTTGCTTATTCCCATTAGGGACTGCAAGGGAAAGCCTATCCCACGACCTAATTAAGACTTGTATGAGTTCATATTTGAGCTAGGATTTCACATTAAATCCTAATATTACAAAACTTAATAATGCAACATGTTGGGTGATAAACAATAACTGCCTCTACCTGTAGACCACTGAAGCCCCTCCTCCAGCCACCATAGTCCAAATCCTGCCTTTGGGGTTGAGTAAGGTCAGCTTGAGACTTGCTCCACTCTTTGCATCCAGATCTGCGATGTAAGCCTCCTACAGACAAACAACATAATAGTATAATAGATAATAATAGTATTTAGTGGCTAATGATCCTATAATGAAGCTAGTGTAACATAATCAAATAACGACCTCACCTCTGGATAAGCTTCTCTGCCAAAGGGGGGCGGGAACTCCACGTCACCCCATTTGGCTTTACAGATGTAGTCGGCCGTGGCGTCGATTTTAGCTGCCATGTCAAGGATGTACACGCTGTCCTGAGTGACAACTGAGCACACAAACCTGTATTAAGAGCCCTGGAAGACTTTGGTAATCCAATATACAAAAACATGCACTGTATGTTACAAAATACAGTGATTATTTAAGATGATTAAATACGGGGAAATAGTAGTTTGTATAGTAGTTAATTTGTATTATATCATATGTTAAAATACAGTATTATGTGTGGTACATAGTAGTAATAAAGTTGTAGTAATGTCTTTTATGCACTATAAATAAGTGTGAACCTATGATTTTGTTACTGTGATTTTTCAAGTGTTTTTGTCAGAACATTAGCTTGTTTTAGTGCACAAATCTACCAACAAGTACCAATAACGTCACCTGAACCGGATAATTGTCATTTCATTTTAGTCAGAGCTTCAAACAATTACATTTTGAGATGACTCTTGTTCGCAGTAAAATAATTATGAAGATTTTTTTTTTCATGTCATGTTGTCATTTTAAGAAATCTTTAGAGTACACATTTCAAAATTACCAAGTGGGTTTATTTCCAGGTAGGTGAAGTAGAGATCTTCATATAAACTGAATAGGCCCACTATGAAACTGGCCAGTATTCTGAGAAAACAAATAAAAGTGGTTAGAGTGAAAACATTTTTACAGACTAACATAAGGAGAGGGTCAACTCATCCAAGCATACCCCTTCTTCTCATCTGGGACGTTTGTAAGTAGCTGCTCTGTGACCTGTTCCTCATTGAGCTTCTCGTCCACTGGCACCATGAGTCTCAGGGCCTTGGCATCGACATCTCCGACCTCCACCCCACCCTCATGGTGGAACAGCACATGGTCGCCCTCACGAGTGGCATAGATGCACACGTAAAACTCCTCCTCCTAAAAACAACACAGGAAGACATTCACAAGGTCACCGAGTCAGCCGGGGGCAGTGGTGGCAATTCAATGGTGTCCCAGGACATTTGGCTCTGGAGTTGGCAACGTTTTACCTGTTTATGTGGAACGAATGGCTCAATGAGGAAGTTTTTTAGCACACCCTTGGCTTTGCCCACCTGATACAAAAGAGGAAGAAAAACAAAGTTAGGACATCATCATCTATTTATTCCCACAAACATAACATCATATAACATTAGAATTAGAAGTAAAATTGGTACGTGAACTTAATAAAATTTCTTGTGTTAAGTTGGGGAAATGGGTCATAATTTAGCTTTTAATAAAGTAGGTCACCTACTACCTAAATATTTAACTTGATTTCACTGACTCACAAATGAGGATGCTACTTCCTGGTTTCTATTTGTGCCTAAAGCAAAGCATGCAGAACCACTTTGTAGAAAGTGCAGCATGTGCGTGTGTGCGTGTGCATGTGTGTTGGCCCAGAATAGACCTCCCTCTCCTTCAGCAGCACTGCATAACCCCTGGCTGGTGCTAAACATAAGTGTATGGCAATGGGCATGTCCTGTCTCTGACAACAAATTTACATACTGAGCAGTAGTATATAGAGAAAGTAAAAAAAAAATAATAATAATAATACTAATAATAAAAACATATTTCACAATCTACTCGATAATTTTTAAAAAGTTAAGGTTTTTAGACAAAACAAGTGCCTATATTGAATGAGAATTAAACAAATTGTTTTTCCATTAGCACCATTTTCATAATTGGTTGGAACAATTATTGGAATCTGGATTAATTATACAGCCCTAACAACTTCCAATTCAATATTTAATTAGAGAACAGTCTATTAATATAAGCTTGAAAGTGAGTGCAGATATCCTGTTGTCTCTACTCACTGCGGTCTCTTTCATGAGTCTATCTTTGAGCCAGTCTTTGACCCCCTGCAGATCAAGGTTGATGCCCACCAGCCCGAGCTTCCCACGTCTTTTTATAAGCTGGTCAGGCTTCACAACCAGTTTCTGTGAAAAGAGAAAACACAATTCAAAAACAGTGACACATTTTTTACATTAACTTGATTAATTATTACAGAATACTGTTTGTAGCACCTCAGTGAGAAGCCATGGGTGGTCTTGTGAGAGACGGCCCCAGTCTGTGTCGGCAGTGACGGTGGCGTATTTGAAGCGGTTTTGGACAGCGGCGGAGGTGCAGATGTATTTGTATAGAAACTCTTTCCCCGTCTGCTCTGAGATGGCTTTGGCCGACATGGTGCTGTTGGATTGTACCCTGAAAAAACATTACAAGTCAATAAGGCGTGACACAGGAAAGGTAGACCAAGTTTCTAATCACTAACGATGCAGTTACAGTGGAGTTAACTACATAAAGCACATGTGGTGAGTCAGTTAGAAATAATTAAATTGGGTGGACCTTAAACAACTCCTTTGCATATTACTAGGGATGCATCAAATACATATCCTTACAATGCAAATGACATCTCAATAAATGTGTCACAAATTAATAATATGATTTCAATTTGTCTATGCTTCAGAAACAACAAAAACAGATGGTTAATGTATTACTTTAAATACCAATACACATTATACACTTGTTAGTATGACCATTGAATATAAACTGGTAAAAAAAAGTCTTCTGTCAGAATCTAGCTAAGCTTACAGTGTGGATTTGTGAAAAAATTACAATCTTAACTCTGCCTCAACAAAATGGAGGAGTGCATCCCTACATATTACTATTGTTAAAATAGTATTAATTGTAGGAAGAATGTGATATATAATGCCAAATTAATGCCTACTAGGACAATGCCAAATTGATGACTCAACTATCACAGAAATCACAACACCTCTGGTAGACACAGAAATGTTTTAATCATTTATTCAACTAAGATTCTCAAAACGTGGGTTTAATCTTCTTTCCAGTATTGTATATAAATATGTATCACAATTTTGGTTTCACACAAGAAGGCTGTCCCAATAAAGAAGCTCAAGATAAGTGTGTTATGATTAAGATTAGTAGGTGCACCCTGAAGACAGTGTGCAAACAGTTACTTTGCCCATCCTTTAATCAACAAGAAATGTTGCAGGCATTGCGTAAAACAATAGACGCACATACTTGTGGTTATAGTTTAACATTTAAACACAAAAAATTACATGAATTCAAGTTTAAATATAGAATAAAATCTGATGTGGGGATGTCAAGATTGTTCAGATGCCAATATAAATGGCATAAACTAAAACATGAATAACTGAAAATCTTAGAAGTAAAAATAGGTCACATTAACTTTACTTTATTCAGAAGGCTTTCTTTCATAACGCTGGTCACATTATAGAATGGCGATCTATTTGACAGTATTAATGAAAAAGAATTAAGTATTTCATTGTTGTCTATAATACTATAAACACAACAAAGGAGAACTTGCCATACATGTTTTCAGGATTGGGGAACGCTGTCAGACTTGTGTGACAAATATCTCACACAGGAAGTCATCCCACATTTAAAAGGGAATGTTTACAGTGGCTTGAACTTCAACTTAGATTCAAGAAGTCAAAACTATTTTCACCTCTACCCAAACCAGTGTAGGCAGTTTTTTTACTAAAACTGTGACACTATCAACTGAGCTTATTCCACTAGGTCATCACAATTTGGTCAATGAAATGATAAATGGTCTATTGTTACAATACAGATATACACATAACTGAATGTGGTTGGAATTGCAGTAGTTTGTAAGGAAGTGTGTTATTGGGAGAGAGTGTCAAATAAAATAATAATAATAATTTCATACTCATTTCAATATCACAATGATAAAAAAAAAGACAAATTATCTACACAAAAATACTTAGTCTGCTAAATCAGAACTACTGTAAGAGATGACTATTTTAAAACTGTTCAGGAAAGGTCAAATTTTGAGATATATATATATATATATATATATATATACATACATGTATGTATGTATATGTGTATATGTGATTTTCTTTCAGTATTAATACTTCAAATTTTTTTCTAATTCTAATACTAGTTTTAGTATAGATTAGCATCTGAATATTGACACTTTGTCAACCACAGCAGGAGACCTCTTGAAATACATGCTGGATTTAGCTTAGCAGTAGCATATCCTGTCATGCTTTCAGGGACAGATGTCCCAGTATTTACACAGACATAATCTACTGGTCCAGCCCATTGTCTGAAGTCAGTTAGCTGGAAAATTTCAGACACTGTAAAGGCTAAAAAGTCTATTTAATTTGGAATAGGTAACATGGTTATTTCAAATTACATTTAAAACTTACAATACATACACCAAAATACAATTACTGTTTATGGCTGTCCAAGGCTTAAGTGTGTTAAATCCATTAACTTTGGAAGGTATTCTGAATAAACATGTATTGCTTAAATTATGATAATGGTATAATGGTGAATTACTGATCAATAGTTCTTTAAATAACTAAAAACAGGCTTTTATAATGTGTACCCAAAATATAGAAGGAATGAGTAAATAAAAAACAAAAAGTCTATCCTTTATGCATTTCAAAAAAAAAAAAGGTTATACATTATAAGTAGTAACATTGAGTAGTAATATTTGTGTTTAGTGTGTTTGCAGAGCTCTCAGTGCTCTCCTCTAACTGCCCTGACACAGATCCTACCTGACCAGACCTCATGTTAAGCTGCACGTAGACCTCTTTGAGTCATGTCATTGTATTTTAACTGGTCTCTGTGCTTAAATTGTTCATATAAACTGCCCAATAAAGTTATATTGAATTGAGAACTCAGCACAAAGCATCTTGGTGTGGTACGATCCTATTGTCAGGATACGTCACCTACGCAAGCTGTGATACCATCCACCACACCCACCTATCTCACTGCAGACTGGACAAGCTAGCCAGACAAGAAGTTCAAAAACTGACTTGCAATTAAACGCAGAGACTTGGCGAGGAAATTAGCAAAAGGACAGCGGTATTAGTAAGAAACCGGCAGGAATACAATGAACAAAGATGATGCAACGAACAGAGCAGCCTGCATTTGACATGAATGAACCCAGTCTACACATTCACTAACATTTTAGGATCGCAATAGCCTAGTAGAAATAAATGAATCTCATTTAAATGTATTGAAAGTATACTAAGACTACGTACTGCCAGAGTTCTTCCCGGTGTTTTCTGGTTTTGTCTTAAATTTAGCAAATTAGCAGTGTACCCTCAGCATCAGTAGCTAACCCAAACTCCTGACAGGCTAACTGCTGCAAGAGGGACAGAGCTAGCCAAGTGCAAACTACACTAGCGCACTCATACAAAACACATCAAACAATTTTATGGTAAAAACACATTACCTTGTATTTAAATAGTAGTACCTTCACGTTTCTCCTTAGCTGTGTCACGTTTGAATGACACAGGGACACTTCTTGTACCGGAGTCTGAAGCTGCCAGTCGTGTCTCACCGTGCAGGCTCCTGTCGCACCATAATCTGGAGACCCGATTACAGCGCTCCGCGAGGCGCTCATTGGCTCCGAACAATCACATGGCGATGACTCTGATTCCTACTGAGCCATAAGAAGAGCCTGCCTCTAACTACTGAGCCAGCATCACTCACTCATAAAGATCACAATCTAACATTTACCCGGTACTGGAGGAAGTGCTTGATTTTGTTATTTAAGTAAAAGTACAGATATCAGAACAAAAAATAAAAAAATAAATACACAAGTAACAGTAAAAGTAACAGATGAAAAAATCTACTTAAGTAAAAGCCTACCTGTTCAAAAAAGTACTTAAAGAGTAAAAAGTAAAAAGCATTTCGTGCATATTTTTAGGTCTAATAAAATTTCAAATGTAGTGGTTTTGATAAAGATTTGCTCTAAATTTTGCTTAGAAACAAATTAATTGATGTCCGCCCAGGACAGCTTGAATCAAATTGTTTTTGACTGTCCATCTACAAGAGTGTGACACTTGTACTAAGATTTGAATGTGTTGCTTCCAGAGTCGTCTACAAAGAGTGATATCCAGAGCTCTGCTGGAGCTGTGGGGAAGTTCATGAATGTTATAGTTGATGTTTCAGAAAAAAGGAAGATGTTTGAGAACCAACAAAACACAGACCACAGATGAACAAAGTAAGTAAACCAACTAAAATTATTTTAATTTTTTTCAAAATGAACTTCCTATTGAAACTGTTATCGTACTTGTACAAGGTGATGTGGCATTAGGAGGACTTTATACCAGATGCCCTCCCTGTTACTGTGTTTAGAGGAAGAAAAGCAGCACATGGTGAGTTTTGTTTCTGCAGATACAGTTCTAATGTTCTTGTTCTTCTGTTCTGGTCCATTATTGTAGTAATAAGTACTTTAAGTGTATTTAAACAGGTACAACAGAGTAGATCATCAGAATGTGATCATCATGTGTTATTCCTGTGTCCACAGGCAGAGACCAGAGCTTCTTCACTGGAATAAATCTTCACACTGTCCAGCTCCAAACTGTGTATCTCTGTCCCTGTGCTCTCTTTGTGTTTGATTCTGTTTAAGACAATACAGATCTGTAGAAAACTAAAGACTGTTTTTGTATTCTTTTACAGAATTAGATCAATTAAATTAAATTATACATACTTATACATTTCATGATAAGGTACCATAAGATAAATATGCATATTCAGCATGATTTGTTCAAATTTCATCAACATGAAAAAGTAATGTTCATGTTCCGAGAAAAATATGTGTAGAGGGGTTCGAAAAAAGTTTCAAAGCCTAAACATAATTTTATTGCGTGCAACCGCTGTCCATAACTTTTTACGCAAATCCAGCAACTTTTTTTTTTCAGTGTAGTGAAGTAATAGTAAAAAAGTATCCACTTTAAAATGGATGTAAGTAAAGTACAGATACCTACATTTATTTTATTTTTTACTTAAGTACAGTACTTTTCTACTTTTCTACGTCTATGGCATATATCAGTGTTTAGAGGTGACTACTCCCTTTCCATTGTACATTGTTCCCCTATAGTCTACTCTAAAACAAGCTGAGCAATACCTTTGTTTTATTGTTAAAAATATATTTTCATGAATGTATTGAAATGTTTTAATCTTAAACAAGCAGTTTTTGATAAGTGGAGGAAATAAATTCAGTGGCATATGTACTCCTAAATAATAAAATAACATTATTCAAATAAGGATTCCCTGTGCCATTCATAGGCTGTGTATATGGTGCTATTATAATGTTAGCATGAACCTATGGGAAACACTGTGCATATATGATATTCTGATCCAAATTCAAAATAGATTCACACAACATGGATTTGCACAACATAGAACTAAATAGAAATATTTTTGATAATTATTTTATTTTTAAACAGAGTGAAGCAGACAATCTAGTGTGTGTGTGTGTGTGTGTGTGTGTGTGTGCAATTGCTCATCGCGATGGCAACAGCGATATTGATAATTCTGAAATTTACAAACAGGTGTAGTTGTAGTTGACTGATAAGTTTATGTAACAATTAAGTGTAAAACAACAGTAATATTTATAACAAATTTATAACAAATTACTCTGTATCCTAGTAGTAAAAGACAAGCATTTATTTTTTTTTGCATTAAGAAAACAGTTATTACAGTGTCACATTAAAATTACATAAAGTGACAAAAGATGAAGATGTTTACAACCTGGTGGCCCCTAAAATGGAAATGTGGAACCATTGGGAGTGGTGAAACACACTGGCCAAACATGCACAACAAGTACAGGAGGATGAGCCTTGAGCAGTATCACTCCTTCATGCCCAGGTTAATTTCAGATAATTACAAACGCCAGGTGAGGTTATCCACAAGTTAAGTTTGGAGGTGGGTCTATTTTAATTCTGATTCTGAGATGACATTTAGGATGGGATTTATCATTTAGCATTATTGTAAGGCACCACTTTGAACAATTGGGTTATAGTACAAAATGTTGATGTTTTTGACCTATTCAAGGTTGAAATAAAAACGATACTACATGGAAAACTGAGCAAAAAGGTATTTAAATTAGAAAGATGATGAAAAGCTGTAATCAGATGCATGATGTTGGCATATATAGCACAATAAATACAAATAGAGCAGAGGAAGACTGAGGAAGAATACACATACACTCTGTACATTCAAACAGGAATTAGACAAAACCCTGCAGATCAAGTGTACTTTTGGCAAAGGCTGCCATTTAAACCTGGACCACGGCTGTCCTGAGGTCAGAAGTGACAAATTTACAATACCAACACATCGCCTCATAGATACATTACTATGAACCATCACACAATTTTTCCAATGCATTCCTTATTGTATACTACAAATTAAAATAATAAAAAGTGGAGGCAGTTTCTTGTTTGATTTGGCAACAATGACCAATGCCTCTCCACAAAAGCATCCCAAATTACAATGTTAAAACAATACAGAATCTCTAATGAAATTTCTCAATTTAAATGTAGTCTACTTCAGTTCAAAAGAAATAATAAAAAAAAAAAAGGTGATGAGGGTTGCAAGAGTTTTGTGTTGTCCAGCAGAAAACAGCAGTTTCATACTTTGGTTCTAGCCAAATTGAAAAAAGAAATTTCCATTATCTGAAAACAAAAAAAAGATAATTTATCACATGATTCTTTGACAATACATTCAGAAGATTATCAAAAAATATACAGTAAATACCTGGACTAGAATCAAAGGAGAAGCCGCCACCATGACCTCCTCCAAAGAAAGCTCTGAAAATGTTATTTGCATCAAAATCTGTAGAAAAACAAGAGGAAAAAATACATTTTATAACATTCATTATGGAATTTCCAGCACAGTATGTAAGTAGTGTTTTATACTATGGTACCGTATAGTGGATGATACACTAAAGGGTCCATGTTACACTATTTTCTGATCTATGTCATAATGTTGTTTCCTTGTCAAAAACATATCTGGAGTTGTGTTTTATTTCATTCACATTTTTAACACACAAACCCTACATATTTAGGCTGAGGTCTTCTCTCAAACAGAAAACACTGTTTCACCTTGTGATGTCATGAGGTAATACGGGAAGTATTTCTCTGTTTTTTTAACTTCATACACCTTCACTAGCATAATTTGGATCATTTCAGTCATGCCAATCTCTACTGAACAAAGGTAAAAAAAAAAAATCTAAATTATCTTGAAAACTACCACTATGACATCACAAGGTGAAACAAAACATTTTCAGCTTGGGAGATGTTGACAGACTAATAATAATGAATTACTCAAACATGTGTGAATGAAACAAAATAACTCTAAGTATGTTTTTGATGAGGTAAAAATAAAGATAAAAGCCAAAGCTAAAAGCTCACAAGTGTCAATTTTGTGTAATATAGGAAAATAACTGTTCTGCCTAATATATATCACGAGATGAGGCTACCAGCTATGGCCAGTTTGACGTTACTAAGCAAGTGATATTCATCCACATACTGTATGTATGCTTATGTTATATTATCCCATTTACCTCTACCGTCACAGCCACCATCATTGTCCAAGTCGTGTCCGTTGTCATAGCGCACTTTTTTCTTCGGATCAGAGAGGACAGTAAACGCCTCACCCACTTCTTTAAATTTCTTCTCCTCTTCTTTCTGGATTTCTGGTGTTGCTGAACTGTGACGATCTACAACAAAGTGACTAAAATAAATACTCTGCTCATGTAAAAATGTCTTTTGCATGTTTCCAGGGCAACAGAAGTACCTGGGTGATGCATGAGAGCTCTTTTCCTATAGGCTTTCTTGATTTCATCATCTGTGGCATTTTTCCCAACTCCCAGCACCTTGTAATAGTCTTTTCTTTTGCTCTTTTTAAGCTCCAACTGTGCATTTTTCAATAGGTGTTTGTGTTCTGAAAATGTAGTTTAACAAAAGTTTAATTAAAATATTCTCAAAAATCATTTACATAAACAGTATTAGGAGCTCACCTGATGTCTTCTCTGTCTGGTAGACTTTTTCATAGTCTCGTACAGCCTCTTCATATTGCTCAGTGTCCATATAACTGTGGATGACAAATTAACCACTCACAAATCTGCATGTTTAAAAGAGTATCATGAGTCTATAAGCTAAATAGCTTTACCACTGTGCTCTTCTTAAATAGGCCTTTATGTAAGTGTCATCGAGTTTGATGGCACTAGTGCAGTCTTCAATGGCTTGGTTTAGTTTCTTAAGCTGTGGATGGTGATACCTATTAGTTTGAAAGTAAACTGTAATCCTGGCATGTCATGAAATGGACATCTTACCTTTGCTCCGGCAGTGGCTCTGTTGCAGTAGAGTTTTGCATTGGTCTTGATGTTGTTGGGGTCTATTGCTAGTGCTTCTGTGTACAGCTGGTACGCTGCTTCATAGTTGCAGCTCTTGAACATCTGGTTGCCCTCTTCTTTCTTCGCTTTCAAGGCTTTAGCATTCTATTGTTTGGAAATAGGTATTGTATTAGAGCAAAACAAAATATATTTTATATATTACATAGGATACTTGTTGACATTTCTTACCCGGCATGCTAGACGAGCCTTTTCATGGTCTGGTGCCATTCTCAAAGCCTGGACGAAGAACTGTACTGCTTTATCAATGCAGTCCTCATAGTAAAGACAAAGACCTCGGACATATAATGCATCTGCATTTGTGGAATCCATTCGCAGAATATCACTGAAAATGGGAAGACACCAATGACAGTATTTTAATTAGGGTTTAAGTACCTTCATAAATACAACATACTGTTCCGAGCCATACCTTGCAACAGACTGGGCTTCAGGGTATCTTCCCAATAGAGCCAAACACTCTGCTTTGAGAATTTTGAAACGATGGCAGGCTGAGGCCCAAGCAAGGGCCCGGTCCATGCAGTAAACCACCTGGAAAAAACATGTTGCTTGGTCTGTAATCCATGTACAACCATTTGCCTGATGAAACATTGCTATATTATAAATAACCAGAGTATGAGAGACTCCATTCTACATCAGTACTTGAGAAATAAAATCCATAATAATTACAAGCGTAGTTAAGACAGGACTTCACTCAAAAGTGAAAAGAACAGAACGACAAAGTAGCTCATTACCTTTCGAAAATCTCGTTTCTCAAAGCTCAAGTCTGCCATTCGTTCCAACTCCATCAGTGTTGATGCATTTTTGTTCTAAAATGTATCAAAGAGAATTTATTTCAGTGGTGTGTGTGTAAATGGTTTGGGTAGATACATGTCACCATGTTAAGTTAATTAACACCTCTTGTAGGGCCTCTTTGTTACTTGGCTCCAGCTCCAGGACTTTTTGAAACGAGCGACCTGCCGCCATGGCATTCCCCAAAGACAGGTGGCACTTGCCCTCACGTAGATGACCCTAAGGGAAAGACAGGGCACGTTCACTTAATAGATGTATTTGACTGAAAGCTACTTATTCACATTGCATATTATCAGGAAATGTAGATAACTTGTGAGAAGTCAACATTTCATTGTTTACGATTCCCCCACTAAATTAGAAAAGTAGAATTACCTTCATAAAGCAATCATCTAGCCGCACAGCCTGCTGGGAGTCCTCCAATGCCTCCCGAAAGCGACACAGCATCATCAGGGTGGCCGCTCTGTTCCCATAATAACTGGCATTTTTGGGGCAAGCATCTTGAGACAGAAATGAACCAAATTACAAGTTAAAATCTGTATAATTAAAATTTATAAAATAATTACAAATATTTTATTACCAATGGCCTTGGTGTAGTAGTTGAAAGCTTCAGAGTAATCCTTGTTGCTGTAGAAAGCATTGCCTTGCTCTTTGAAGCCTTCAGCTTGCCTGGGAAAAACATGAATGACATGAGAAGAATACATTTTCCAACATGGAAATTATAAATACTCAAAATAGGACATGGATCAAATGACAGTTTGGTGTAGAGGGGTTAGGTGTTTATCTTTTATATTCCAATACTTCGTCAGGAACTAGGGCAGTGCAGTGCGGTACAAACTGTCCAGGCAACTAAACATAGCAGTGAAACGCATCTGCTGCATGCTGTATTTTACATAGTGCAAGCCTCAAAGTGAACACTGGATATGGCTACAAGTTATTATTGATAATGTGTTTTATATTAATCTATTATTTGCACTGTTGTAGACATTATTTTACAAGCAAATTTATGTCAATTGTAGCAATTATAAAGCTTATATTAATATTACAACAACAAAAGATTGTTATTAATCAAGGTTATATACCGGTAATCATATTTAATATGGGTTTATTTTGCCATAATTAAAGTATTTAAAATAATTCAGTCGGTACAGAACTAGTCCCAATTCTTATACTATGCTGCTATATGTTATTGTTAACCTCTTCACTGTTTTGTAAGTGGAGCTGAGAGGCTGAAGAAAGCTTCTGAAGAACTTTCTAGAAAAGCCCGAGACAGATGACCGTAAATCAAGTGTATTTCTATCATCTTAGGAGGTTTACTTGGACTGGCAAGTGTGTGGTTATAAGTAGTCAGTATAGTCAACGACACAACATAAAACCATATGTCAATAATGTGTTTTGCCCGTAACACGAGGATATCGCTTTGGTATTAAGGTCGAAGTAGCGCAAGGCTATGGCTGCATCTGGATGGTTAAGGTGTGTTTAGGTTTAGCCCAAGATTCGCGGAACATCTTAACATGGTATTCCAGCATTTGATAGTATATTAGACCAACATAACTAATAATTATCATAAATGGGGCGATGAAAAGGATCAGATCTATTTAGTGTCGAAGATGTTTAATATCCCGGTTAGCCAGAGGTGGAATGTGTGTCACGGCTTATCGCAGCGATCTTTTCATCTAATCTCTAAATTTACGCTTTATATTATCCTAATGAGAAAATAGAATAAAACACAAATAATGATGGTATTTACCGTTCTAAATCGACCACATTGTGGATTTTGGGCTCCGTTTCCACCGGTACGTCGATGTCAACAGCGGCCATTTTTTTCTGGAAAGGACGAATGCGAGTGACGTCACATCCGGTATGTACTTCATGCAAATGTTAGTATTTTTTGTGTTTTGATGCTTTTTTTTCAATAAAATCTCCGTATAATGTGCATATATGTCGTTTTAAAAATCATAAATATAAGCATTTAAGTGTCAGACACGGTAGATAGCAGGGAAATAATCCCATTAAGATCCAGTGCCTTTAATTAGGTGAGTGACCCCATTACAGAATAAAAGCCCTCACAAATAGCGTTTAGAATGAAATATATCTAGTCTACACATGCTGACATAATTCTATACAGCAAATGAAATGTTTAACAGCACATCGAGAACGGCAAGTTAGACAGTGAAGCACGTGTAGCGTGATCATGGATCTATTAAAATAGAGCATGATCCACTGACTGCGCTCACTGACCCAGTTTTATAACTACCACTAGATGGCAATAGAGCAACAAGATTTTGGTCTAAACAGGAGAAACCGAAGTTGTTTGTTAATATGAAACGCTGATAAAATATTGAATAGCGTTTTAAATAAATAAAATAGTTAATTTATACCCAATCACTGAATAAAAGACAACACAATTTTGTATAAAAACAACTATTTATACTTATTTATACTCATAGAATACAGTATTGACATTTTATCACTTCATAATTTACATTATTGCAAGTGGGAATTATTTACTTATAATTTAATTAATCAGTTAACACTTAAAAATACATATTGCTTAAATGACTCATCACAAATGTGAGATGGAAATTTAATAACACATTTAAATACTAATGTATAAAAAATCTCTGTGATAATGAGAATGAGGTTTAAATTAAATAAACATATGTTCCCTCTACTTATAAATAAATTACTTTATTTAATTCCATTCAGCACAGTCTCTTATAGTTGTCTCTATATAATACTGTTGATATTCTTGGCATTGTATGTGTCCTTGCTGATTGTCACTTAACTTCACAAAAAAGACATACATGTTATGCATAAAACAGATTAACAATAGACAACAAAGACATGTTTGGCTTCATGTGCTTTAAGTTACTCTTCAGTCTTTCAAAAGTGGTTCCAGGACAGGTGGACTTCCAACACATGGAGGTATATTACTAAATGTACCTTTGATTAAGAGGGTTGAAAGAAAAGTTTTTGGCACTAACATTTAATACAACATCCAAGTTTATAGTCTTATAGTAAAACGAAAAGATGCTATGGCTTCCAGAGAGGTCCAGACCCCGGAGTACATGCACACAAGTATATTTTTAATGACAGCTGAGCAATGGTCCTTCAAAGGTTGAGGACTCATCTTCACTGACACCTCAATCCTCTCGTGGGAATTGTGCATACTGTTGGTGTGACCTGAAGTGGCCAGAGCATAGTGTCCTGCTCATCTGAAAGCAGCCCAGTACTTGTCCTTAAATGGCTCAGTTTAGGCCGGTGGAGGTCTTGCGCTGTGCTAGTACGGAGAGAAGATAATGGGAGTGTGTGTAGCCCGCAGAGGCCCTGGAGCAGGCCTAAAGAGGGTAGGGCTGATCAGGGGGCCCTGGATGATGGCGGCGGGGCCCGGTGGGAGGCGCAGAGCCAGGGGTCCAGATGCCATTGTGCACAAGGCCGCGGCCGGGTTTAAGGGGCTCGTCAGGAAACCAGCAGGAAGAGCCTTCGACAGCTGCTTCTGAAGAGCCAGTTTAGTCTGAAAACACAAGAGAGAAAACACAGAATTTAAAGTAAAAGCCAACTAGCCCTGAGCTTGTCTTGATCTGGCAAAGGAAGAGAGAAACTACACCCTATATTTTTGATCAAATCAATAACTTATAACTACCAAGCTATATAGACAAAGAGTCATTAGCAAAAAACATTGGCAATGTACAGTACTCACTTTGGTGTAATGGTAAATTGGAATATTCCATTGTCTTTTATTTATTTATTAAATTGTTAGTCTCACAGTAGTCAGTGAAGCCAAATGAATCATCTAAATAGAGAAATCTCTTACTGCGTCTCATCATCACACATGGTACACTATCACTTTATTTAATAATAGCATAGAAGCTCTGATTGTCTATTTATATAAAACACTTGCTACTATTGGGACAGTCACAGGATACTATATGCATCTTTATCTAGGCATAGTACGTGTGAGAGTGAAAGTCTTACGGCTAATACGGCGCTGGGCTGCAGTTTGTTGTAAGGGGTGAACTTGGGCTTGACAGGTTTCCCGGCCAGACGCTCTTTGTGTCTCCTGCTGTTCATGCTGAAGGGGGACAAGTCACAGATGCATGTTTAATGTATGAAATCTATAAAATATCCTCAAAATTAAATAAGACTTTAGTCATTCTAAAGTACGAGTTGGAAAGTTATTGCACTTATTAGGTGAGTACTAAATCTAGACATTTACGAAAAGGGTAACACATATACATATATCCCCTTTTTAAAAGTTAGTTAATAGTTTTTAACTTCAATATTTCTGTTGTAAATTTACAGTAAAAGGGATAGGTTTGACTTTGAATATAATAAGAAGTAAATAAAATAAAAAGCCTAGGAATTATTTGTAGCAGTAAAATTAACACACAACCATGACTCTATGTAAAAAAATTTGACAATTTTAATCAATTGTACACGAAAAAACATATCTCTCTGTTAACTACTTCAAGTTAAGATTGCAGAAACAAGTTCAGCTTCTAAGCTTTAGGATGTGGAACTGACATGTCCTCTCAGCAGTCATCAGAGCCCTCCGGTTTACTAAGGATTACTGTGGTGTGTACTGGGATAGCAGAGGGCACATACCTGCTTCAGCTGTGTCTCTGAGTTGACAGAGACCTGGCAGAGCTCACAGTGGAAGGGCTGGCTGCTTACGCTCACCACTGCCCGGGTTTTGCTGCCGAGACGGGGCTTGATGCGACAGGTGGGCCGCGGGGATGACGCCATCTTTATTCTCCTCTGGGAGTGACTACTGCTCTGGCCATCCACCATCTGCTTGTGCTTTGAACCTGAAGAAGTTTAAAAAGCAGGAGGACATGCTTATATCTTTGAAATGTGCTTTTAGACTGGAAGGTTTTTGGACATGGCAGAGACCAGCAAAAAGGGGATGATACATGTAACATCAGAACAAGCTTGTGTACCACCAGTACACATACCACTGTTTGAGAACCACTGGTCTAGACAATTATGACTATGAGCATTGTAAAAGACATATACCACTGTTTAAACTGTGCAATGAATGGGAACTGTGCAATGAATGGAACTATATAATGAGTGGAGTGTGCAATATTTTAGTGTCTGGCCCCCTGTGACCCTTGGGACAACGGATGGAAATTAGCCTTAGGCTACAATCCGGTGTGTTTACATTCATGTTGTCATGTTTGTTATTAACATGCTCTGTCCCAATCAAATAAATAAATAAATAAAATAAATAAAAATAAACTAACAAATTCCTGTTGCAAATCTACATTTAAAAAAATGTAGTAATGACTTAAATGACTTTAAAATAATAAAAACAATACATCTAATTTATATGTCACTCTTGAACACTCAAAGACAGAACACTGCAATATTTATTCACACCACAACCGGACAATGGCATTAACTAGTAAGTGACTTCCACTGTGTTTCCACTCACACCTGTTTGGAATACAGCCACCCTTTTCTCAAATTGTCTTGCAGCTAATGGCAAGTTTATTCCAGAACTATTTCCAATTTACAAACCACCTTAAGCAAACAAAAAAGTGAACTTCTAATTTGCAATTTAATGTATTCTGTATTCCAGTGGGAGTACGTACCACTGCAGTGCGCCTCTAGCTGTGAGCTAGAGTTGACAGTCACTTTGCAGGTGGGACAGTGCAGGTTTTTCTTGTTGCTCTTGGCCTCTTTGCCCTCCTCCATCTTCACCGCTGGTTCACTCTCCTCCATGGAGCTACTTTGGGAGTCAGAGGGCACGCCGGGGTCCGAGCTGCACCCCTCTGCACATGGGCTGTCCAGGGCCAGATCGGATAGCTGGGAGTCAGGGGACACCTGGGGGGAGACTTGGGGGGAGACCTGGGGAGAGAGGTCAGGGGAGTCCGAACAGGAGGGGCGCTGGGCAGGAGCAGCTAACACAGATGCACCTGTCTCTTTTTCAGGCTGGGCAGGTTCACTGGAGCTGCTTGGACCTGGAAATAAATGGACAAGGATTAGGGTTGTCAAACATTGTACACTGAGGTTACAGGAGCTCAGTTGGTTAAGTCAAGTGTTTGTGTTTTGGCAGTTCGAATGCAGCTCTTGACATTAATAAAAAAAAAAAAAAAACTGTTGTGTCCTTGGGCAAGACACTTAACCCACCTCACCCCAGTGTCAGCGTACACCATTTACTTAGATGCTATTCAAAATATCTATAATTTTAATTAATTACTAAAGTGTGGCTTTTTTCACTGTGGGATAAAAATTTGTATATCGTATAAAAGTTTGAATGATAGTGTCCAGAGGCATCAAACCAGTACTCCTATTACAGTATTAATAGAGAATAGTCTATAGTTTAGGGGTCAATCCTCTATAAAAATCGGTTATACAGTATGTGTTTTGACCCTATCTGACAACATTCAGAATATTTCCTATACAAATTCTGAGAAAGTAACTAATGACAGCATATTTAACCACATCCAGAGTACTATGTTAAATATGCCAATGTTACAGTATATGGTACCATATTCAAACACAGCACATTGTAACCCCATGTCTCATCTGTTTTCCCCACATATTTTGTTCTATTTATTTAAACCATCAATCAATGTCATTACACTTTCTATTATGCTTATCTGTGCTCTCTGTTTTCCTCTTTCCCATATCTTTAATTTTCTGTCTTTTTGCATCCCTCCATCTCTCTCTCTCTCTCTCTCTCTCCTGTGTCATTTGTGTCTGCCGATCTGTGTCACCATCAATCAACAACCATGGCAACGGCCGCATGTAACAAGCTTATCATTATGTGTTTAGAGGAAAATTGATAGGTGCTGAAGCAAAATGGCAGCCAGGAAATCAATGATGGAAAGCAGAATGGTGAAGATGGATGGAGGAATCTGCAGACGACGTTTGAATGACAAAGGAGAAGAGAAAGTACTTTTTCTTAAAATGCTGAGCTAAGGGAACGACAACTGGTAAGCTAAAGCTAGATAATCATCTAAATAAACTGAATTCATTTTATTTTTTCATTTATTTTATAAAATTTGAGTTAGTCTTATTTTTTGCTGGGTGTACACTTAATCAAAATTATACAAATAAATAAATTAATAAACAACATTCAAATATTAATAATTAAATTGTATCTAATAATTAATTTGTATCTCAAGTGATCAAGTGTAACTAAGCCTATTTATTCAGCTATTACTATAGTATTGTCATGGTAATTATATTTTCTTCAAAATTTTTTTACATATTATAATGTCATTTATCATATTTAAAAAAAAAAAAAGTTATTTTTTTCCAGTGTTTTCCAATCTCCCGGTTAATCAATACACACTTGAGGCTGAACAGAACAGTCAGCTTGAAAAGAAACAAATAAATCAATCAAAAGTGAGCATATACATTTAAGAGCCAAAATGTAGTATTACATTTAGTCTGTGAGGGGCGCTGCAGTCCTAGGTGCTGCTCGCATACAAGACACATTTAAGCGTGTATTTTTACTATCCTAATACTACATTTAAGCATAAAAAACAGTTTACTGTTGTAAACAGTTATAATTCAACTTAATGATTTGTGCTGGTTTGTTGCTTCCACTCAGTTTTCCTATTGCGTGAACAAATTCAAACTCCCGTAAGTGTGCTCTGTGCATCTTTTCTTAGCTCGTGTTTAGGTTCTTGGACACTGCTCATCTTCCTGCTCTTGATGAAGCATAATTTCACATGTGACAGAGGAGTGACGAGAGGAAGGTAATACCTGCTAATTAGCATCTGAGTGGAAAGTGGCTGCATTTAGTCTCTGCATCTTTTCAGTTACAGCTAATTACTGCAAGGACAAGCATTACTTTTCGGATCTGTACATACCTGTAGCATCAGCTACATTGGAGTCTGTAGGATCTGGCTCCTTCTCTCTCTCTTTGGGGGAAGAGGAGGGGTTTTTCTGGCGGTTCCTCTGCGTCTCCAGGGCCTTGAGTTTGCGAGCGTGTTTGTGGCCCTTGTAGTGAGCCTCAGCCTGGGTCTAAAAACAAGCACAAGTGGATTTCAAGAAAAGCTGTTATTTATGAAAATCTGAAATTTGTCAATGATGAGGTATGCCATTCAAAAGGGTGACATAAAATTGAGACTGAATTTCATATTGAAGCTATGAGGTTTATAATTACAAGCCTCAAAATTCAGCTAGGGTGTATGCCCTTTAAAATATTTGTATATTAGAAGAACAACAACCTCTAAAATGTCAAATTGTATTATATTGTCTTATATTTAATGTTCCCTGTTTAAGTAACTTTTCTGGTGGAGGCTGTCATTATCTATTTGGAATCTGCCATGGTATGGCATTAAAGTCAATGCCTTGATAAGCATGTATCCTAGAAAAGGCTGCCTCTCCACAGATCAGACCTGTAATTTGCCCTAGTGGCAATGCCTGCTTGTCTCTGTAGAATATAATGCCATACTATGGTACATAATTCCAGGCAAAGCAAAGAGACAAACAGGTAGTGGAATTTTACAGCTTTATCAAAATGCCTCTTGTTCCAGCCTTTTGAATCTTATGCCTTGATTTGTTCCCTGTGTTCAGCCACTTCCTGTAGTTGGGAGAGTGTTACACAACAGTGGACATGGTTGGACTTTCACGTCATGGTTTTGATCATTGCTGTTTAGCACGAGAGGACATCACATCTCATTAGAGCATCCTCTTCCTCTCAGTGGCTCTCGAGGCGCACTGGGTCCTTCTGCTCTGATTCAGTCTGACACAAAATGGCCCCTGTGTGTTCATGACACACAGTCGCTCAGTGATTTACTCCGAGGGGGAACATGTTTGTGACAGCACGACTCCACTTGCATGCAGATTTGGGAGTTCAAAATAGCTCAACATGGTTTTTGAGTAGAAAAATATTTTAGCCTGAGTTGAGACATTTTCGAAGTTCTTATTTATTGCAACAGTGATAAATTTTTTTTTAAGTTTATATTTTTAATGTCCACAATTCAGTGACACTTTGTTATTTTCTTGCCACTGTTGAGAGAACAAAATTCATAAACATTCATGAGGTTTTAATTAATACAGCTGATGTAGCGGAATAGTGCATCATCACGAGTGACACAGTTAACACAAAGAAATGTAACTGTAACTGTGAACACAAAAGCACTCACACACCACACTATACTTAAAGCCACATCCTGCACAAATACACTGAAACTGTGTAAATAAACAGACACATTTCTGCCATCTTCACACAGACTCATTAGATAATTTGCACTGCTCAAATTATCATTCCTTAGACACTTTCTGTACACAGCATTTGCATATTCAAACTCAAATGTGTAGAGGTGATATCTGTGCGCTGTGGAAAAGGTCGGCGTCAGGGAGACAGAGCTCCCACCACAGGTCAAAGGTCAAAGTGCGTGTGCTGGGGACAAGAGGCTAAAGGCTGTGCAGCGCCTTTGGCCACGTTGAATGTCAGTGCGCACTAAGCATTCAGCGTGATGCACATGTGAGTGAGTCAGAGGGCCATACTATCTGGCACGCCAGTCTAGTATGAGATGTTCCTCTGTAATAAGTGAAAAAAGGGACCTAGAACAGATACAGAGGCGTCAGAGCTCCAGTCGCCCCCTCATCCAAGCGTCTTGTGCATTGGTACATCACGGAGGTCTTGCATACACAAACAGCACTGTCCTCTTAGCCCTGCTCCAGGCCTGAACCTCTCATGCTTCTCACCGAGTTCAGCTGCATTAAAGAAATAGTCCAACTCCTCCGGTCTGTTTGGGTTTAAACTAGTATCTGAGTTTAAATGGAAATGTTTCACAGCATTCACTTAACCCTGTGCAAAATAGACATTATGGTATTACATAATGACTTAATGAAAACTGACATGTGGCAAAAGCTCATATGCATTAAACTGGACTATTTAAAGCTCAATTATCAGTCTATGTACAGTATGTGCTCTGGGTATGCGGCTATCTCTTATGTGGATCATTGTAAGTCACTATCCATACATTACATAGCCTAACTCTCTTTAGGAAATACAGGTTAAGAAATGCCACTTAGCATTTTTATATTATTTGACATTTACATACATGAGACAAATATATTTTCTAGTCTGATAAAAAGTACTTCAGATAACCTTTCCCGTGACCAATACAGTGTCTATATCCAAACAGACTTTTGATAGTTACAACTATTTCTTTAATTTTGGTCGATAGTGGATCAGTGCTGCCCCCTGTTGGGACTCGGTACCTGCATCCTTCTCTTGGCACTTTCAAGTCAGCTGTCCGTAGCACAGAGGAGGGAAGAGAAACTTTAACTCTGAGCATTCTCCGAAAACATAAGTGAAGACTGAAATTTGTTCAAGAGACACACTGAAAACCAGGCCGCCACAGTATTTGGCACCTTTGCTGATTCCTTGAGGTTTTACTGGCAGTGAAAAAAGCCCCATTTTCATTCCACTGGGCTCCTCGTAACAATATAAATGCAAATACATAAACTCTATAGGAATAGCAGCTCAGTAAGTTTAAAAGTGTGTGATAAGAAAAAAAAATGTGCAGAAGGAAATTAGTATGGGTGTGCTGAGGGCAAAATGGGTTACTTTGCCAGCAGGTAAGCCTATAGAACATCCAGTATGCTTGTCCCATGTTACTTACAGTGGAGTTGAACCTCAGATGACAGATATTACAGGAGATGATCGGCTTCTTTTTGGGTGGAGCAGAGCCAAAGGTGTGGTTGATCACGGCCTTCTGAACTGGGTCCATCTGAAAAAGGAAAAGAAAAAACACATGTATCTGTATGCACAGTATCCTTAAAGGCTCTGTACTTGATTTTGTCTTAAAACTTGAAAAACAAAACTAGTTAATTTTAAACATTTTTGCAGTTTGCAGTCCAAAGTTATACCTTATACATTCTGAGCAACCTATTCAGCAATTATTCACTGTGATGAGTTTTTAAGTCTTTTTCACAGTTCTCAGAGACTAGAGAAGTTGTTGACATGACAGTAAAACTAACAACGAGCATGCTAATGTGCATTTCCTGATTATTGGAAAATAAAATGCTTTCTAATTAGATGCAGACAGTACACAGCGGTTTTATTTTGACCTTAAGAATAGCACATACAATACGTCTGTAAATGGGTAAGACATATTTAGCTCAAATACATGAGAAAAATCTGATACAGGGCCCTCAAGTAGTTTCCAGTGAGTCTTTAAAGCTTGCCCTTGACCCTGTTTACTATCGTAAACAAATAAACCACCACAAGCAAATTATTATCTCTTTGGTGGTTATGAATATTTTCTCATCCTTTAGTCTTACTTGAAGGATGTAGTTTTGACTTGTAAGATCTAAAATAAATGTATAAATAACAAATGTAATCATGATTAGTTTGTGCAGCTGTGTTTGGAGTCCTAACCTGAGCTTTAGAGACCAGACAGGAATCCTGTCCCAGCAGATGACTGACATGTTTAGCCCGTCTGAGTCTCATCTAATGAAGAAGTGTTAAGTTCTGACACCGGGTTAAAATAAGAACCTCGGTGACAGCAGCAGTGACCTACACTAGATTAGCATGGCATCTTAAATGCTATAGAGCTCTTTTTCTATATTCTCCAAATCAGATCAGAATGTTAATAATTAGAATTTATAATGGACACTGATTCCAAAGGGATATATTACAATAAATATGTCATAATTAATTTATAATAAAGTTACACTTAAAAGCTGGTTAAAGTTTAGTAGGCAAATCAAATTTAAGCTTAAAACTCAAAAATTAATCCATATCTGGCATATTTATGTTGATGATTTATTTTTGCTGACACATTAATTAATAGTCACTATCCTAAATCTAAAAATAATAATAATCATTTAGATAAATAAATAAGTAAATACAAAAAAAAAATTGCATTTTCAGTAAAAATGTAAATTATGGAAACCTTTTTGGTATGTACATTATTTTTATTTTAAGTATAAAATGTAAAGTATACTAGTATTACCGCATTGAAGTTGGGGAAAAGGCTAAGGGGCGTGGATCCATTGACCCTGAGCGGCAGGAAGTGCTCCAGTTGAGCCTGTGGCTGGAGCGGGCGCCCTGGCAGAGGCAGAGAGCCCAGCAGAGGGTGGATCTGGCTCTGGGTCAGGGCTCCTACAGGACAAACAAACAAGACAACCAACATTAAAATACATTTACAAAGGGAAATACACTCTGAGAAAGAGACTTGAGAAATATTTTGTTTTAAAATCTCCTTCCACATGACCTTTTCCTCATCATATCTGAGTTATCACAAATGTTTTCAGACGGCTCCACTGACCTTTCCCTAGACCCAGAGCAAACAGAGATGCCCTCACGTTTAAATGCACAAGACCAGATTACATTATAATACATGAGAGCTCCACAAACCAAAATAGCACCGCTGATTCAGTCAAGTGAACAGTCATTTTGAGTGGGCAGGTTGTATAGTCTTCAAGAAATAAAGGGTAAACTGGCTGGAACGTTCTATCGTATGGCATTAAATTTATCTATCTCCATGGAGACAAACAAGTGATGCCCCAGAATACATTTTTTGTTTGTTTGTTTGTTTGTTGCAGTATAAATGCCTTAATGAAATAAATGTAAGATATGTGTGTTAATACCATACTGTGAAACATTCCATGCAATGCAGTAACACCTCCATAGAGATTCACATTTTTGGCACCAAATACTGTATGTCAAAATGTAAGACTAAACAAAAAAATGTTAATTCAGATGTACTTAAATTAACAAAATAAAAAACATTAAACATAAACATACAAAAATATGTTTGAATAACTGATATCTACTTATTTCAATTTATGTATACATATGATGTTGTTTCTTCATTTGGGTCATGTTTAGTGACCTATGAATAATGACTTGATTTTGTCTTGAATAGCCATGACATTTTGTATTTCCTCAGCTGTTTTAAAGAGATTTTAAAATTAAGATGTGAGTTTGAACTGTAAATGTCACAAGATGTCCAAAATGGCAGGTTTAATCTCTTTGTAAAGCTGGACTAAAGCATCTGATGACTCCAGATAAACTTGAGGATGGATTACTCAGTGACTCATCCTTACCCAGAAAATCACCAAAGCATTTATCACATCTGACTTCATCGCTCACTGTCAAAGCAATCCCTCTAAAGTCTACATTAGATAACTAATAAACTCTTACTAAAAATGTGCTTTATGTTACAACTTCCCATGCTGTCCAGAAATTTCTATAACAAAATGTACATAGTTAGATTTGATAGATAGATGAATAGATAGTAGAGATAGACCGATATTTTCACTTTTTAGCACATCTGCAATCAGCCTTAAATCTTCAGCAGAGGCCGATATTTTGTTAGGGTCAACCTGCTGACTAAGAAAATGCATAAAACTTCATTTGAACACTATAATGTGAATAGTACACTGCACAAAAGGTAACACATCACTCTTTTATCCATCTTATCCAAATTGCAGTAAAACAGGGTGGTAGATGAGTTTGTAATCAATAAAAATTTATATTTGGGGAAAAAATCTGCAAAAAAAAAAAAAAAAAAAAATCTAAATCTGCATTACATATCAGAAAAAGATCTTATTGGCCACCGGTAAGTAGCTCTAAAAATCCTTTACATTTAATATAATAAAGATGAAATGATTGAGTGGCTGTCAGAGCATCAAAGTATGTAGTTAAGACTTTCCAATGAGAGGAGGGATTAAGCCTGATAATGTTCATTTAATCCTAATGCTCATCACTGATCACTGTCACACATTGGCTCTTATTTCATCAACCTTCATTTGAATGCTTTGCCAGGGTTTCACATATATTTCTGTCACCAGTAAAGAACTACAAATTGTGTTAAAGTAAATTGAGAAAGTTGTGCATTTTTCCCTCCACCGGACCCATCAGATTAATTGGTTTGTTAATTTTCTAAGGGCTACAGATTTTCTCTCCCACTCAAATCTGAAATTGATCTTATTAATCCCCCACACGTTAGCAGGACATATTCAGGCAGGACGTTTAATTAACTGCATTTTCAACACGTCAAACAGCATCTTTCAGCAGTAAGAGGTTTGATTATGACAAGAAAAAACAAAAATATGCTTAGACGGCAGTGTTCAAAAGCTATAACCTTGATAACCTATAATAAAAAATAAAAAAAAACAGACAGCAGATTAGATATGATTACAATAAAGTATAAAAAGGGAAAAAAAAAGAAACTTGTTTACGAAGGTTCTAAATCTTAAATGCTAAAATTTTAAAAAGTTAAACTATTTAACATTGTCTTAATAATAATATTAATAGTAATAGACATAAATAAAACTTTTTGGACACTAAAATATGTTTAAATGATAAAAGAGAGATACAGAAATTAAATTACATTTGTAGAATCAAAGTCAAAGTGGTCTGCTCATTTGTTGTGCCAAGAATGTCAACTTTGATCATATATTTCTATTATACTAAGTTCACTATTGGTGTGTAAATCATGTGAAAATCATATTTCATTTTTGCTTTTGAAATCAGAAAATTCTATATCCAAACACACAGAGCTTGACACGGACGAACTGCTGATCCCTCTCGTGGCTTCCTGCTTCTATATTACAGCTGAAATGTTATTCCAGCCATTAACCAGCAGCCCTGACAGCTAATCTCCATTGAGCCTGTCTTCTGCACAAAGAGATGGTCTGGAGTGTAGGTCAGAGAAACTCACCTCTTTGCACTGAACCAAAGAAAAGATTATGAGCTGCAGAAATTACAGCACCTGGAAAAAAGAGGAAGCTTAATCTCTATTATTTCAGAGATTAGACTGTGTGACTCAACACCAGAGCAATCACACAGGAAGAAATTGTGTCTTTTTATGTCTGGAAAAGAGGATGAGGAGCAGGGGAAGGGCATCAGGAGGAAGTCTGAACTTAATTTTCTTCTGTGGAGGAATTTTTGGCTGGGATCTGCTGCTTTGGGTGACAAATGTTAGTAGATCTGCCAATATTTTCATCTTGTTTATCAAAGTTTTTTCATTACAAAATTATTAATTGTGCACTAACTTAATTTTGCTGCTGCTCTGTGTGTGTGTATTGAACAACTCAATATATGATAGATGGAACAATCATTTTGGTGGTTAATATTTATCATGATTTTTTCTTTGTTCTATTGGGAAAATCTGCACAGTAGAGGGTTGAATAAATAACTTTTATGACTCACAGATACAAATGAACTACTTAAATGTTGCATTTAGATTCAATTTGATCTGCTTTACACTGCATATAAATGGCCATAGATAATTTGCTAGCTACGTTTACAACAGAAAGTGAGTATGGGCACGTTTCCAGTTCCATCAACTCTGACTCCAATTCACTATGTATTGAAAAAACATCACCCCTTTCTCCATAACTGCTGCCGTCAGTCTCCTCATTTTGGTTTAAAATGTTCGTATTAGCCGGCTCTACCTGATCCTGATGTCTTAAATTCGCTATTTTGTTCATAAATCAATCCTTATTCCTAATATAAAAATGGGTCCAAATTTGGCCCTGTAACTGCAAGCCTCGATAAGATTCATTTGACTGGAGCTGAATGCACTTCTTTATAATCTCTATGTGTATTTCTCGTGTCAACGTTAGATCTGATTTCTGTTAATTATACAGTCATAAGCAACAGAAGTAGACAAGCTGCAATTTTATCTTAAACTACTTTAAAAAAACACACAGTCACAACAAGCACTTTAAATAGCAGGATTAAGTGCCTTCTCCTGTGACAGTTTTGTGTGGTTAAAGCTAAACCACTTTGTCTAATCATGAGAGTGAATGTTGTGTTTTCCAGTGGTTATATCACAGTGACGATGATGCCATTCACTGCTTTCACAACTGGCTCAGAGCGGAGCGTTTGTGACAGCGCAGCTCTGAATTAGCATCTATTAAAAGTGACATCGACAGCACTGCTAATCTCCTCAGCTGGGGACCTAAAGGAGAAGTGAATGGGAATGATAGGAGGAAACTGGTATGTAACAGTATCTATAGGCTTTGGTCACTTGATTTTTTTCCTGTTATGGTAATGATACAAAAAAGATATTATGCAGTATTTGCTCATGCTTATTCATGCGTTTCAGACAAAAAATTCTTCCTGATTTGAAGAATTTTGTGAGGACCAGGTGAGGTCTTTACCATTCAGAAGATATCATATTTTGAGCTGAATTGCTTAATTGCTATGACCACAGATGTAATTAAATAGTATATTGTGCAAATGTTTGTCCTTTGAGGGAAAAATAACTTCACAAGAGTATTCTGTATATTTAGTATTTTTGGTGTGTTATTGCATAAATTACCATTACAACTTAAAACTTTAGTAGATGAAGGGATAATTATATCATATTTCAAAATGGTGGTCCTCAAATTAATCATGTGGACCTGACAAAACACATATAATCGACATGGGGAAGAGCACAAGACTCTTTCTGCCTCTGATGCCCTGGACTCCTGGAGCAGCAGCTGTGGCTTTATGATAGTTTGTACCTGCAGGCCACCGTACAGCCCCAATCAGGCTCCCCACAGAAACCTGCCCTACTTTTAACTGGAGCACCGAGGGCCAATTTCACCACGGGGTCCAACCATTTCTACTGCATTGGTTCAAGGTGAATGCCAGGAATAGTGTCCACTGGTCAGAAGAAAAGTAACATGGTAAAAACGATATATAAGCATAGCCAGTAAAGAAGTGGACTAAATTACATCACCCACAGTGTTCAGCTCCAGTTAAATTAAGCTCACCAAAGCTAGCAGTTATAGGGGAAAATTTGGAGCCGAGTTCTTACAGACAAAATGGCAAAATAATAAAACAACAGGATCATGTAGAGTGGGTCAATACAAACATTTTAAGACCAAAATTAAGAACCTGACAGCAGCAGTGAGGGGCGATGTTTTTTCAATACAAATTGAATTGGAGCCGATGGAGTCGGAAGCACACGCATGCTCACTTCCTATTTGGAATGTGGCAACTAGAAAGTTAACTATATCCATACAGTCTAGGTATATAAGCAAAATTATATAAAATGTGTTTAATACTGCGCTATATTCCTTGCTAACTGAGGAATACATGGCTGCCAACTGTCTTTCCAATCACCAAACTTTGCATTTAATTTAACATGTACACATTTT